CATACAATCTAGCAAAACAGTTTCAAATGAAGCAAAAGACCAGTAAGGGCTACCAGAGCCGCCCCCACGGGGGGCAAAAGGCACGGGACGTGCTGGCCCCGCCGCACCTGCCCACAGGCCAGGGACCCCGGGAAAGGCGGCGTACCCGTCACTGGGGTAACCTTGGAGGCCAGGCGGGCCAGGCTGTCGCTGTCCGAGGACGGCGTCGCGCACGGCCTCACCGTCGGGGCTGGCGGCGGAGCCGGCAAGTTCTTCTTCAGCATCTGAGCAAAGCTGGGGACGCGGGCGCTCTGAAACCAGCCATTGTTGGCCGACATTTTCTCACCTGCGAATCACAAGAAAGGTGGCACAAGGGGGCACACGCGCCGGCCCCGGCTCTAACTGACGTCGCGGCTGCCTCGGGGCTCGTTTCGGGGGCAGGGGAGCCAGCTCTGCTACCCCCACCCCAGGCACGGCTCGCTCGGGGCTCCGGGGAAAGAGCGGGAAGGAAACCCCAGCCCCAGGGGACCCGCAGCGCCCGTTGTGGGCGGCCTCCCGCGCTCCCGCCAACTCCCACCCACCGAAATCGTCCTTCCGGCCCTGCGGGCCCGACTCGGCGGGCCGAAAGCTGTGGCCCGGCCACAGGCCGCGGGGCTCGCCGGCCGACGCCGTTGCTTCCTCTTCCGCGCCTCAACCTCTCCCTCCAGGTCGCTGTGTGGGAGCGTCACGCGGCCGGCATGGCAGCCCTCAGAAGCCGCCTCGTGCCGGGTGGTCCGGACTGACAACCCCCGCTCCCGCCCTCGTCTAATCCCCCACCGTCTCTGCGCCTGCGGCCCGCCCCTGCACCTGCGCATGCGCCCACTCAGGGTGCGGCGCAGCCGAACGTCCTGGGCGTTGCGGCGAAGTCACGTGCGTTGGGCCACGTGGTACAGGCCACACGCTCTTAGCGTGGGGGTTCGAGGGAGACACAGGGGCGCAGGTCCGCCTGGTGGCTCACTGCGCTCCCTGGTGCTCCCGGCAGCCCTCACAGAGCCCCGCACGGGGCCTCTTGTCCACGGCGCCTTCGAGGAGACCCTTGCTTTACCCCCAGTTCTACGCTGACAAGGCGCCAGTGCACAGGCTTGGCTTCCACAGAGTCTCGCGTTGACAGAAAACACCCGAGACTTTGGCGGAGCAATCGGGATCACAGGTGCCGGCTCGCGAGCGGGTGGCCGGACGTGGGAGTTTTCAGTTCTTCGCCCGCCTGAACGCGGGAGGCGGGTCTCGGGGAGCTGTTAGCCGACAGGTTGCTGAGCACGTTTTAGTAGTAAATTACTACGTAAGTTTCGGCGCGTAGCCCGGGAGGAACTGAGGGAGGTGGCTATAACGACGTTTAAGTGCCCCTCATTCCTTTTTGTATGGACAAGGCTTCTGAAGCGTTCAATCACTGCACCCAACACGGGACAAAAAAGCACCGATAGACTTGATGGCATTATAGACCCCGTTCCAGCGAGAAGGGCTATCCAACCACAAAGGCCCGGGCGGATGGGGTGAAAAAGCAGCCTAATTCCGCTCGTCAAGCAAAGCGTTTTCAGTAAAAGCGTGTGTTGAGGGATTATCAAAAACGTGTCGATGAAGCTTTGCTCCAGTGCCATTGAGTAATTGTAATATAACCCAATCCAGAATTTTTTTTCTAAACATTGAGAAACTTGTGCTCGCCAGAAATTGGGAAAATTCAAATGTTGTTGCCAAGAAATGCAGTAAGGATGATGACTCAAACTTCCAAGTGCAAAAATATGTAATTATGTTAGCTTCAGTTCGGGAGGGACACGGACTGGAAATACAAGCTCAAGGAGCAAAAGGAGTGGGTGCAACCCGCTCTTACAGACACAGCGTCTATCCACATGTTCTCTCCTGAAGCAATTCTACACTTACAGAAAAAGGACCCTAAGGCGTTCCTCTGTCCGCTGGCTTGCGGCTTCCCGTAACGTCAGCATCTTGGTTTCCGCCGTGTATTAACGCAAACTAAGGAACGAGCCCCGGTGGGACACGGCGGCGCCGGGCGTCATTGGGACGCCGTTCCCGCGCACCGTCGGCCCCGGGATTCGGCCCCGGGATTCGGCCCCGGCCGCCCCGCCGCGCCTCGCTGGCGCGTCTCCTGGGGCTTCCGTGGTCGGCGGTCGCTTTCGGCCTTTCCTGGGTTTTCACGACCGGACACACCTGAAGAGGACGGGCTGGGTCGCCTGTAGAAGGGCTCTCCGCCCGGATTCGCCTGATGCCTCGCATGGTTACACGAGAATGACGTGTACGGGGGCGACTGCTGCAGAGCCGCGGCGCCCCCCAGGCCCGGCGCCGAGCGCGGGGGTGATGGCGTCAGCCGCGGGGGCGCGGGCGCGGGCGCGGGCGCGCCTCGCAGGCTTCTCCGCGGTGAAGGTCCTGCTTCCTCTTTCCTGCGTCGCTGGAGGGAAGTCCCGCGCGCACACAGAGGCGGCAGAGCGATGTCTGCCTCCCAGAGAGGATCGCAGAGTTTGGGGACGTACGCGTGTCAAACACCCTTTAATAAATACCTTGCAAAGATAACCTGAGGCTGTGTAAATATCCTGGTTCGCCCTGCAGGTTCACCCAGTAATTTTCATGCATGTTTGGATCTGGACTAAAGCAGTTGTTATCGTGGTGGTCCTTTTTAAAAGTTTCCTCAGTTAACTTTTTTTTATTGAGATGTAATCGCTATATAACATTGTATTAGTTTCAGGTGTACAACATAATTAGATAAATGTATAAATTGTGAATTGATCACCAAATAAGTCTAGTTAACATCCACCACCAGAAGCAAATGTTTTTCTTAAGGTAAGAACTTTTACGATCTACTCTCTTAGCAACTTACAAATACAAGGTCCAGCACAAATAACACCCCTTTTTTATGACAAAATCTTTTATTACAAAATCATAAGCATGTAATTCTATAACATAACAGTATCACATTCAAGCACATGATATTTTAGGTGAAATGTTCAAGTTAAATCTATGAATTATTACACCCATACTATGACCCTACCAACCACACGCAAGCAGGCCTTACTTCTGCCGGGCCCTGTATACATTGTGTAATGTTGTTCATTACATTCCATGACTTAATTTATAACTGCAAGTTTGTACCTGGTGACCCCCAAGCCCACCCCTTGTCTTAGCAAACAGCAATTAAAAAAAAGCAACTCCCACTTAAAGAACTCCCCTTAGCATTCCTTGTAAGGCAGGTCTGCTGTTAAACTCTTTCAGGCTTTGCGTGGGGAAGTCTTTAACCCCATCATCATTTCTGAGCGACTGCTTTTCTTGTTTGACAGTTGCTGTTTTTTTTTTCCAGTATTTTGAGTATGTTATCTCCTCCTCTCCTGGCCTGTAAAATTTGTTGAAAATCCTGTCTACAGTCTTAAAGGGTTCCTGTGTATGCATCTTCTCTTTTCTTTCTCTTTAAAATTATTTTTGTCTTTGAAAGTTTAATTATGTGTCTCAGTGTAGCCCTATCCTGGTTCAAGCTGTTTGGGGTCCTTTGGACCTCATGAGTCTAGATGGCCATCTCTCTTCCTAGGTTTGGGAAGTTCTGACCCATTATTTCTTTAAATATCCTTTCTGTACTTTTCTTTCTCTCCTCTTGGAATTCCCATAATGTTCCGGTTTACCTTCCCACCACCAATGCACTAGTACATTTTCCTCATAGCTTTGTCCAACAGCCACAGAAACTTTGAAGTTACAGATTTAAATTGCCCTTTCCTTTTTGTAGCATTATCACTGTAAGTGCCAGAAAGGGTAATTTATACTTACATCATTTTTTGTAATCTCATATATCAAAAGCACTTAAACCCATGGAAAAATTTAATCATTTAAGAACTTCCTGGCGTAACTTTCTTTGAAGGAGGGAATTAATACCTGAAGGACTCTAGTAAGGAACTAATTTCTTTAGTTTTTAGTTAGTTTTATGAAGTAACTTTCTCACAGTATTATCTTAGACACTAGATCCAAAGCAGGCATTGAATTTGCTTCTCTGATAAGTTTGTCCAACAGACACAATGTTCCCATAGCCCCCAGCTGTAGGGGCGCCTGGGGAGAGAGAGATCAGGCAGATGACAAGATGGTCTACCAGAGAGAATACAAAATTTCTAGCCACTAGGGTCTTAGTTTTAATTGTGCTGCTAAGTTGCAGTGTGACAAGAGCAAACAATTATTAATTCCCCTACTAACACTTTCTATCTATTCATCTATCTGTCCATCCATCCATCAATCCATGCCCTTGGCTGGCTAAGTATCTTGGGTCTTCTGGAGGTTTTTTTGGTGGTAGTGGTGGTTTTTAAGTTTGTCTGAGAGAATACTGCCTTACCTACCCAAGTGCACGATTCTGCACCAGAGGCTTTCTTGAGGTGTTTTCTAACTCTAGGTTCTTCATTTTTATTGTTTACCCGGCTTTTAGACTGACTGTCCTGACTTGACTGATTTTAAACCTGGGTTTGTGATTAGAGTATTGTAGCTACTTTTAAATATTATTTTCAATTTTGCTATTCTTTTAAAATCTTTTTATTATACTAATGCACGTACATTGTATATATACCGTCATAAGCACAAAGTATACACACATACACACCAACCTTCACATGCACAGAAGAATACATATAAACATATACATAAAGGACATACTCTAATAAAAACAGCTGCATTGAGCACTGTTAACAAGTAGAAGAAAACCTGCTGTTTCTGAAGCATCTGCTGTGCTTCTCCTGTGTGCATCCTCCTCAAGCTAATTTTTATACAGATGCCACTTTTATAAGCATTACTTACCTTCCACAAAAACATTCAGTAACTGACTAGGGTGGGCATCTATTATTTTAAAAAGCTATCCAGGGAAGAAAAGACTCAAAAACAACTACAGACTGAAACCAATTATTGTGACTTTATTACAATAGTTGCAAACAATATTTTAATGGTATTTAATATCACAATTACTCAAACTATATACAAATAGGTATTTATACAAGTCTGCATTTAAAAAAAGAAAAAGTAATTAATGACCAAAATATCACATTATGAACAAGATTTTTTTCCTAAAAGTATGGCCAATAACAAGAAATTCACAGTTATTCTGAAAGTGTTTTGAGATGCAGGAATCATATTGCACATAATACAATTATAAACCCTACTGAGTAGATGTATATATCTTAATCTAGTTTTTCACAAAATTTACATTATCATGCAATACTTCGCTGTATACAGAATGGTGGAATTAGAACAAACAGGTTAACTTACAAACCAACATAATGGCCGCAAAATTAGAATTATTTTCAAATTATATTTAAAATAATTTTAATATACAAAAAACAAAACACTCCAGTGTAATAAAATTTAACGGACACAATCAAAATTTGTTCACAGATCAAGTGACTTGTTTAGTGTTCTTCCTTGTCTTTTCCTTTCTTTTCCTTCTCGTCCTGTAGTGCAGTCCCGAGCTTTTTGATAAGAACGGACAGAACCTTGTCCAGGGGGTCCATGACCCCTCTCTGAAGCCATTTAGGAATAGTAGTCCTGGCATGATGAAAGCCCAGCTTTTGAAGGATATAATCAACGCCTACTGGATCAATCTTTCTTCCAGTCCAAGAAATTAATCTAAAATGAGGGTAAATAATAATTAGGAGTACAGTGTCCCTGCACCGTCCTGAAGGTAAGTTCAAGAGCATCACCAGCCTCCATTATGTGCTCAAGATAAAGTATTTTCAGCAGGTGCATTTGAATAATCTAACCTACAATTCCTGGATTCACTATAATGGCATTAAAAAATGTGTGATTATAACTAGCCTTGATAAGCCTACACACAGCAATGGAGTCGAATGAATTTCACTCTGATTCTCTCAAGCCTAAAGTTACATAGTGGTCTTAAATATTTAAAGGACATCTGGTTCATTCTAAAAGATGTTAGTTAACTTGGTGGGAGAAGTCCCTTCACAATGTATATGTATGGCAGGACGTCACACACAAAATATCTTTCTGTTTTGTCAACTGCACCTCAATAAAGCCGAGAAAAGTAAGAGCTCATGCGTGTGGCATAATGGGGGGTAGGGGGGTGGGAAATACGCAGATGTTCGCTGTGAGCTCGGCTGTTTCCGACACAGGGTCGTTCTCTCCGTGTGGGGAGCAGCCATCAGCAAGATGCTCCTGGCCTCGGCCGCCCGCTCCCGATGGCCTGTCTGACTGCAAGTTACCGGGGCCCAGAAGTGCAGGGCGGGCGCACTTCCCCCCTCCCTGCTGTCTCTCGGGAGCCACTCCTTTGGTCTGTCCCTTTGTGCCACAGGTTTTTCAAGGACAGACCCCTGTGTCGGTGAGCCCAGGCGGTTCTGGCTGCCCGTGGCCGGGGAGCACCGGGAGCTGCTGGCCGCACAGCTTGGCGCCCTGCGGGCGAGGTCTGTGGCGCTGAGCCCTGGGGCGGCCCCACCCAGACCCTGCGGCGGGAAGGCGGTGCTGCCAAACACCGGCCCCGCGGTCTCCGCAGGCAGCCCCATAGGCACCAAAGCTGCCATGGTGCCTCCAGCTGCCTCGCTCCCGCGGTTCCAGTTGGGAATGGCCGGCGCCGAGCGCTGGTCTCCTAAAACTCTTAATAGCTGTCAACGGCTGGTGTTAACTAACTTGTTTCACTATTGTAACAACACACCACAGCACGCAATGCTGTTTTCTAAATTTTCCTCAAGCGGCAACTGAGGCAGAGCACGGCCCCCAGGGCCTCGGGTGAGCCGCTGGGCCAGAGAGCCGGGCTCGGAGCCACCGCCCAGCCGCGCTGCCAGCCCTGCCGCGTCGCGCGTTGCGCCTCACACAAGGTTGCCAAGGAAGGAATGGATTTACAGCAAATGAACCATGTTGTGGTCATTGTCAGTTAAAAGATACAACAGGTCCTTAAACAACATCATTGCATTGCATATTGTAGAAACTGGCCTCTTGTTTGCATTGATTAGCCTATGTAACACTGGGTTCATGAGCCATCGTTCCCCTCAAAGTCACAGAACCAACTTACTGACGTGAAGCGGTGACTTAATGAGCTAGTTATATTTATTGAGATTTACAAATACAAAGCAGATTCTCTAAAGAGTTTTCTGCATTAGGACCTTGGCGATACCTTAAGTTTGTTCCTCAGCACTGACAATGTGAATATTTCTCATGCGTTTGTGTGCTATTCATACCAAAGTGTTTTGTCAATTTGGTGACAACAAATTTCACTGGATACAAATTACTGTTACAAAGTCACTTTCTGCTTATTCAGGAGCCCACTGGCTAACTTCTAAATATCCTTTTTTGGTAAAAAGTATTTAATAACCTAATGCATAATTTATAACCTCTTTCTAATAGTCCCATGGAATACAGGTAAACATATACTCCCACTGCTTACCTGAGAGTGGGCTCCAGATGCCACGTATTGCACATGAAGTCCCTCCAGTCCACAGTGGTGTAAGTGATGCCATCCTCTCTGTCCTTGTCGGAGGACGTGTCATCGTGGACAATAACTGGACTTTTTTGTCCTGGTCGAGTCGATAAAATGCGAGGTGGAAAAATGGCTATAATGAAAATAATAGGTTAATATTGTAAATATATATATGAGTTTACTTTAAATCACTATACAAACAGAATAATTGACTCCACTAGTCATTTTATCTATGAACTAGCCAAAGTCTCATTTAATTACATTTCTTAAAAGGTAATATTTTTAAATGAGCCATAAATAAGTACTGGTAATTAATATTGCTTGGAGAAAGACAATCATCAAAGTTACTGCATTATCTTACAATTAGAAATAATGCCATCATTTATTTTTGCATAACAGCGTATGTTCTACATACATCTGCGGGCCGCAAACCGATGGGAGAGAACGCTGAGGTTCACCGGGCGGCAGGCCGAGGGTGCCGAAATCGACCGTGGTAGGGGCCCTAAAGAATGGCTTCGGGCGAATGGCTTACTGTTTTAACAGCTTGATTGAGATAATTCACATACCATACAATTCGTTCATTTAATCTGTGTAACTCAATGGTTTTAGTATGTTAACGGCTATATGTGTGTTTGAGCAGCGGTACTAACTTAGCAGCTTTTTCTGTAAGCAGCCATTTCACTCTACATAGCAAACATTCAAATGTTTTATGGAAGATGAAGTCTTTCTAAGCTGGTGATCATAAGTAATAGACAACGTGCTACTTTAATACGTAGTTGTTTTCTTTAGTCATTTCACTTGACTACTACTATTTCTTCAAAGAGGTTTCCTTTCCTCTTCCTCCTCTGTGAGCATCTCCTACAAGTCCTGAAAACATATATAAATACATATTCCGCACGCACACACGGAAACACTGCATGAAGCATAAAATGCCATCCGGCATGGGGCAGGCTTACAGAGAGCGCTGTGTGTGCCAAGCAGGTACTCAGTCTGTCGCACAGCCTTGCCAACAGATTACGCACACGCATTTCCTCACAGTATTTCCTGTTCAGAGGACGGAGCGACATTCTTCCCACCCACCTCAGACCATGAAAACCCACACGAACGGCAGGCAGCTGCCTTTCCTGAAGCTGGAAGGAAAGCCACCCCCCACGCACCTTTCTCCTTCTCTTTGAGATAGGCTGACACGAGGTCGTGCAGGAACATGATGAGCTCGGCGTCCATGGTCACGCAGATGTGGTCGGTGAACTCCGTCACCACGCTGCACTCCACCTTCGGCTTCAGGCTGGCGTCTGCAAGGCAGAGCCCCATGCGGTGAAGGGCTAGCGACCCAGGCCCTGCCTCTGCGCGTCGCTGGGGGGCTGGTGGGGTCTGTGTGAGTGCGTCCACTTAAGGGCAGCAGTGGAGAAAGGAGCGGTTTCTGTGTGTGATTTACGGAGTGATGGCAGTTTAAAATGTATGCCATTTATTCCTCATAAAGCTCCCATAAATGAAGCCCTATTGTTATCCTCCACTTTACTGAGAAAGAGGTACAGATGGATTAAATGATCTGCCCTAAGTCATGTGGCTGGTAGGAAAATCAATTTGACCCAGGATATCAATTTCATCAGGTCATGCTAATATTACAAGAGTAACCTGTGGGAAGACAGGTGTTTGAAGGTCCCTCAGAATCTTCTTGGTAACTTTAGGAGCTAAGGATTGCTTTTCCACATACCCTGTAGTGAAGGTTCTTGTGGCTCTTGAACATGAATAGACTTGAAGTCGAGCTGCATCCTTGGCAAAGCAAAGATGGTCTCCGTTTCGTGGTTGTAGGAGGAGCCGCCTCTGAACCCACTCAGCAAACTAGAATTCTTCACCGTCGTGCTGCTCTCGGCGTTGTTAGCGTCCACGTTACGAAGCAGGTTCAGCTCTACAGGCAAAATGAAGGCAATAAAAATCAAAGTAAATCAGCGGGCAGGGACATGCCTACAGCTTTCATGACACTCTGACACAAGAACTTTTATCATTTCAAAAGTTGGAAAATAAACTCACATTTGAAAACATAGAGCCACACAGAACTGTGGTCTTGAGAACAGTTATATTCTTTCTCTTTCTAGAGATGGGGTATACATATATTTATATAAATACATAGTATTATATTAAGATATATGTAGTGATTTCATTTTATATATACATATATACACACACATACATAAATAGTGATATATAAAACTATTCTCAAGACTGAAGCTTTATAACATGATTTTGGATAAATCCAGTAGTACAATCCATTTTGGGTTTTTTTCCTTGAACTGTAAAATGATTATCATCATCAACTAAATTCATGTCTAATTGTAAGAGTTTCATTAATCTCAGAGTTCCCCATACATTGAATACTTCACTATTACAGAGTTTGTGATTAAATATGACCCTGATCTTGAAATCAGGTAGAAGTCCTGATTTTCCTCACTATATGTGCTATGATTATGTTATGGCTGTCTTATGAAAATTAGCAATTTTCTAGGCACACAGGTAGCAGTTCAGTATGCTAACAGCCCCTCCATAGTAACGCAGCCAAAAAGGGCTCCCTCACCCAAAACACACACTTGGAAGGCAGAACAGTCAATACACGCATAGTGTTCTAATTTGCTTCCTTATCCTTCACGGTTCCCAGAACAGCCTTTAACCCCTGTACCATAGTAATTATTTTCCACGGAGCCCAAGGCATCATCTTTTGCATTTTGAAAAGTCATTTTTAAGTAAAATATTCGAATCTTAATACGTCTCAATCTAGTCAGTTTTCCAATACACATGAAACAATTTGACTAAAGCAGTCCTGTAAACTTGAACACAAAACAAGTATAAAATAAAAGTGTTCATTACCACATTATTATAACACTGGTGAATCTACTCAAATGAAAACACTCATCAAAACCACCCTCTTTAAACTCACAACTTTGTAGGAATAACGTTACTTAGTTTCAGTTTATTCCCTCCATCTAGAACCTTAAGTTGGTGGCGTGCTGTTACTTAGTTGTATAATAACTTGCCCAAACCTCAAGTGTTTAGCATGAGTATGAAAACATTTTTCCAGTTATCATAAAGTACACTTAATTCCATTTATTTAAGCCAATTTTATTTTGAGTGTTTCCAGCTACATCTAAAATAGTTTAAGTCCATGAGACGCTGCATTGCCAGGTGGTGAAATCTGGCACCAACACTGTTACTACCGTGAGCAGGACTAAAATGAAGCTTGTGTGACAGAAGAAATGAAAACTCGCCCTCCACTTAAATTATAAACAGTCGAAAGAGCCCAAAATAGGAAAAAAAGCAAAACATGTATCTCCAAAAAAAATCAACTTTCAACCTTCGTTTCTGGTGGCCGTCACGTAATTGAACCATTCCTTCACACTCGCCACTCCGTGGGGTGGGTTCTCATGGCGCCGCCGCGTTATCTTGGTTATTGTTGCCATAGGACTTTCCAAAGCGCCACACGGCTTGGTGACCATGGTGTTGTGGCCCAGGTGAAAATCCAGCGTTTGTACAATGTATGTAGAATGATCACTAGAGCCTGGAGGAAAAAAGTTTCTTGATATTACAAACGACATTTAGATGCAAGGAAACAGTGGGGCCACAGAGCAACAGATTCCGCTAAGTCATAGTGAGGTTGTGAACATGAGGAGATAGAGAAGTGAGACAAAAAGTCACAAATGATTTTTCTCTCTTTTAGTTATACCTGGATTTATCCCCAGTAAGATGAAGAGCATCAGTCATTCTTTTTTTTTTTTTGGCCACCATTAAAAATCACTGAAGGACGTGAAAGCTGAAAGGAAGTGCGTTCATCACTGCAAATAAGGGGTGAAAGCAGAGCCTTGCCCATCAAAGCTTTATGCTACAGTCTTGACCGGCAGATCACTGCCTTCCATGGCTACTGTGCTTCTGCAAAGAAGTCTCCTTTCCTTTTCCCACCTGGTGAGAATCTCCCGCATGCTCACGTTTACATACGGCACCTTTCAATAACGACTACACTGACTGTGGCCAGCCACAGGGGCAGAAACTTTAATGGCCTAAATTGAGAACCAGAGCAGGTGGTGAGTTCAGAACTAAGTCCTTCCCCACATCCCAGAGTTTACAGACATGGACTCACCAGCAGTGAACCCCCTGCCATGTCAGCTACGTGACAACAGATGGGGTAAACTTCAGGAATATTATTTAAAAAAACAGACAAAAGATACAAAAAAGAAAAGATCACTCTACCACATAATATCAGAAGATAGAAAAGAGTAAAAGCTTGAAATGTGTCAGTTTACCATCTTCCCAGATTTTCTGAGCTTCAGTCCAAAAAGCAATGTTTGGTTCTTCTAAGTGAAAAAGGGCCCAGGATTTTGAACGGAAGTTCGGACCATGAAAACAAGCTAGCGTCATGTGATTTCCATGCAAGCTCATCGATCCTCCAAACTGCATCCCGTCCTCTGGCAGCGGGGCCTGGAACAAGGAGATGTGGCACCCCGACACCACCTTCAGCACGCCCGGCCAGTGCCGGTGGTGCGCCGCGTCCAGCACTGCAAGAAAACCAAACGGCGCCTGTCCAGGCTGCCCACCGCGCGTCCCGGACACGCGGGGAGCAGGGCGGGCAGCAGGGCTCCTCTCCACAGCTGGGGTCCCGGGTAAGGGACACGGACCACCACCAACCCCATCACCGTGACGTGGAAGCAAATAAACACAGTCTTGGGGGAGGTGCTGCCCAGGGACAGGCTCAACAGAGGCGTGGTAACTTGCTGGCAACAGTTACAGCTAACGCCGATGCAATGATTTACAAACGCTCGGGTGCCATTTTACACAGTTCTCACAGTAACTGCAAACTAGGGCTTTCCTGTGCGCTCTGTTCAAGTTTAGCAGAGGAGGGGCTAAGGAAAACAAGGGACCAGAAGACCTAGAAATCAAACGCAGGTCCCCTGATTTGAAGTACTTTTTTTTTTTAACTCTTTTGTACCCTTGCTGCTCAAAAGCGAGGTCTGAGGGCCGCCCGCCCACCCTGCAGCCCATCTGAAACGCAGACGCTGGTGTCCCCCCGCCCCTGCCGTGTCGGAGCCCGCGTCTGAGTAAGGCCTCCCGGCAGCTCAGGTGCACGTTCACGTGGGGCAGCTCTGCTTTTATTCGAGAAACACCAATGTCCCTGTCCCACGTGCTCCCGTAATGTCCCTTCTGGCTGTTCTCCACAGCTCTCGTTCCAGGCCCAACAAGGGGCCATGTGTGGTACTTAGTTGGCATGTCTCTTTCGTTTCCTTTAATCTAAAACAAGTCCCTAAGCCTGTGTGCTTGTTTTCCATGACAAGGACTTTCTAGAGGAGCTGGGCCGGGCGTTTTGGGACACTTCCCTTTACTTGCACACACCCGCCACCAGTTCCGGTTGAAAGGAGACAGGGGCACGAGAGGAACGTGACAAATCAAACCACAGGGAAGCGACTGAAAAACATCCAGAAGGTGGAACATTCTGCAGAACAACTGGCCAGATCTCTCAAGTCAGGTCGTTCAAAAAGGGACTATACTGAAATAAAAGAGACTAAAGGAACAAAACCAGATTTAACCTGTAATCTTGAATTGGAGATACCGTTTTGGATGGATTTTAGGATAATTTTAGGTCAGTCGTGGAATGCGGTCACAGGCTGGAGCAGATAAATTAGCAACATGGAAAGTGGGAGGTGGCTGAGTGAAAAAGGTTACAAAACAGTACGAGCCACAGTTTGGTAAAAAGTGCACATACATATCTACAGGTGTGTAGGAAAATATCTGAAGGCACATGCTTCCAGGTATTTATAGGGATAATTTTTGGGTGGAATGAAATGTTTTCATTTTGCTTGTATGTATTTTCTAGTTGTTTTTCAATGTACAAGCACTGTTTCTGCGATAACAGAGAGTCATTAAAGATTACCCTGAGTCCTCACAGCTTCTGCCACTCCCCCCTCGGCCCCGTCAAAGGCCCGCCGTCTGTAGGGGCTCCCGCGCGGCCCCTGCTGCGGCGACATGAACGCACGCACGTGTCGCAGGGGCCGCCGCCACCCGCGGCCTCCCCCACCACCCCTCGGAGCCTGTAGCCCGCCTTCCGCCTGGCCCTGAGTTCAGGTCCAGCCTTTCCTGCTGGCTCGCTCTGTCCCACACAGCAGCGCCCTCTGGCCCTCAACGAAGCCTGTATCTGCCTGCTGCGGGAGTGTGGCTCCTCCCCTGGGTCTCCGCCCAGACCTTTCCCTTGAGAAAAGCCTTCCCTGACCCCCTTTGTATAAGAGCCACCCTCACACGCTCATTCTCCATTTCCTTCTCTGCTTCGGCCCTTTACTCAGCACTTCCTACCTGAAGCTACCTTGCATTTTAGTTAGTAAATTCATTATGGTCTGTCTCTCCCACTAGACCGTAAACTTCATGAGGCCGGGAACTTTGTCCAGTAGACCTTCTGAGCCTAGAACAGTGCTTACGAACACGGGTATGCTTAATGAATGTTTGGTGACTGAAATACAGAGGGAAAATAGCAATCTGCCTAATATGACACAGCTAATCAATGCAAACTCAGACATTCTGATTCCACAGCCCCTTGTCTAAAGCAGAACATGAGACTGTCATACTCAGTACTCAGGAGGGCTCTGAGGAGTTGTGGCAGGGAAGGGGAGAAGATAGCGTGGCTTCTCAAATGACGGCCTTGAGTCCCATTGGGAAGCAGGGAGCAGGGGTGCCACCGAGTGAAGTGGAAAGGAGCAGAGGGCTCACTTTGTGTGTAGCTACGCCGTGACTTTAAGCGAGGGCTCTAAATAACTCATTTACTGAAAGGGAAGCAGAGATGAAGGCTTAGCCCTAACTCTTACACTGCTCTTGAGAACTTCTCTCGAGGTTGTTCGGCACTGTCTTGGGCGGGAGATAAGGAACTGGTCCCCAGGTAGACAGAGCTCGTTTGCTGGTGTCAAACTGTTGCGTGAAAAATTCCTGGAGCTTCATTCCTATTTTTATCAGGTCTGGTGTGGTCGATCTTGATATCATTACTTGGAAAATATCCCACTTCAAATCTCCATGGACAAAAATTTCACTAGAACATAAAACAAGTCTTTATCATGCATCTTATAGATAGTTTAAAAGTACAAGAAAAATTCTCTTCCCCACCCGAGTTTTTCATCCCCATTAAGTGCATGACAGACAATCATTCTGCAAGAGAAGGACGCGCGGAGCGTGCTCCTCCGGGTCGGCAGAGCGCACCCACGGCGGCCGTGCGGCGCGCGGGCGCTCTCCCTGCGTACCTCTTGTCCACCATGCTCGCGTCGGGGGCCGCGCACAGGTTCACCTTCCACTCGTCCTGCAGCTTGAGGTCGGCGTTGCTGAAGATGCCCATGAGGATGCTGGAGCCCATGTAGTCCACGCGGGCCTCGGTCGAGCCCATGGTGACCTGGATTTTGTGGCTGGGCTGCTGGTTCGGGTGTTCAGAAATATGAGCTAGAACAAGCAATCGTCACTTTCACAGACATGCCTGCTGGGAACAGCTTGTCCACACCAGTGTTTAAAAACTGAAATTTCAACATACCAACCATCTCCAGGGCGTTGACGTCGATGGTCCCTCCGACGACTCCGCCCTTGGAATCCAGCTGGGACCGCCCCAGCCCCACGGACATGCTGATCTCCCGGTCGCGGTTACTTCCCACTGACAGGCGGCCCTGGCTCTTCAGGCCGCTCGTCGTCCAGCTGCAGAAGAGGAGGTTGTTCATGAGACAGGTGGCTTCCGTGCCATGAGTTAAAGCAAGAGTTAGATGATTTCAGAAGGCTTAAAAAAAGTGGATTATAAAAACGGATGTTTAAAATTAACATTTATGATGAGGCTATTTGTTTAGCTAGAAAATGATGCTGTTTCATTTATAATTTTTCTCTTTTTAAAACATATTTCATTTTGTTTTATAGTATCTTTAGGATTAGATTAAGGCAGCTTCAGGATAAAGCAATTTTATACTTTTATCAAGTGTTTTTACTGTCTCCAACATTTCAGCATTAGAAAAAGGTTTTGAATTGCTTTACTACAAAGAGAAAAATTAAAACTAATGATTAAATATATTTCTTTGTATCTGAATAGCTTACGTTGTGTTTCCCATTACATTACTCATATTCATTTGAACGTTTAATTGCTTCAAGTTGATAGCAAACACGACAAGTGTTTCCCACGGGGTCCCCTGTTGACTTGCTGCTTTGTTTGATTTGTTAAAAGGAGTTGATGTTTTTGAAAGTGAATCTAAAAATAGAAAAATAAAATGCACATTTATTCATGTAGATACTGAGTGATTACAAAGCAAAAACCATTCTTACCACTCTAATCCCAAACTGAAAGTACGGTATTCTTGTACTCAGGCCTCTCATTAAATAGCTGCCATGTTGGCCATTTACTGACTGTTCCGGAGGTGCTGGCAGCCTCACTCTTGAAAGCTCATAAAGCTCTGGGTACACTCCATCGTACGTGCGCACGAGACACAGCAGTGATACGCCAGTGACACAGGACTGATCCGCGTCACTCACCCCCCGGCCTTTCTCAGCAAAGCAGGAAATCCCTGGTTGCTACTGGCAGAGAGGGGACCGGAAGGCAGGGACCACTCTGCGAGGCAGAGGCGGCCGCATGCCTGACTCCTGTGTCCCACGGGTGCGCGTGCTCTTGCTCTCGCATTTGCTCGTTAGACTCTGTCTTACCTTGTGACGTGAACGACATCGCTCATTTTTGTATGTCACAGGTAGAGTGCTGAGCGCATAGGAGTTCAAAAACCAGAGTCACTAAAAGACTCACCGAATGAATATTAAGATTAACTTTTTCAATATCAAACTTCTTGTACAACCTTGTAGGTTTGTTTTACTTCTGAAAGTAACCGAACGATTGGGAAGTACAGATTGGCAGTTACAAAACAGTCGCGGGGGTGTCAAGCGCAGCCGAGGGGATGCAGTCAGTAACACTGCGATCACTGCGCGCTGCCAGGCGGGCCACTCTGTAAAGTATGTGGCTGTCTGACCACTATGCTGTACACCTGGAACCGACACAAAGCACTACTGTGTGTCAACTGTAACTGGAAAACAAACAGAAACGGCCGCGCCACAGGGGCACACTGCACAGGCTCACTCCTCCCCCGCCTGTCCAAAGCACCCAGCTGCCTCCTCTGCAGGCGGAAGCGTCCACCTGCGTGTTGCTTGCTCCACCCCCGCCCGTCTCCCAGGAAGACCTGCCGAGTGCGTCCCCCTGCAGGGGCAGTGACCGGGAGCGACTGGCTAAGGCCCCCCCGGGGCCGCAGATGGCGGGGCAGCGCTACCTCTTCGGGGGACGGAGGAGTCGGAGACGCTCCTGCACCTCGCGGAGGCTGGGGACTTGAGGCTCTGCGCTGCCGCCCCCGGGGACATGGCACTGTTAGCCACGTGCTCACTGAACACACTGGGGGACGGGGGCATGTGCGTGAAGGAGGCCGACTGGCTGGGCTGCTCCCAGGTCCTGCAGTACGCTTTCCTCGAGGACTCCGGCGACAGGTGCTGGCTCACCCCCTCGACGGAGTCGGGGGTCCCTGGGCCAGACGCTAGCAGGGAAGCAGAAACCAAAACAATGAATGGTGAATCAGCATGCCACAGAACACCACATTCCGCCACTGTACCACTTCTAATCCCATTACGTATCTCTTGCAGTTGTCTGTCTGTTACGTGTGCAGAAGTTTGCACTCGGCCAAGTGCCTCCCAGCTTGTTCTGCTTCTCACAGAGGCACTCCCAGGAGGGCCAGGCAGGCACTGCGTCCCCCGTTCCACAGACAAGGGGCTACACCGAGACTGGTTTCTCTTATTCGTAGTGCGCCATGCTGGCTCTGCCTCCCGCGCACACAGGGCCGCACGACAGCTGTATCTACGTCCAGGAGAAGACATGCAGGCACCATGGTAGCATGTCCCTGACCGACACTTCCTATTTTCCACGCCCAACTACCCAGGATCCGCCTGAGCGGTTAAACATACCGGGTCCGGCAGAAGCCAGGGCTGCTTACGTATGGTTGGTAGGATGATAACATGGACGTGTGATAATGTGTAGTTTTAATTTGAACATTTCACCTAAAATGTCACATAGTGTGCTTGCGTGTGATATTGTTATGTTACAGAATGACACACTTATGATTTTGTAATAAAAAAGGGGCCTTATTTGCGCTGGGCCCTGTATTTCTGCATTTGCAGGTTTCACAAAGACTACGAAGAAGCTGCTGCAGATGACACATCGCTGGACGCCACGCCCCAGAACGCTGGGGAGGCACGGGCGTTCCCTGGAGGAGGGGGACACGCAGCGCGGCTCACCGACCATCGACCATGGCACTAGCACTGCCAAAGTCAAACACAGCCCGACTATAATTCCAGCCGCATAGCAAGCTTACTTGGCAGGTTTATGGTCTGGTCTCCAAGGAAGAGGCGCCTGGCGATGCTCCTCCTATACCAGGCTCGGGGAAACGCCAGGATCTCACTGAGGCGGCGCATGTCATACTTAAAGGAAGCAGACCCTATGTCGCAGACAGCTGGCACAGAAACAGGGAAAGTTTGTCAGAACGGGTTTCCGACACCTTTCTATTTTCACATGGTATGACACAGTATTATCACACTACTGAATTATACTTGTTACAATTCATGAAACGCCGAAGCACGCGGCGCGGCATGGTCAGTAAGCGGTAATGTGTTCCCTCCACAAAGGAGAAAAGAGCACATTGTAACTGACCACCAGGGCTCCAGCCCGTTCATGAGGAGAGAGCAAACCGGAATTACCGACTGCTCACGACCTTCTCCCAGACGTCCTGAAGGTCGGTCTCAGGGACAGCTTTCAGCTGTGGCCCAGGGCTTTTCCCAAGTACGGCAAATGGTTCGTGGCGATGAGCTGGGATACACTCCCCCAGAAGGGGCCGTACACCAGGCGGCCATGTGCAGCCAGGACCGGTGTGCGGGCCTGGGCTCGCAGCCGCCGTGGCTCCCGGAGCGGCTCCCTCTGCTCCTCCCTGCGCCTTCTTGAGCCCCCAGCCACATGCCCCACTCCCCACCTAACTGCCCTGCAGCTGCGTCTTTATTTTCTACCTAGCTTAGTGACCGCTCGGTCTCTTGTCACCCAGGCCGAAAGCGTGGGGCCTCCTCGTGCCCTCCGCCGCCGCTGCTCACACGGACTCGTGGATTCTCTTCAGATTCTCTCAACTCCCCCCCGCCCGCCCCCCGCCACTGTCGGGATGCAGGCCCCTGGCTCCTGCCTCCCCCGCACCGTTCATGCTGCCGTGAGTCCCTTCTACATAACCACTTCTTTTGCATGCACATATATGCGCACAGAGATGTTTCTTCCATGACCCACACATGATTCTGTCTTGTTCTTTTGGTTGGAGCATTTAGATGCGGCCTATCCTCATGTACAACGCAGTTTTGTTACTTTCGGGGATGACGGTGTCCTCCTGTTCCTTCAACTCCGCTGACGGCTGCGCTGCCACAGGCAGTGCCCCAGAGACAGCGTGACTGACGGCCAGCGCGTGACCGCGGGCCGGCGCGCGACCGCGCACCCTGCCAGCTTCGTGGCTGCAGGCGACTCACTTCTGAACACTTAAAATTAAATGCATGTGGAACATTTTTAATTCATCCCTTTGCAGTGTTTTAAGAATTTCCTATTTGAAAATCCAATAAAAAATTAGAAATTTTACCAATTTATGGTAGAGAAGTGAAGAAAAGAAGGAATGCTTGGTGCCTTAATCAGGGGTCTTTCAGCCCTCGGGCGATAGTTCCTTGTGTTTACCTAGAAATCACATTTCTCACCGATGACTCAGGCCGAGCATGTTCCCTGGGCTGGGCTGCTACTCCTCTCCTTCCTTCCCCTTCCCATTAAAACCCGAACATTGTTAAATAAATTTAATACTTAAACACTGTTGAAAGGAGGCCCTTATTTAATTCCAGAAAACAATACTTAAATGACTATAAAATTGAATACCAGATATATTGATGAGCGTGGTGTCCATCTTGCTCGCAGACTTGTTTGCCGACTGACTTTCAAAAAATGAGGTCCCTCCCGAGCGCCGCATCCGAGACAAGCTCACTTTCACAAACTCGAGGTTTATGCTCAGCGAGTCCTTCCGGCCGGTGACGGAAGTGGGCTCCTCGTCCGTGTTCCCTTTAAAACACATACATGCAAGTCCACTATACACACACTCACATGGCTGTCTACTGTAGGTCCCTGAAATGACCCAAAACACTGGAAGTAAACATCGATCAAAGTCACTTCAGTGAGGTAAAAAATTAAGCAGAATGATCTAATGAGTATTTTTAGTGGTAAATCTGTGCCTTAAAATGCCAGTGAAATTTAAGTGCTCTAACAGTAATAATAATGACAATAGTAACAGTTTCACTTTAAATTAATAAACATGGTTCAAAACTTTAAAAATTTACTATTTGTAGAATATAATTTCTTATACAAATAAACCTATATCCAAAGAAATTATTGTGCTGTGTATGTCACTTATAAAATATCAGGAGCTTTAAAATTCTTGTATAATTAATTTTCCTGACTTATTTATTGCATATTTTTACTTATTTATAGAGACAGGATCGCTATCACCAAGAGGAAAAACTTTAAATTTCTGCTCCTTTTTTATACCCATTACGAAAGCCATCACGCGTTCAGGAAAGCACAAAGCTGGGACACAGCTATCAGGCTGAGAGGGGCGCAGGTGTGCCCGCGTACCTAGCCCTCCGGTCCCGGCCGGGAGCCCAGAGACGGCGGTCTTCTGCTTCCCGGCCCCGTACGGGTGGAACACATAGAGCGAGAAGTCGGACATGCACGCCGTGAAGCTCAGCCCCGACGAGCTGCTGCTGGACGTGGTCAGGTCCGACTGGCTGCTGCTGTGCCGGCTTCGGCCGAGAGGGCTGCCCAGGCCCGATGAACCTGCAGTCGACACAGACACCCGAAGCCTTCGTCAGCCGCAGGAGACCGAGAGCCGGTCACCAGCAGAGTCTCAGGAGCCCCGCGGGACTGGAAAATAAACTAGGAACACTCCACCATGAACTTATCAATAGCTTTAAATCCTTGAAAACAAAATGATATTTTACATGTCCTTTCCAATTAATCTACTTAATTTACTTGGTAAACCAGGGATGAATACGCTGAAAGAGCCATTGGTGCGTGTGACCGCCCGGCTCCCGGCTTCCTGGTTCCTCTCTGCTTTGCGCCCCTGGAAGCTGGCCGCAGGAGAGGCACAAAACAGGGCCGGTTCAGGCAAAGGTGGGGCACAGACTGGATAAACTGCAGCAAACCAACGCCACACAGCTGGAGCCCACAGAGCGGGAGCCCACGTTGCAGCGGGAAGCGGGGCGGACAGCGCGAGGCGCACAGGCGCAGCGGGCTCTGCGTTCATGACAGCACGGACGGACCCAGAGGGCGTTAAGCTCAGTGAGGTCAGTCAGTCAGAGAAAGACAAGTGCCACGTGGTTTCACGTGCATGTGGACTCTAGTGAACAGAATAAACACGCTGAAACAGACTCACAGAGACAGAGAGCAGACAGGATGTCAGGGGGGAGGGGCTGGGGCCTGGGTGAAAAGCTGAAGGGATCAAGAAGTACAGACTGACGGCCACGGAGCCGTCACGGGGCGTCCGGGACCGCGGAGGCGGTAATACTGCAATAACCATGTGCAGGTCCAGGTGGGCACTGGAAATATCAGGGGATCACCCTGTAAAGTATACGATTATCTAACCACTGTGCTGTACACCTGAAACTAATACAAAATAAGATTGACTGTAAATTGGAGAAAAAAAAGAACACTTACTGATATGCAACCCCCCCCCCAAAAAAAAAACACAGAACGTCATGGCTCCCTCTCTCCTAGAGACCAGGTGTCCCCTGTGGCCAAACTTGCCATGGGCACACAAGCCAATCCCCAGGACACTTTAAACACACATGGCACATGAGCCCCTGAGTGGGGGGGGGGGGGGGGTCGGGGGCGGGGGGCTTCCTACCTGTGGCTCCCGGCCTGCCTGCAGAGGACTTCGCGCCTCCCTGGGCAGCATTCCCTCCGGGGGACACAGTCTCGGCAGGATACGTGGTCCCTAAAGTCTCCAGCTCTCCCCGGTTTGAGGAGAACACTAAGTCCAGGGACGGCAGCTTCAGCATGCATTCCACCCTGGACACCGGCAAACAGCTGAACTTGATCTGGGAGGGCTACCATGTGGAAAGGCAGAAAGGCGCAAAAAGGTTCTAGGTTAAATGATCTCACCGTGGACCCAAAAACTGCATTTCCCTTTCCGTCCGCAGATACCAAATTGACGGACATGTAAAAGGATTCTTTCAGTGCACTAGCTTTTGCAAACAGACACATGGTGCATTAAGTAATATATTAACATAATGGTATTATTTTTAAAAATCTAAGTGAGAAGTTCTGAGTGATAAATATTTAGATATTTAGATCATTCAGACCATTAAAGATACTTGCTCATAATCAAGTCTAGGAAGTAATTTCCCCTATACAAAGTTTAGGAAGACATATTAATTAATGTTTCATAAACTCTCAAGCCCTCAGCCATGACACGTTCCAGAGGATCCTGAAAAGCTGGTGCTAAGCACCAGAGGAAGCTCCTGCGCCCTGGCGGCCGCGCAGAGAGTAGGGTCCTCATCGCAGCTAAACAAAACCCTCAGGTTTACATAGGAGGAGTTTTCAAATCCTCGCTCAAGGGGCTCCTCAGGTGCTAACACACACTCCTGAAGGCCTACTGACAGGACTGCATTTTCAAATAAAAGATAAATAACAATTACATAACTCTTAGTGAAGCTCTTGGAGGCACTATCGTGACTCTTTGTCTCAATGACAGTCTCCATCTGCCCCAGGCCAATAGGGCAAGAAATATACACGTCATACTAAAAAGACGTTCATGCTAAAGAGAGATTTTAACTTACATATCTTTATTTTTGCCACACAAGCATGAGATCTAAACTTTGAAAACCCTCCCTGGCAGAAAGGCACACACGCGAACCCACACAGGCACGTCCCGAGGCACCGGCAGCCTCTCAGCCACGGCTCACACAAAGGTCCGAGCCCCAGGGGAAAGGGACCACAATGGAGAACCGCACTGGGCAAGCTCAGGTGAGCGCAGGAAACGCCCTTCTCTCCAGCACAGAGGAGTAAACCAGGCACCGCACCTGCACACGGACGTAGACCACGACGTCCACCGGGAAGGAGGAGTATGCAGACGTGGAGGACGACACCAGCGACGTCGTCGACTCCTCCATTGGGTCTGGGAGGTCGAAGTGCCCCATGTCCTCATCTTGGGAGCTGACAGCTGTTGGAAGGCCATGATCCAGTTAAACCACGAGGACACGGGCCGCCCTGTGCTCAGGGCTGTGAGCACAGGGCCACGTTCGCTTCTGCGGCCCCACGTGTCACACTACTGTCCCCAAACCTCTAGCTCATCCCCCCAACCCGGTCCCCCCCATAGCGACACCAGACACCACAAACAAACAGCAGTTATGCCCTTGCCCTCAAGGACGGCCGGTCGAAGAGCCGCCGCAGGACCTCACGAGGGGCTCTGTCGTGAGCTCGCTGGGGCCGTGGGAGAACCCTTGACCCGCCCCAGGACTCGGTGTGCACCTGTGAATGGGGGCCAGCTGGCCGCTCAAGCGCTTCTTCGGCTCTCTCGCGCTTTTATACTGTCACTGAATGTATTATGTAATAATAGGCAATGTGGAAATTATATGCTACATAATAACAGGTAACTACGGTATCCTTCTAAGTCCTAGGGCCCAAAATGCACGACGGGAAGTGAGGCCAGGGGGCGGGCACTCACTCGTGTAATTCCGTTCGATGGGCGTGATGGGGATGGTTTCCAGAGCCTTTTCCAGGAAGTCCAGCAGGCAGGGGCTGATCACCATTTCTTCCGGCAGGGACTGCAGGGCCACCCAAGCATACAGCTTGGCTGTTTTGACTCCTCCACTGCCTTTTCCCTTGGCTACAACAGTGACAAATATGAGCTGAATTTAATACAATATACCATGATTTTGTGAGATATCAAAATTATATGGCAGTTTAATGATATAATTAAAACCATACAAGAATGTAACAAAGAGAGCAGGTAGGTAGACATGATACGTTAACGCTGGAATACAAAGCTGACTAATGACATCGATAACAAGTTACTCCTACTTGCTCGAACTCACACATTTTGGTTGTTTTCAATACAGAGAACCTTGATTGACAACATTTAGTGGCAAGTGAGGAAAAACGCGGTTACTTCCAGGCTTCCCTGTGCTCTTGCTGCTCTCAGCTTGCGCCTGTTTGTACTGCTTCCTGCATGGGCTGCGCTCCCTCTCCTTCTGCCTAACCAAACGCTCCCACATCAGCAGACCAGTACAGCGGCTGCCCCAGACCTGGCGGACTCCGCCTTAAGATCCCAACGATGACCGTGTGTATTAGCTCTGTAAACCCAGGAAGTAAATTCAACTTCTATGCGCCTTAACGCCCCTCCTGCATCACATGGGAATAGCGATGCCTGTCTGTGCACTTAGCAGGCACGGGTGCACCAGAGGTGCCTTGTCAGTTGAAAATTATATAAAAAGACTGGCATTATCATCATGCTCATTGGTTATTTGAAAAGACTTAGAAATCAAGTTCTGTCTCCCTCATGAAACTGTTTCAAATAACTACTGTCCACACTGATGCTCCCCACTCGGGAAATCGATGCAGGCAGGTGCTGCGCACACCGTGTGGCGCCCAGGCCCCAGGACAGCCTCCGAGGGCCCGGTCTGGCAGCCCCACCCCAGCCTGGCTCCCTCCCACCCCGATCAGGGCCGGGCTGCAGGGCCAACAGGTGGCGGGGGTGGCATGGCAGGCGACTTCTGGGGCTAAGCCAACAAACGCAGGGCCGCCGCAGCCAGGGACTCCGAGGGATGCCTCCTGCCCTGTCAGGAACACGCGCCCCAGCCCAGCAGAGTGGCCCACAGAGGCACGGCGAGGGCCCTGCCTGCGGCCACCTGCAACAGGACGCGATGGGGACAGGCGCCCCGGGCCAGGCGAGCATTCGGATGACACAGCCCTCGCCCAGGCCTGGCAGCATACTCGCGAGGACAGCGTGGTTGCAGGTGCCCGGCCACACTTCCCCTGAATTTGTGATCCACAGAAGCTGGGTCTGAGTTACAAACCACCAAGTTCTGGATAATTTGTTACGCAAAAATAGACAATAAATGCAGTCAGGCCAAAGCACCCTGTCTGTGTAAGCCCGATGTTCCCGTCTGGACCATCAGCGTCCAAATGGGAGCTACATGGAGCTCTTTCTAAATATGCAGAGAGCTAAAATAATGACATATTTAGTGTACTCCATTTATTTAACAACTGATATTCTAAGGTAATATCAGTTTGAAAAATAGCGCAAAGCAGTCGGCTTACACTCCCAGCTATGAATTTAGCGCAGCCCTATCAGTCTGTTTCCTCCTTCCCTAAACACGTGAATGTGAAAGTCGCAACACAGCAAGGAGGTGATGACGAAACAGTAAGTTGTGAGACAAAGTAAAAGCCAAGCCCATTTCCCATCAGTACCTGCGGGGACAGGTGGGGGCTGGGGAGGAAGCAAGGTGTTAGCCTTGCCCTGGACGGCGCAAGGCAAAGGAGGAGGCGGAGAGGCGGCACTATCTTTCATACCGGACAGCTTGGACTCTTTCGAGAGTGTTCTTGGCAAGGACGAGCCCCTGGAGGCGTTAGGTGACTCAGTCTTCAGCGTCTTGGAATTGTAATGCAACTGCATTGAAAAAGGTAACCATTCAAAGTTAAAATCGTGGAAGTGAGAGAAACAGAGAAATGAAGGAAAAACGTGGAAGGAAGGTGGTCCCAGGCATTGTAAGAGCTAGGCCCTGTGGTCACAGTTAGCGCTGTGACGCCAACACATTTCTTAGCCTTCTCTCATTTTCAAAATTGCAAAGGTTGCCCCAGATAGTATTTACTTTCTAGCTTAATATTCTAGGATTCTGCAATTCTAGAATCTAAAAAAAAGTTGTTAATAACATTGCACTAGGTAAGGCTTAGCAAGCATGTTATAAATGTCAATGTATAAAAAAATAAAATGAACTTCTCTCTGCTCCCATTCTGTAGCCAAAGCTGCCTAAGAGCAGTGACACCCCGCCACGCGCACGCTCACACCTCAGAGGGAAACCCTGCACAGCCCACCTCCCAGGAACCGGAGGGGCGGTGCGCGAACACAGCCGCCACCCCCGGCCGCGCCCCCGCGCCCTCGGCCCGGAGGCCTGCACCTTCACGTCCACCCCAGGGATGTAGAAGACCGTGGTCTCCAAGTCGCTCGGCTTGGTCTGCAGGGACGACGGCACCTTCTTGCTCGTTATTAAGTGGGTGGTAGAAGCATAATTAGCTTGAAACTTCTTTTTTGAAGGAGAATCTTGATCTAAACTCCTGGAACTTCTGTCATAACTCCTAGAAAGAGAAGTGTTTTTATCTTTTTAAAAAATGGCGTTTCTTTCCTTTCCTTTTGTTTAAAATCAAACTGTCATCTGCACAGTGAATGGAATGTCATCCCTGAAAGATGAAGTTGAGAAGGGAAAGCTTTTCGGTGTATCTGGCTGAGCCAGAGAGCCCCTCACATGGGTGCTGGCTCTGCCCTGCGGTCTGTGACCTTTCCTGTCACCGGGGGTCATGGCTGTCTCGCTGAATGCAGAGCTGGACCAAGGGAAGCTGCCCTTTACAGAGGTAAAAACAGTGGACATCAGCGAGTTACTGTGGTTCATTAGGGTTCAACTAAAATAAATCGTCTTTTTATCATGACTACCACCTTTGTAAGAATTTAACTTTGTACCCTGTGATTTTATAAAAGCCTCCTTGGGGCTCTGGCTGGCGCGGCTCAGTTGGCTGGAGCACAGCCCATAAACCACAATGTCATGGGTTCGATTCCCAGTCGGGGTGTGCTTGAGGCAACGGGCCCATGTTCTGTTCTCACATCAGTGCTTCTCTCTCCCCCTCCCTTCCCCTCTCTCTGGGATCAAGGGGCACGTCCTTGGGTGAGGACTAAGAAAAAGAGCTTCCTTCAGCAGACAGTCCACTTAAAGACCTTTTATTATGGATCCACAAACACAGGAACGGTCAACAGACGGTGTGAGGAGCCCAGGGCTGCTCTCGCGGCTTCAGGGACCAAGAGCTTCCGCCCTCTAGTTCCATCTGCATTCCCGTACCTCCCCCCACCCCAGCCCCCACAATCACCTTCTTCTTATTTGCTTTCAGGTCAGGAAGGAAATGCAAAAGAAAAATCAGAAGAAAGAACGGTCTAACATCCAGCCTCTTCCTTCACAGCACCAGTTGCTTATTGATGGGAGCAAATGGCAAAGCCGCAGTTACACCCGGGAACCATCCCAGCACACGGAGGCCCCTCTGTGACAGGGACCCAGTCTTTCTTATTTTTCAGTGAATTAATCAAAATTCTCAGTAACCAAATATTCCCGAGGGCAACACTGCTCTCTAAGATAGAAGTGTGCTCAATACAAGGGCAGTGACCCGCGGAGAAATTCACACTTGTTTAAAGGAGAATTCCAAAGATGGAACTATTTTAATTAAGGAATTTTCTAGACTCTAAATCAGATCTCCTTTCCTAGTTGCTCAAAAATATTACCCACTTGTCTACAGAAACAGTGCACTACACAAATAACCACTCCCACGCTGTAGCTTTGAATAGCCTGAGCTTTAAATCTGCACTTCGGGATGTGGGGAAAGCTCGTGAACGCCGCAGCCATCAAACTGCTGCCAAGTGAGGCCACGCGCGCCCTCCTCGAAGCAGCCGCTCACCTCCGCAGGCTGATGTCGTCGTGCTCCTGTAGGAGGGTGGTCGGGTGGAGCACACACTTCCCACTGTCAATTTCAACCCGTATGTCTAGTTCAAAGTCGATGTTTCTCTCCGTAGCTGTGCCGCTGAGGCCCCGGTTGACGGGCGCGGGGGGCCAGCGCTCCGTAAACAGCTGGTGAACGGCAGCAAAGCCCGAGGCTTTCTTACGAGACGTGTGTCTACAGAAAGAAGCATCGGTCACCACGCTGGAGTGAAGCGGGAAGGGTTTGAGCAAACTGTTCTCCAACGGGCGACGGGAACCGTAGTCTGTAAATGGGCTGTACTGTGCCGTAAGTTCACATGTAATACTCAACTTGCTCACACTAATCGAAGTTTCCCCAGGTGTAACAGAGTTGCTTTTTATTCCACACCCACATTCTGGGAGCTATGACCGTGTGCCCGGCCGTGCGCCAAGGGCACAGGTGCAGTCTCAGCTCCAGGGCCAGGTGAACGTGAGTGTGGGCACCACACTCCACGATTGGGATGGGGCAGGATTTTTCAAATTTTGCACATCACCCCAGATTTGATTAAAAGACAGAAGCACAGGGAAAGAGAAAAACAATGCTCCACGGGGTTGCACTAGGCTGCACACCACAGCCACGCCTCCGGGTCTCGCTCCGCTGGGCACATTAGGATTTTTTTCTGTGAAGTTAACAGTTGTATGCAATGCTTTAAGCTCAGTCCCAGATTCAGAAGTGTTACCCAAGGGTCTTCAGGCAATGGGGCTACTCACGAGGGTTTCCTGTAGATGTAAAACCTTTCCTTCTCGTGGTCTTCATCCTTCTCGGAATCCTCGCTCGAGGAAGACAAACTGTCGTCCCGCCGGCCGTCCTCCGGCTGGAAAGCAGCGCCTGGGGGGAAGCCTGGAGTCCTGGGGGCCCGGGACCCGGAACAGGACCCTTCGCTGCTGTTGGGCAAGTAATGGGAGGGGCCATCGATGGTGACTGACAAAAGGTCCAGTTCTGTCTCCTCCGGAAACTGATGGTAAAAAGAGGAAACATGAATCAGGTTCAAGTGACAAGCCTCTTCTCGATTAAAAAAAAAAAGATATACATTTAAGCATTGAAAAATTGACCTAGAGTCAAATTTCCTCGCTTTGAACGGAAAGAAAGGCCGGCTTTATGAATGTATGTAATGGCCCAGCAAGGAAGGAAACGGAAGGTCAAACCACAGAAAGTCACACCCCCGACACAAGAAACACCAGAGTGAAACTTTACTTAGATAAGCGTATATTATCATATTAATTAGTGCCAAGCGCAAGTTAAATGCGCTGCAGAGACAAAGGAAACAATGATCCACTGCACCAGCAGGGCAGGAAAGCTTTAGCGACGAGGAGCGGCGCACCGTGCGGAGCCACAGTGCCAGCAGGTGCCCAGTGGGTGCGGCCTGGACCAGCGAGGCCTGCGCAGCTGACGTCGGCAAGCAGCTTGCAAATGAAGGCACTACCCCATCAGACTTAAGAATGCCATGCACTAGGGCGGAGAGTTTGTATAACACCATGTCACTGAGGATTGCGACCTGTGGCCACTGTATTTAAGTAGTTCAAAGAAACAACAAAACTGCCTAGGACCTATTTTAGATGCCCAATTTTAAGAGCTGATGACCAACGTGCTAATAAGCCTCTGTCAAGTGTGATGTGCAAGGTAAGCAATTTATTGCTGCTAATACTATTAGATACCTAGTGAAGTTCTAATGTCCTAATTCAAAATTTCAAACATTTGCAGCAGTCACCTTTCTTTTACTTTTTATAAGATGCACGTTAGCAAGTAAATCAGATTTTACGTATCAGAACATCTTCAATTTTTAAAACTATGGTAAGAAATTACGTAGATAAATATCCCTTTGTCTTATATTCATTTTTATTTAACCATGCCTAATGATTCATTTTATAATTTATAATTTTTATATACTTTTATAAACAGCACACACTGTTATTTAAAAGTACGACTTGACTCAATTCAAATATTAATGCATTTAAGAATCACTTAATCATTTTCCAGTATATACACATATTGAATTGTTATGCTGTGTACTTGAAACTAATATTATATAGCAATTATATCCTTTTAAAAAAACAATTGGTAGAATCCATTAATTCACTGTAAACGATTTATTTCCAAGTTCATTTTTAGAAAAAGGATAAGTTTATCAAGCTCAATGTATTACAATCTAGTAGTTTAAAACAAAATTCAGTTTAACCATATTCAGTGCAACTATAGGACACACAGGGTCCAGAGGAAGGAAGGCCTGCTTGGCTGTGGTTGGTGGGGTAATCATATAGGTGTAATAATGTATAGTTTTAATTTGAACATTTCACCTAAAATGTCATATGGTGTGCTGGAGTGTGATATTGTCATGTTACAGAATTACGTGCTTATGATTTTGCAATAAAAGATTTTGTAATAAAAAGGGCTGTGATTTGTGCCGGACCCTGTGTTTTGAGTGTAGCGTAAAAAAGTCGAGAAGGGAAACTAAGTGTAAGTGGAAGAAGTGCCAGTTTTTAAAAGTAACTTGATAATTTCTAGACATAGGTTTATAAAACTGCTATGTAGGTACATTTTTAAAATTCAGTTTTACTTTTATTACTTATTTAGGAAAAAATATCTGGCTCCTATATGTGTTACTTTGACTTATAAATTATGACTGTGTAGCACAGTCTCCATACTATTTTGAAAATGAGAATACTTTTCTAAGTGGATTGTTTTTATCCATTTTTTTATACCAGTGCCTCAAAAGAAATAACATTCAATGATTAATTTGTTGTTCTGTGATAGGTTTGATTTTAGTTTGAACTAGTTAACTAATTTTTTTAAAGAAAATATTCATTTTGTACTTGAATATGTGGAAAAGAGATTCATTTAAGGATTAGCAAATAACTGTTATAAAATTGCATTTTTTGGTTTACGATTTGGTTGAGTTCATTTAGCCTTTCAATTTTAAAGATTAAAAAGTATTAAACTATGAAGAGGATAAAACTAAAATATATTTATGCAAGAGCTTCTGTAACTCAAAAAATCTTAAGCCTTTATGTAAAATATTTTTTGAGGTCTGAGGTTAGTATGAAATGAGAGGAAGACATTTTGAAAGAAGATTTCCAGGGTGGTTAATTAGTTCTAAAGCAGAATTTATGTTGTTCTTAAGAAGTACCTGAAAATACCCTTCCCCAGGAGAGCTGGACTCTGGTGTGCTTGCCCACACTGTTTTTCTCAACTTAAAATAATAAGAAAATTTATAAAAACTCAAAAAAAAATGGTTTAAAAGTAAATATACAAAAACCAAAACAAACATTTTTAATATGCTACTAAATTTGAATGTAACTTTGAAGCTGACTTTCTAACTTCTGGTTTCTGCTATTATCTGTATGTATTTTACACTAAAATACAAAAATAATAAGATACATAAATACATAAACTGTCCACATACACATGCATGTATGAGACCTAGTTTAGTGTGGATTTGCAACTGAAAGAAACTTTATTCAACAGAACGTTTCTGCCTAAGAGCAAGCGGTAGGGTCTTTATGCCACGCGTGAAACTCGCTTGCAGGCGGCGCCCTGCTGTCTAGGCACTGCCAGACGCCCCGGCCGCCCCAGCCGCCACGGCCCACACGGGGCTGCAGGGGGGATTCGTATTTTGAAGTGGGACAGCTATTCCAGCCGGGCACTACTTAGCGCTGTGCATCGAACCCAGAAAGCCCCTCTTACTGTATCCTGGATGTTGAACGTCACCCGGGGCCCGGGAGATGCTGCGTCCACACGGATTTCCGGAAGCTCCTCAGCGTCGCCTACTCGAGAACTGTGAGCGAAATGTAAAGTTACAGAACATTAACATTTCTGTTTTTAAAAAAAAAATCCCTGGATTTTATAAAGCCTGATTAATGCTATTATACTCTATTTGTAAGTATTCACCTTGCCCAGGGATTGAACTTTTGGTATTGCCCTCCTTACTTTTTAGCATTGCATGAAAAACACTCAGTGTTTTGCTGACACAAGGTCTTGTGAAAAAGAATTTACAATGTTTACTTTACAGTGCTCATTTATTAGTAAAACAGTGTTATTCTTCAATGCATAAATTCCTGTGCTAAGCGTGCATGGAATCACATGTTTTCTAAAGTGACAAACGCAGAGCAACGGCTACCGACAGGCATGCTCTTCCTTCCGTGGACAGTCCGCTGGTCCACATGTCAACTTGCCTAGGAAGCACCATTCCCGAGAAGCACAGAGGAGTGCGGCACACACGTGATGAAGGAGTCCCTGAGGCGGACTCCTCCGCTGGCCTGCACCTGGCGTGGCCAGTGCGGGGGTCGCTGGGCCCACTCTGGCGTTCCCACCCGCAGGCCGCCCGCAGGACAGGAGCGGCGGGGCGGGCCTGGGCCTGCGCCGGAAGCGGGGGATGGGGGGCCGAGGGGGGCGGCGGGGCGCTGGGGGCCCGGCGCCGGGCGCACCTTACCTTGCCCTTTCCATGCGCTTCAGAGGCGGCCTCCCAGAAGCGGAGACGGTCTTGGACCGGCTGTAGCTCGGCTTGTAACCCAAGCCCCACTTGTCCTTCAGGGAAGCAGCCTAATGGCAGGGGAGAGAAACGAGGGCGGCTGTAAACCACGACGACCGGCTCGCCGTTCCCCCAGGTCAGGGACAAGCGACTGGAAGCGTCGCTTCCCAGCGCAGACGGGCCAAAGCGGAGTGTCAGCCCGTCAGCCACTCTTCAGTCCTCGTGTCCGTGGAGAGAGGGCACAGGGCGGCACGAGCCACCGGCTGGCCTGAAACGGACGGGGGGCAGGGTGAGCGGCCCAGAGAGAAGGTGGCAAGAAGGGTGACAGTTAGAAAGGAGAAGAGAATTACGAGGAGGGAGGGAAAGCACCCTGATCACCTCAAGCCCCATCTACGGGCAGCTGGGACAGGCCCCCACGGTGGCAGAGGAAGGCAGCGGCGGCTCCCACGCTCTCTGGGCCTCCTAACGTGGGGCAGGGGCTGGAGCGAAAGGGGCCCCGCGCAGAGGAGGCAGGCAACACAGGAGGGCTCGCAGGGCAGGGGCGACGCCAAGGGAGACACAGGTTAAGGGCGCACGGTTTCTCCTCCCCTCCCCCCGTCCTCTCTGCCCAGCTCTGTTTTCAGTCACTGCCGAGTGAGCGGGAGCCGCACACAAGCGCTACACAAGCGCTAATTTAATTTTGCTGTATGGCCATGGCTACATAAAGCACAACTTCTAAATACAGAACTATGCCTTTATTAGTATCAGAAACCAGCGATGGATAACTCAAACTGGATTATACATTTAACTTAAATCAGTACTTCAGAACGAAATTCAAACTAGGTTGTCCGGAACTCTGGGGGTGGTCAAGGGAAGAAAGCTCAAGCCAGTCAGCCCAGGTCCTTGTCCCCTGCTCCTCTGACCCAACAGCTCTGAGTCCATCTGTCTGTACGTACGGGGGTGCCCGGAACCCCGTTCTGGGAAAAAGAGATGGAGGGTTCTACTGTTTACTTAAAAAAGGTTAAAGAACCCATTTATCTATTTTAAAAAAGTGAGTTTTCCACTAATAAGGCCCAAAGCAATCTACCTCCACTCGAATAAGTTTTAGAGTTTTTTTCTACTATGTGTGTAGTGTACCTGCATATTTATTTCCATTGTTCAGCAATCAGGCTAAATTCCAGAAAATGTGGTGGGTAGTGGGGGTCAAAGATAAATAACTTGCTCTTAAGAGACTCAAACTCTAGTGCAGGCGACTCAGTGAACAACGGGCCACGAGCAGAGGCCGCCACGCCGATGGACTGGGGCAGAACGGGCGTCTCAAAAGACTTCCAGTTCGGGGTCCAGACTGAAAAGAAAGGGCGCGTCAGGAGAGGCAGGCCAAACGCGCTGGCTAAGGGTGTAGGCGGAGGGTTTGCTTCGCGGCTGCGAGGGGACTGCTCGTGTAGAACTGTGGTCACACAACTCCACCTTCTCAGTGTCTCTGTTTCCTCCTCTTTAAAATGGGGAAAGTGAAACAAGCTCCCCACGGGGTTGCTGTAAGGACTTAATGGGCCGTTCGGCATACAGGGCTCTAACCGGGGCCTGGCACGCGGTGGGTGTGAGGTGTACGAAGCAGCTGGCATCATCGCCAACAATGCAGGAAAGAGAGAGAACAACTCAAGTGTCATCATAAAGTCTCAGAAAGTAAAAAAGAAAAAGTCTACTTTAATAAAATTCTTGGTAAATGTTGACTCACTCGCATACTGGACCTCCGCAATTTTTTGCGAACGTCTCTTCGAATATCATTCACAGCAACAGACTCTAACTGTTGGTAACGCTGAATTTCTTGGTTTATGGTTCCTTCACTTGCACCTAATTTTCTGGAGGCAAAACAAATATGGCAATTAATGTAAGGAAGTTAAAAAGTAAAACTGATTCATACTTGCTCCTTCTCAATTCTTTCACTTTTTAGATTATCAAAGATTATGTATGAATAAGCCAAAATCCTCCACGAAGTTCACACTCCTACTAGGCAAACTGTAGAAACGGGCTCTAATATTTTAGGAAACGGTTCTCGCTGATTCCTGCGTCACGTCTGTGGCCACCTTGGGGACCTGCTCTGCAGAAAAACGCTGGCGTATAAAGTCCTACCTATAATTTAAGCCTCAAGGAAGAGCTTAGGGGAGGAAGTACATATTTGCTTCAAGTCATTTTTTCCGCCCAAGAACAAAACTTAAACTATAATGCAAGTCAACAGGAAAATGTGAATCACTGTATCATAATTAATTTACAGACACGCTTTCAGGTTATACCTTTCATTGTAAAAAATGCATCTATTTGTGTAAAGTCCTTGAATTTAAAAAAACCCACAGGTACAGATACATGAGGATTAGAAAATATGAGGTATGACTATCATCTCCGGGAAAACAAAATTTCAAAGTTTGCCAAGAAGAGTCTTCTAGATGAAGTATTTGCTCATACCACCCAGCAGACAAGAGATACAGAAAATAAATTACTACCACGCCCTCCCGTGGACCGGCCCGACGCCCGCCTCAGTCCTGGAGAAGCACTCGGACAAGCAGGCCGCCCAGCACGCACTTGGAATCCAGACCACACAGGCTCAGACTCTAATCCTCATCACCCCAGTCAGTTTTCTCAACCATAAGGTTTGGAAAATGCCACCTAACCTTACAGAAGTGTTGTGGAGGTTAAACTGAGGTAACATGTCAAATGCGCAGTAGGTGCTCGATAAATGCGCAACTTGTTTCCTCTCTCAGAAAGGTGCACTCCTGAGATATCATTGTTACCAGGAGATAGATGGGTTCACATTTGCACGTGAAGGTACACATGAGTGTCCGTGCACAGGTGGCGACACGTATGGGGACATGAGGTCCGTCGCATGCTGCTCAGCGGGAAGAGCCGCAGCGGCAGGAGACCAGGACTCGGGCTTGACCCTGCAGCTGCCAGACGCGCCCGCCAGACGCGCCCCCTCAGGCAAACCGCCAGGCCTCTGCACCTGCGCAGCTCCCTGTGCACCATGGGGGCTGCGCGGGCCACACCCGCGCCCCACCCCAGGCCCGATGGCTCCACCTCCGGGCGGCGGAGCGCGCCGTGAAAAGCCACGGTACGTACTTCAGGTCATCTATGACTTTGGCCTGCTCGTTCAGCTCCCTGATGTCCACGATGCGCTTCATCAGCTTTCTGCCCCGCAGTTCCCCCGGCTGGCTGCACGGTGCTCCTTGTCTTCGATACTCTACAGCTTCCTAGAAAGTCAAAGCGTGTCTGTCGGTACCATCCTCTGGCCACACAGCAAGTCTACTCTATCTCAAAAGTGGCACAAATCAAAGAGGCATGCAAGAATCAGAGGCATCTACAGGAGACGGATGATTGGAATTCTCCAGTGATTGGCATCCCTTGGCGTCCACAGGAATCTACTTAGTCGCCACCTACGTTTCCCCAAGAGTGGGCTCTGCACACTTTCACATGGGCCTGGCTAGACCGAGGGGAGGCCCCGGGCCCGGGCCCACACAGGTACTCTGCAGGGACCGAATAGCGCTGGTGCGGGGGCGCCAGGCCGAGCAGGTGATTTACAAGTCGCTGCCCAAAGGTGAGCTTGTGGCCATCTCCACTTACTGAGCTTCCGTCTGAGCTCTAAATGATAAACAGGAACATTAATTTTTTTTAATGTATTTCCAAGAACAAAACTATTTCATGATACAATAGCTAAAAGGTAGTTTTAAAAATTTCAAAAAATCAAAAACTGGAATGAAAGCAGAGAATAAATGGAAATACATTCAACTTAAACGTCTACATTTTATGTGCGTGTACCCTGCTTTGGAGTATCATTTTTTTAACATCTTTACTTAGATATAATGTACATGTCATAAAACTCACCCATTTCAATCGCACAGCTCAGTGGTGTTCCGTGGACTCACAACGTTGTGCAACCATCATCACAATCAGTCCGGAACATTCTCACGGCCCCACGAACGAAGCCTCGCAAACGTCGGCGGTCCCTCCCAGTCCCCTCCCAACCCCGACGCTCCCAGCCCGAGGAACCACTAATCTGCTTTCCATCTCTACGGACTGGCTGCACTTCGAATGCCAGTGTGTTACCCGTAGTTTAAGGCACAAGTCGGTGGGCAGACGTTATCATGAAACAAGAGCTCAATTAAAAGACAGTACAAAGTGAGACCCAAAAAACCCCAGAATTTATTTTTAAAAATGTGTATTTATTCTTCCATGTTTAAACTTCAGTCAACTTCAAAGTGCTCTCCATTTGATGCAATGCACCTATTGAGACTTTTTTTCCACCGCTCAAAACAGTTATTGAACTACTCGACTTTGATGCCTTTTAAGGCCTCTGCCGTTTTTGGTTTCACCTCTTCCACATCGGCAAAACATTTCCCTTTGAGGACTTTTCTTATCCGGATGGAAAGAAAAAGTCACTTGGCAAGAGATGGGGTCAATGGGGAGGGTGGGGGACAGGGGTCACGTCATTGTCAGTCAGAAACTGCTGAACCCTCAGCGCGGTGCGGGCAGGTGTGCTCACACATCACCGGTCGTGAAACGGGCAAACGTGTTGGAAGAGTCTTCAAAAAGAATTCACTGAAGCCGAACCCAGCCTCTCACACCACCACCCGCTGGGGCACTGACACAGATGGGTCCCTAGCTCACTCACCTACTGGGGGAAGCCTGTACTACAAGGGGCCTGCCCTCCAGAAGATAATTCGGGGGTTTTTGGGGTCTCCCCTCGTATTATGACGTTAAAAACAACGTTATGAAATGAAGACGCAGGAACTACCAGTCCTTTCCTTCCTGCACCGTTAGACAACCACAATGTGGTAACACTGAGTTAACAGCACCCTGTCTCAGGACACGACCGCGAGCGAGGCTACATACAGTGTGGACGGTGGGGGACATAGTGTCCACTTCGTCCTCGTCCGACAGGTCGCCGATGTTCATGGAGTTCAGATCAGCGATGTCATCTACGTCCTCCTCGCCGGTCAGGGTGGTCAGGGTGTGGCCCAGGGCGTTCAGCCGCTTGCCGATGTTGGGGTCCATGTGCACGTCAATCCCGCACATTTTCCACAACACGTTGAGGGTCCAGGTTCCGGCACTACTGCTCTCTGTTTCAATAGAGAAGTGACATTTAAATAACTGTGTATTTCCGGGATCTAACGGTGACGGCCCGCGGCACCGAGGCCTTGATGGTACGGGGTGCCCCGTGGCCGCCTGGGCCTGGGATTCCTCTCCTGTCCCATCCTGTGGCTGAGGGCCAGTGGCCGTGGCCCTTGTCACGAGCCAGGCTAACTGAATAGTCAGCCTGCTGAGGGTCCGTGCTGCAAAGCCAGGAACCTGCCCAGACTGGAGAGCTCGGTATCCCTCTGTGGCGAGGGCGCCGGGCCCCGCGTGGCTGGCAGCCACGTGCCCACCAGGTGCGGGGGCCTTGGGGAGCGAGCAGGGCTCCCCAAGGAGGCAGACAGAGCTGCTGAGCCCCGCTGACGCGCAAGGTCCTGTTCCCACCCTTCCCAGGGGCCTCGGCACGGCCTGTGGCCTGCAGCTGTCCTTCTAACGTCCCCCCTTTTGATTAAGATAGTTGGGGTGGCTTGCTGTCACTTGTGAACAAGAGTCCTGACAGAGACATTGGTGGGACCTCACTCTCAACACGTGTGCACCCCCGTCTTCGACTTTCCTTCTCCTTTCATTCCGGACATGTTCTGACCTTTCCAGTCCCGCCAGTGGGGCCGGTCACCTTGCCGCGTGGGGATATCACCTAGCACACGCACAGAGGCCAGGCTTGCTGAGGACAGGAGGGAGCAGCAAGAGGGAAGGAAAGCTACGGGCCTCAATCAGCTCCCCCCACCCTGGGCACTTAAGAGCCCCCAGTAAACACCTCCCTTTAGTTCACCCTGATAGTGCACTGTGCTGTCAGCTAGTGCAGGCGGCTGATTACTTCTCTGGGTGTCTGCGGCCTAGTTTGCAGGGGTTCCCTCCTCCCTAGGTTCTTGAAAGGGTCCCTTTGACGCTGCAACCACTTGCTTTCTTGCTCAGGATTCAGGAGCTTTCTGGCTGTTCTCCTAATCAAGTTCCAAGTCCTCATTTTGGGATTTAAGCTGTTCCTCATTTTTTTTTTAAGATTTTATTTATTAATTTTTAGAGAGGGGAGGGGGGGAGTAAGAGGGGGGAGAAACATCGTTGTGTGGTTGCCCCCCTTGTGGCCCCTCCTGGGGAGCTGGCCCGCAGCCCAGGCCTGTGCCCTGACTGGGAATCGAACCAGGGACCCTTTGGTTCGCAGGCCAGTGCCCAATCCACTGAGCCACAGCAGCCAGGGCTCCCCATCTTATTTTTCACATCACTGTGTCCCCACCAGTTGGGACACTACCACCAGACACTGTGTTCTGCCATCACGGCTGCCGACATTCTCTGCCTGTTTTCTGTGACCTGCACCTCCCAGTTTTTGCTTCAGAAACAATTTTATCCATCTTTCCAGTTTAAGTGCATGTTCTGCCACGAAGCTTCCTCTGATCCTAGTATCCTTCCAAATTTGGAAATGTTCTCTCCCTCCTATAACTGTCAATAGAAACTGAATTTTATATTTTATTGTACTTATAATGTACTGAACTTTAATTATGCCACACAGCCTTAACTACATTATTAAAACAAATTTACAGAGCAGAAAGTATATCTTATTTTTATTTGTCTTCCCTAAGCATTGGCAGTGTATCTTGTGCTGGGCAGATGTCTCACTTACAACTGTTAAATAAAAATATGCTGATGATCGTTACACACAGTTTTAAAATTTCGGGAATACCAGAGGAAGTTTAAGGATCCTCTCCCCCTCACCGTAAGGGCAGAAAGCACACATGAGGGCAGAATCCCCCCCGAGACAGGGAGCAAGAGTGACAGCGAATATGGACCTACCGGCCGCCGCCTGTCCCGTGGTCCGGGAGCACACTTCGTAGGTGCCGTCGGGAACCACACCTGCACAGAAGGACCCAAAATGGTTGGCGAGGAAATTACGCTGGCGACCACAGACTGCTGAAACTTTCCACCCAGAGAGTGTTGCCTACACACAACCAGGACCGCTGGCCCCACTAGGGTTCCGTTTCTAACCTGTAGACTGAAAGGGCTGCCTGCCTCCAAGACTCGTGATACCCATTTCGTATCTCTCGTATTTTATCCTGTAATTGCAGGCATTTCTCTGTGGTTTTACCTGCACCTTCTGCCTGTGATGCCCCTGTCTGAGTGACAGCACCTGGCTGATTCGGAAGCTCTAGTTCCCGGGAGCTGCGACCCTCTGAGCCACCAGGAGCAAATGGCGCTTTAAAGCAGATGAGCAGCTGCCCTGACGCCCAACTCAGCAGGTCGCAGACCCGCCCCCCCCCCCCGACCCCGGGGCATCCCGCCCTCGAACTCTGACCCATCTCCTGCCACTTGGCTTTCACTGGTGACGTGAGCTTCAAAAAAGTTCAATCTACAATTTTAAACAGTAAAGGACATGCCATCCTTGAAACAACTTTTAAACAAAGTAAAGTCTAGTGACAGAATTAAAATCCCTTCTCAGAAATTTTTAATAGAGACCAAACTTGACTCTAAACCCAAGAGTACATACATCTTAAATGAAATGTCCTCTTGTGATTACCTCTGTATCTTAAATGGGTATCAAAATGTTACCTGAATGAGTTGGAGAAAAACTACTACTTATTTTGGGAGAAAGGGCCTATTAAGTGACAATTTCTATTATGTGGTTTTTATTTTTAAAATAGTGCCAATGACTTTAAAAATCTAAATTATATTTTTGAACCATATGGTACCTGTGCTTCACACACATTTATAAAATAAGGAAGAACTAGATCTTGTTTCAGGGCAGAAGACACCCAACTCACCTTTACAGCCACAGTTACAATTCAGAGCGAAAGAAACTCAGGTTACCCTCTCAAGTCTGAGAATGCTGGAATGAAAACCAAACCTTGTAACACTCGAGTAACATAATTGAGGCCAAGGGAAAGGAAGAACCAGTACGTAAAAAAAGAGTGAAAAACTTGGAATTTCCAATTCCATTAAACATCAAAGAATCTTCTAAAATTAAGTTTAAAAAAAAGACTAAAGATCACGTAAGTTCCCAGGACGCAGAGCCGGACGGGCGCCTGAGGACGAGGGCGCCGTTCAGAGCCGCCCGGCCCCTGGAGGCCCCCGGGGGCGAGGCCTCTGCACAGGGCCGCACCGCCAGCAGGGGCGGCCGCGGCTCGAATCCAGGACTGCCAGGCTCTGGGGACCGAATGCCGCCAGCTGTTAACACAGAGCTCGGCGTCTTTCAAAGGAACTGAATGGTTTATGTAACTCTTCCAAGTTCATGTTAATGAAAAGCGTCTAAGATTTACTATCTCCTTACAGGGCCCTTTGAACTCTTTCTACATTCTAAACATTAGATTGGCCACTCTAATTTTTACTGCATTTCCCAAAAAAACATTATAGGGGACGTTTGACTGGGCCAGCTTTTTCCTACAGCAGAATTTTAAAATGATCTATAAAAAAAAAAAAAAATCCTAAAGCGCACTCCTCCTGTTCTTATTGCTCTGCCCTATACTCTTTTCCTTTTTTTTTTTTTTTTTTAATATTTTACTTATTTATTTTTAGAGAGTGGGAAGGGAAGGAGGAGAAGGAGAGTGGGAAGGAGGAGGAGAAACATCAATGTGAGAGAGAAACATCAATCCATGGCCTCCCATACATGCTCCGAGGTGGGACCGAGCCCACCAGCCAGTCACGTGCCACGACAGGCAATCACACCGGAGACTTTTTGCCTGACAGGGTGATGCCCAGCTCACTGAGGCACACCAGTCAGGGCTTCAACTCTTTTTTTTAAAAAAAAAATAGGAGTACATGTTCATTATATCTAAGTAGACTTACTTGGCTGAGAAATTTTAGTTCATAACCTTTCACTCTTCAAATATAATTTTTCTTCCTTATGAAGATTAATGATGCTTTATTAATCCTGCTATAATATTTAAAATATTAAAATAGATAAAATAAACCCCTACACCTTCAAAAGAGCATATGAGCACAGCTTTAGTTACCCCCCACCATGAGTGTCACGGAATCAGAGGAACTCACACGCTTGGTGCGCTGTGTCCCACACAGGGGCACACGGGGACTCGCCCACGTCCGTTCGGCCAGCCGCCTGCTCCTCGCTGACTAATGCGACCACTCTACGTTACAGGAGGAGCTGCATTTTACGTTTCTTTCACGACCCCACAGATCAGCGGCTTTATCGGGGCACGTGTGAATCAGCTGTGGATCTAGCCGGGCAGGGAGCAAACCTTCAAAGGCTGTACCGGCAACAAGAACGGCTGCTTGGCTTACTCACCAACACTGCAGAAAGCTGCAGTTTTCCACAAGTGAGTTCCAACATTTTAGAACAGAAACAGCCCTCATTTTACAAAGCCCAATGATATTCCTATATCTGAACATCCTTTACTTTAACAAACGAAGACATCAGGTTGTGGTTTTTTGGTTTTGTTTTTTTAGTTTTTAAAAACCCTACCCAGCACACAGAAAATAAACGCCACTCACAGGCATTCATCACCAGGTCCCCACGGACTTCCGGTTTCCAGTCGTCCCACGACGTCTCAAAACCGTCGGCGAAGCGGATGCAGAAGTTCTTGAAGTGCCCTTTGCTGACCAGGGACTCCGAGGAGCAGGCTGTGATGAGGGTGCTCTCGATGGTCAGCACCAGGGCAGAGCCGGCATCCAGGTCGCCCGTGTGATTGGACTGCAGGATGCATCAGAGGAGCGGTAAGACAGAGGGTGACAGCTTCTTAAAATTCGCAGTTTCTCTTAGGATTCGTAGGAGCAAAAACCCATAAAGGGTCAAGCCCAGTAAGCTACATTAAAAGGCAGCTTAGAAAGATGCCTACTTTTAAAAATTAGATTGCTCCAGTGAAACGCATTTCCATGTAGTTTGTTGTTTTTTTTTTAACTAAACTGGCAAAAGGCTAACTATCTACTTTTCTATCTCAAGCTTCTGTTTTTACTGTGGGGAGCGTCTGCTCTCATTCTCATCACCAGCCTCAGTGTGTGCGGCCTTCCCGAGACCTGTCCACGTGCCACGGAAAAATTGCCATTCAACTCCTGACACCCACGCGTATCACATGTTGCCGAACCTCAACCCAGAGTCTGTCTTAACACAGTCTTCCAAACAAAATGCTAAAAGATAAATTCATTCAATAACTGCTTACAGGTTATTTAAGATAAATTGTAACAGCAAAATATAGGCCTCTGTTCTTGTTATAAGTGCAACTTCTTGCTCTGAGAGGCTTTGATAGCCTTTTCTCTCTCAGGCACATGAAAGTGCAAATACGTATTTCTGAAAAGTAGTCCCAAATTATGAAGAAGAAAAAAATTGTTAATCTTTTTTTAAAAAAGAGTGTATTTATCTTTAGAGAGGGGCAGTGAGGGAGAGAGAGGGAAACATCCGTGCGTAGCTGCCTCTCATGCGCCCCTTACTGGGGACCTGGCCCGCAACCCAAGCCTGTGCCCTGACTGGGAGTCGAACCGGCGATGCTTTGGTTCGCAGGCCGGCGCTCAGTCCGCCAAGCCCCGCCTGCCAGGGCTGAGGGAAAACTTCTTGCTTCATCCAGGTGCACATATCCCTTGGAAGTGTCATCACCATTAAATATCAGTTAAAAAGCACTTTGGAATTCCCTACCCTATTTTAGACGAGGTCACTAAACATTATTGAACAGTACTGTGCAATGTTCTTCTGCTTCTATTTTATCAACAAGTGCAGGCCGAAGGCTTCTCTGCTCACAAACAAGAACAGTAAAAAGATTTCGCAAACGAGGCCGCTTAGCGGTCGAGGTCAAGCGCGGACCTGGGAGACAGGCGCAGACGCGAGCCCGCCTGGAGGCCGGTGCGGCTGCGGGGCGACTGCGCTCCCTGCCCTGCCGGCTCACCGTGCCGCCCTGCAGAACGAGAAACAATGAGCGGGGTGGCCGGGCTCTGCGTGCCAGGTGCGGGTCCGCGCTCCCTACCTGCGCCGCGTTCGTGATCGGCAGGCAGATGCCCAGGTCGTTGACCGTGAGCTGCAGGAAGAGCGTCCCGAAGGCCTGGGCGGAGGTCTGCTGGATTCCGGGCAGCATGTCTACCACCTCCTTGGTGGCCATGTGAATGTCCTTGTGCAGAGCCATCCGTTGCTCATTCCAGTTGTCGTAGGCGGCCTTGTAGTTCAGCCAGAACAGCACCGCTTTTGAAGATTAAGGCAGGGAGGGAACAAAATTTAAATCAAAGCTGTAAGCTATATGGCAAGTAAACCTCAACAGCTGCAAACCCCCACTGATTGATATAATTCCTCCCAGGACACTGCAGCATTAGGGCTAGAGAGGACCTGAGAGGATAGAGTCCACTTGACAAGTGAAAAAAATGAAGCAGAAAGCAGACAGCTGCGAAGTGGCAGAAGGAAGACACAGTCCGGTCCAGTCATTCCCTCAACGAGCGTCCGTGAACCGCCTGCTGCATGCCAGGTGCGGGAAAGGGACACAGCCAGAAACCAGTGTGGCCCCTGGCCGCGCAGCGCTCGCTGCCACCGGCGTTAAAAAGGCCTGGAGGGGAGGCGCGCAGTACTAGGCACACGCACGTTACAAAGGTGGGATTCGGAGAAGAGGTCAAAGACGCATGAGCATGAGCAGGTAACAGGGCTGGATCTGTAAGGAAACCTTTACCGAATGCAGCGTGTAGGCGGAGCCTGCAGAGGAGGGGGAGGAGGGGGGCCAGAGGAGAGGGAAGGCGGTGCCGGCAGGAGTGGAAAGTGCTTGAAGGCGTGCTGAGAGTGGGAGAGAGCTCAGGGAGGAGGGAAACGGAGGAACAGGCCCTGGATCCCGCAGAACAGCGCTACCCTGACACGCCGGGGGCAGCGTGCCAGCCGCGGCTCTCAGCACCAGCAACACCCACCACCGACTCATCTCCACCGGCTGCCTGCACGGTTCTTTGCCACGTCTGAAACACTTCCGGAATACTTACCAGTGTGCACGGCTTAGGCCCCATCTATCTGTTCAGCCTCAGTTCCCACTGTTTTCCTTCACTAAAGCTGCTGCTGAACGTCCTTAGAGCCCTGGGCTCGTACACCCGCATTCCTGTCCTCCCTCGTTGGCAAACGCTGATCCCGCTCCTGCCGTACCTGCCAGGGGCTGTCCTCGGCCGTGGGTGCCACGCCAACTGCGGGGAGCTTTCACTTCCTGCCCCCGGGGAAGGCCTAGCTCCAAGTCACAGCTGAAGGGCTGTGTCTCCCCTAAGCAGCACCTCGAGGCAGAGGCCCCCTGAGGGCTGGAGCACCAGCTCTCCAGCCGCCCAGCTCTGCCCACCTAACTGAGAGCCCGGAGGGCAGGCACTCAGACTGCACTTCTGGGCAGTACACGCAGGTGTCAGAGAAAAAGCAAACAAAGAGGATACCAAACAAATGCCTTTGTGGGTGAGCCAGACCAAAAATCTTAGCAAATAATTTTAAAAAGTAAAATGACCTTAGAAACTGAAGGGAATAAGCAAGAAACGCTTGGGACGCCCGCATTTCAGCTTTAGGGGCCAGCGAGCCGTCTCCCCAGCACCCGCACTGGCCACCGCGGGCCTGTCGTCCGGTGCCGCCGCCGCGGCCCCACCTGGGCCAGCAGGGCCCCCGCTGGCCTCACCTCGGTCGAAGGCCACCGGCTGCGCGTACACAATGGGCCTGTTCAAGGTGATGAGCACGGCCTCCCGGTCGGAAGAGCCGCTGATTTCTTCGCGGAGGGCGTTCCGCAGCCCGATTCTGGTTTTAAAATAGGCGACTTGATGAAAATCGGAGCCAGCTTCCTCATAGACCTAAATGGAAAGTTCAGTGAGGTCAAATCCTGAAAAATGTTCCCATAAGAGAAACTAAAGGTCTTTTTAACACCATTAACGGTTTTGTGCACCAAAACAACTATAGTACATTTTTCCCAATTTCATTCACCAATGATATATAGCTTACATTCTATACCATAAATACCTGAAATTCATATGCAATATGAATGGGTATTTAAGAGGTACCTATAAAGTCAAATATCAAGTTCATACAAAATCTAGGGTAAGGTCCGTACTCTGAACGGCAACGTGTTAAATGTTACAAGATAATTAGGTCCTCACTCCTCTTACAGTATTTTTATTTGAACAAATTACTATTTTCCTAGAGAGGACAAAAAACGTTTGTTCATTTATTACCACTACATATTCTTTAATATAAGCATTCAATTTTGAAACTGTGACTGGTACCCATTTAATTAGTTCTTCAAATCACAGAAGGAAAAGCTTAAAATCTACATAATTTTCAGCAAAATAAAAACAACAAAAAAACTCAACAAGTTGTGAATATTAATTTTTATAAAAGAGTCTGATCACCTGGTGTGTGCGCATGTGTGTGTATCAGTTGTGGGTATATGTATTTGTCAATACTATAGTGTACTTAAGAAACTTAGTAACATTTTAAGAATTTAGCAACGTTAGCACAGAGCATTGAAATAAGAACAATGTTTAACAAAATAAAGAGGAAATAAGCAAGTATTTATGAAGACACTGGACCAAGTTCCACATGACTGCATTTGCATGAAACTGTAACAACATGCCACCAAAGTGTTCCATGTAAAAGTACCCAGGTAATAGTGGAAAGGACTTCATAATAAGTAAATTACCATTACAATTCACAATCAGAAATTTTAGCTTAAGCGAAGCATTTTCATAAATACAGTGCCACTTAAAGTAGTTAAAACTGGCGTGCACAACATAAAAGCCACAGCCCTGAGGTCGGCAAGCCCTGCGCTCACCTGGTGTTTGACAATCTGTCCCAGCGCCAGGTTCAGGTCCACCTGGCACTTCCCAAACAGTTTCAGGTAGCTGCTGCTTCCTGGCGAGGCTTTGGTTTGAAGTCGGTTCGAAAGTTCCAGTTCAATCAACCCAGTTTCAAACCTCACAGCCCTCATTGACGGTGTGGTTGCCGTTACTTGAATACCCTACCCAATTAAGGGTCAGGAGGAACAAAGACTTCAGTCAACAACGTCTGCCCAGTCCAGTGAAACTTCTCAACATGTGATAAATAAAACGGGACACTTTAAAACATGTACAGGATGTCTAGTGAACTGATAAAACTGCCAGCATTCTTTGATCTCTCGTTAGTAGGGACTTTCTGGATATTAAATTTGATTTTAGTATTTTGTATTTCAAATCTAGACCATTCATGGGTTAAATACATTACAATTAAATAGCTATTTGGTTAGAATAATTTTTATTTTTAAGAACATGGATGTCTTAAATATTAGAAATATGAACCTTTTCTATTAAGGTATTACCATTAATTGGACAAATGTACAAAATATCTCTTGCAGAGTAATTTATAAAAGCAATTATTTAAAAAAAAAAGAAACGTTCACCAGAAGGGAGTACATTGTTACAGCCATATGCGTGGTACAGCCGTTCAAGGAGGTAAGGCTGATGAGAAGCTTCTGCACAGAGAGGCGTCCAAGGTTTTTAAGATGTAGGAATATATGCATACTGACCGATACAAATAGAACGAGGTCCTAAAGGATATTCAAACAATTGCTAAAACTTTCCTTTGAGTGGCTACGCATTACTTCTGTGTTGTGTCTGCCACGTTACATAGCACCTGAGTTGTTCTGTAACGAGCGCGCAGTGATTAATTAGAAAGAAGCGCCTAAGTGCAGCGCTGCTCTTCACACGTCACCTTGAACTGCAGGTTGAGGGAATAGAGGAGAATCTTGGGCTTCTCTCCGTCTGCTGCACCGTCATGCTCGTTCCAGAGAGGGATCGGCTGCTCCCCGCCTGGAAGGGGTTAAATAATTGAGAGTTGGGGGCAATTTATTTAAAAGGAAAAGCACTGTGTGTGTATTGACGACCCCCATAAAAGTTATTTTCTTTTCACTGATCAATAACCCAATCTCTGTGCCTGGTTAGGCTCACGGAGGCAGACACGTGTAAGACACGGGTGACGCCGCACATGCAGACATGTGTCAGAACATTTCATAAGGACTAAATTAAACCACTGCCCATGGAATGAAACCAAACGTGATTATACATCTCAGAAAATATATCTGAGGCAAAAAAAGTAAACTGGACTAATTTCTTCAATCAAAAATGTGAACTTTGTTGTTTATATTTAGATGGGCTATAAATAAAAGAAAACATAAAGGTGCAGAAGTGACAAATAAGGTAACACACATTAGTAATCAAGAGTGTGACAGCAAAGGCTTGCTCCGTAAAAGTTTTGAAAATAGGGGCGGGGCCCTTGGGGGCGCAGTCCCTGCTACCCGACATGTGTCGCCCAGCCCCGGGGCTTTCAGGGAGTAAGGCTCCAATCTTCTCACATGCAGCTTCTGGGTCTGCTTCTCCTCCCTTCATGCCCTACTGTGCACACCTATTTTTCAAATATTCTATTTTAAGATGAGCCATCTTTTTGTGGGCGTGGTGAGTTCAGCATCAGCCCAGGCAGCACGTGGGTGGGACGGGAAGGTTTTCCCATTAGGGACCACAGGCGCATCAAAAGAGCCCAGATGCAAACAGGCAAGAAAGCAGGTTTTAGTTGCCTGAGAGAGAAACTTCACCTTTTCTGGGGTTTCAAAATCTAAACCAGAGGTCCAGACCTACCCGATTAGTACTGTGGTAAGCAAGGCAGGTTAGTATTCTAGGAGAACAGAAGAGGAAAAATAGGAGGGAAAGCAGGGAAACAGGAGAGGCGGCCAGGAGGCTCGTCCCAGGGAAGGCAGAGGGAAGGCGGGCAAGGGCACACACACGGCCCACAGGGAGGGCGACGAGGTCTGCGCGTTTTAAAAAAACACAGAGGAGAGATGAAGGAAGACAAGGATGGAGGGACGGGGCAAGGGGCGGGGGACGGGGGGCAGCGAGCGTATTCAAGACCCGAGGGTCGGCAGCCCCGGGGTGCCACAGTTAGCGCGTCTGGGCTGAGGGAGACGCGCGGTCACCCCAGGCGTCTGAGTGGCTCGGTCCCTGCCCTCCCTCCCGCGCTGCCCCTCCATCATTCTTACACAACCCATGCCCAGCACGGGGGGGGCCTTTTCTTCCGGCTATAACTAAGTACCTCCTCTCTCCACCTTCTGTTTCAAATCCACGACCCTCTCTCCTACCCAAGCCTCATCCCCGATGAGCCTAACGCCCCAGAGCCGCACGGATACTATGTATTTTTCCCACCTGTCACTCACCCACCCCGTTCCCGGCGTCCCTACGCTCCATCTCCTGCCCGCACACCGGCGCTGCCCAGAGCACCTTTTCACTCCTGACTGCCCAACCTCACTCACAGGCCGCGGACGGGACGTGCACACACTGGGACACCGCGCGGCGGTGAGAAGAACCCTTGCGCTTGTGATGGCCCTGAGGGTGTTACGCTCAGTGAAGTAAGTCAAAGAGAAAGACAAATGAATGCCCTACAATCTCACATAGATGTGGAATCTAAAAATCAAAACTCACAGACACAGCAAACGGACTGACGGCGACCAGAGGGGACGGGGCTGGGGGCGGGGCCAAAGGTACAAACTTCCGGGTGTAAAAGAGCTCAGTCACGCGATGTCACGCGCGGCAGGGGGACTACACTCCGTAACACTGCACTGCATATTCGAAAGCTGCCAAGAGACTACGTCTTAAATGTTCTCATCACAAGAAAAAAAATTACAACGTTGTACTGTGATGGACGATAACTAGATCTATTACGGTGATCACAGTGTATACAAACATCATGTTGTTATGTTATACTCCTGAAACTAATATAATGTTATGTCAATTTAACATCAAAAAATCTATCTGTAAAAATTCTATTTGTTTTGTGTTGATCTATCACCACCTTGAGTATTTTTTCTCTAGTGTCGGAAAAAAACTCAAAATTTAAAGGCAAATGCTCCACCTCTTACAAAATCGTTACATAATCATTTTATAGAAATATCAGAGACATTATATTAGTCACAATACCTCCAGAGCTTTTTACCTCATCATGAACTAAAATTGTAGATGTGACTGAACTATTGTTTTGACCTGATTTTACTCATGCTGGTGATATACAGCCTCCACAACTGTTACTCAGAGTCAGCGTCTACCTGGACTCCTCTTCAAACTTCATTTTGTGCTTTAAAAGCCAATTAAACATTTTAAAAATCAAACATGTGTTTCCTGTTAAAATGTAAAACTGTGATTAAGAAGCTCAACTGTATTCTATTCTTGAGGGATAGCAAAAATATAAGGGTTGTTATATACAGTTTACCATGTAGGCAGCATAGAGTCACCTATAGATTACGGTGGCAACCTGAACATCGATCTAAATTTTGTTCCCAAATAAGTAAGATCAGTTTGGTTAACAGACACACACTAAGTTTGTTCTCTCCCTCTCCCCATCCCCCAGAAGGTAAGCATAAAGGAGCCCGGTGAAGTTTCTAAGTCATGACTGTATATATTATACATGACAAAAGTAATAAGCAGAAGAACCTGCAGGTGGGCAAGCGAGAAAAGGCACTCCTTGTCCGCAGGAAGTCACTCAACACTTACAGCCAAATGGCAGGATCGGCGCTAACCGCCCCCCCCGCCCCCAGCCCCCGCCACAGACCCACAGGCCCCACACAGCCCACGGGGCAAGCGCCCGCCACCAGGTGTTCCGCGCTGTGCGGGGTCAGGTCAGCTCACCGGAGACTTTCTGTATCACTTCGTTAACTTCCTTCATGAACACTTTCTGTACAAACACCAAGTGGTTCAGAAGATCAGTTGTGAGATTGTGTTCAAAAGAACCAACCTGCCAAATAAAACCAGAGTGTTAGGTTAACAACACTGCCGGCTGAAGAGCTTTAGATACACCTTTTGCTCACATAAGCAGCCCCGAATTCTGGAGGCAAACAATCACCTACATACTATTTTAATCAATACTGTGAAGAAGGGTTAAAGATATTCAGATTCCCCAATACTTTACTGACCCATTATGGGCCATTCCCCCAATTCTTAAAAAAATAACAGTAGCCAATAAGGTATAAAAAATCATTTGGAAATAAATGAAAACTATACTTTACTTATGTAACCTGCTAATTTCAATATTGAAATTTTGTCTGGAGTAGTATTTATTTTTCATGACCTCTGATGTACTGTTGGACCAATGAGTAAATATCTTAATAGAATGAGCCATGACGATACTGCAGAGGAGGATGTGAACCCTAAGTGAGAAATAATGAATTCAAACACATTTCAATAAACCTACAGGAAGGGACACAGACTCATGTGTGACACACATGCCAGATTCGGCACAGAATTCTGTTGGAATAAACGATTTAATAATCTGCCGTAAAAGTTGGGATCACTACACATCTAGGTACCCCTAAGGCTGGAAGACGACCAACCACAAAGAGCGAGGAAATGAGGAAGCGCCCTTACTTCCGCCACGCAGCGCAGGTAGTTGCCCTGCAGGTAGCAGCCCTGCCTGGCGGGCAGCTCGTCGATGCCCCACGCCTGGTCGGGGCAGCTGTCGTGCTCCTCCATCACGTACTTCCCCGACATGGTCACCGGGGGCAGGTTCAGGCTGGCCGACGGGGGGATGGTGGGCATGTCCGTGGCAGAGACTTTGGAGGTGAAGCGCAGCCTGTGGTTCGGCAGCTCAAACGTAAACCTGGTCTGCGCACCTGGAAGAGAAAGGGAGGCCACGGCTTCTTCGCTCAGGCGTGCGCTCGCGCACCAGCTCCTCACTCTGTTCAAAGGTGGCGCCTGAGAAAACTGTACGTGTACCCCAAAGCCTACATGGAAGGGTTTGGAAAGGACATTTTTTTCAATTTGCTTACGTTTCCTATCATTAAAAATATGTATCGTTGCTATGAAGGGCCAGCGAGTCAGCATCAGTGAGCCAGAAAGAATTACGCTCTTAGCCTGCTAGGGGCCCCGCATGGAATCAGGGGCCAGGGAAACACTTGCAAATGTTCTTCATTTCACAGACGGTGGAAGGGAAAGAAATCATCTTATTACAGGAGAGACAAAACAAGTAAGTCATGTGCAACAAAAATGCACTAAAAAGTAGCAGACGCCTTGTCAGAATCAGTACTTATCACTGGCTGTCACACATACTGTGTAACGGATACACACACGCTCCCCTCCCGACCAACCAAGCCCCTCCACCAACAGTGTTCCGCACGGCACCGGCTGGCCCCACTCCCTTGTTCATGACTCTGAAGAATCTTATTGGAAATAATAACAAGGTTTAATATGGTTGCTGAGTATAAGATTAACAAAGGGTCAAGTGCATTTTTTTACACACTGTCACCAGTTTAAAAAACACCATTTTACAAAATATACCACTTGCAGTAACTACCACCACAGATTAGGAAACTAGGTATCCAAGTAAATACCTTGCAAAAAATGCACAGAAACCTTAAGTAGAAAAAATTTTAGCTCTGTAGAAAAACAATAAAGAAAACCTAAAGAGACAAAAAAAATACATAGTCAGTAATAGGAGGGTTAAATATTGTTATCAATTCTCAATATCAATATTATCAATTTTCCCCAAGTAACTCTAAGGATTCACTTAAGTTCCTATACAAATCCAAACAGGCTTTTTTCAGAGAACTTCACAAACTGACTATAAAATGTGTATGAAGGAGCACAAATGAAAAATAAACAACATAACTCCTAAAAAGGAAAAGTCAGGCAGCAAAGCACTATTGCTGCAAAAAGGCCAAGGACACAGAGCCCCGAAGCCCGGAACGGACCCGCACACACAACCGCCCGACGGGTAACAGCGCCGGACCACGGACCGCGGACAGAAACCCGCCAGCCCACCCGCAGCGCGGAGGCTCTGCCCTGCAGGCTGCCCCCTCCACACCAGGTTAGAAACGCAACTTCCATATAGGTTGAAAAACATAAAAAGTAGAACTTCAGAACATTTAACAGGACGCATAGAAGAATACATTCGTGATCCTAGGAAGAGAAGCATTTTAAGACATAAAAGCACAGGTGATAGAGGAAAATGATGGCACATTCAACTACATTAAAGTTAGTATCTGCTGGTCAAGAGACAACTCCGAGCAGGACGAGAGCCTCCGACGGGCGATACGCTGTGTCCAACACTTGACATCAGAGGTTCAACACACAAAATTATAAAGGATTCCTGTGAACCAAGGAGAAACCAAATGACTCAATGGTAAAATGGGCAACAGACAAACAAGAACCATCAACAGGAATTTCACGGAAGTCGTCATATCTACAAACCCAGTTTCACGAGTAATCACAGCAATGGAAATTAAAGCCACAGTGGAAGGCTGCGCCACAGCGGCCAGACGGGCAGGCACGCGGGGCGCGGGGGCGCGGCGGGCTGGCGGGCGCAGCGCTGTGGGAAAGGCCCGCGCCCCCCGGGGAGGGAGGCTGCGCGTGCCCCAGCCGCGCCCCCTGCTCCGGGCTCACCCCGGGAGGCTGCGCGCCCGGACGTGGAGGCGAGAACCACTGTGACGGCAAGATGCAGAGCGGGCCCCAGGTCCACCAGTGGCAGAGAGGACGCGCAGACTGTGCACTACTCACTTAATGAACCACTGTACCTCAGCGAAAAAGAAATGAACATCAGCGGCATGACCAGACAAACCTTAAACAAAGCGCACAGCAAAAATACTCCACGTTAAAAAATATGTTAATGGGATTCCATGTAAATAAAGTTCAAAACAGGCAGGAGCAGACTCTCGGTCGTTTGTGAGTGTAGGCACGTGTGTAAGACGACAAAGCAACGCAACGGAACGGGGCCGGAAGCCGATGGCAGCGGGCGGCCCGCGGGCAGGCCGCGGGGCACCGCCTGGCCATGGTGACGAGCCTGGGGGCCAGAGCCCCCACCTGTTCTAATTGTTAGGTGTGTAACAGACTGATAAATTCGCAGTTCTTCCTTATTCTTTAAACTGTGTATGAATTTACACTTGTACATATGATATATTTTAGGGCAAAAATATTACAGCAAAGAATTTTTGGACAGGATATATGAGGATCCCAAAACCTTACAGAAGTAGCTATTTTGAAGAAGTCAGATTACCTCTAATGTGAGCTAAAGGCACCCATCCAAGCGAGAGGAACTGACAGGTGTAGCAATGCCTCCAAGTTCACTTTTAGTGGGAGAAACGACGTCTAAAGACTTCAGATGACAGTTGGGCGCACGGCAGTCATTAATGAGGGGGACCGACAGTTTTTACTTGACTGAGGAACATCATTAATGAAGTTTAAAAGTGCTAGGATTAAAAGTATTTGAATTTTCACACAGTATCTGTAACACCAAATCTACCCTTCCGTCAAACTGTCACTACCTCTGTGGCCGACACCACCCGGCAAGGCTGAGCGCGGAGGCGGACGCTACCTGTCATCCCGTGGCTCCGCATCCGGCCCATCTTGTACTCGGCCCGCAGGGAGGGCAGCAGCGCGGCCCCGATGGCGATGCCGTCCAGCATGGTGCTGAACTTCAGGACCAGCGGCTTCTTTTCCAAGCCTTCCGGCAGCTGAGGAAACTCATTTGTTTCGATAGGAGTCTGATTAACACTCGTTGGGGTTTTTTCAGAAGGTAGGGGGGTCGCAATATCTTCTTTTACTGGCTGTGGGCTACAAAGCAAAAAAACAAAAAGATAAGAGAACTGTGTCTTTTATGATGTAGTTATTACATAAATTTATGGGCATTGTCAATGAAAAATATACTGTAAATAGATGTTTTCTTTCTAATACCAGATCATATTCCTGGAAACAGCCATTGAAAAATGATGATCCAGAGAAGTAAACAGAGAGATGTAATAACGAGATACACTGTAACGCTGGAACACCAAGGTCATTCCTGCTGTCGACGTCGTGAGGCCGTGAGGCCGTGAGGCCGGGCCTTGGACTCAGTGTGCCTGGTTCCGAGTCCCACACCTCCAGCGTGGCGCACCCTCGTGGCCCCTGCACGACCCTTGCCGCTGCTGCCGCTCCCACGACTGATACCCACACGGCCCCCACCGCCCAGGGAACTGAGCGCTCACCCGTGCCAGGGACTGTTCTTAGGGCTCTGTGTGTTTTATATCGAGTGTTCACTTATCTCACGAAACCTGCTGAACAGACACTATTACCTACACTCTGCAAACGAGGAAGCACAGCCACAAGGTGGGGAAACCCAGCAAGGGCCTCTGTGCTCTGACTCCAGAGCCCCATTTTGTAACTACGACATCTCGTGGGCTGTCCGTCACACTAAGGAAAAGCTGCCTAGAGTATTTTAAACTGAGGCTCATGTACAGATTCTAGATTCCATGTTCCATTAGCAAGAGCAGCATTCAAATTATTACTACTTAGGCAACTTTAGACAAGAGTTAGTATGATGTTAGAATTAAAGATCTAGATAGAACAGTAGGAAAAATCACTGCTTTAGGACACCATCAGAAGACTTTTTTCTTCTTTTATCTTATAGGCTAGGAGTAAGGAAACATAAGTAAATGACATTTTTCTTTGTTATTCATGAGCTACAGATTCGGAGACCAGCGAGTCAGCAACATGGCCCCCAAGAGGGCTGCCGGCCCAGGGGGGGTGGCTGGCGCGCCGAGGTCCGAGTCGCTGCCCTTTAAAGCGCTCACGTGGCAGAGCCATGTCCTGCCTTCAGGGGAAGGCCAGCACAAATCCACGCATGGGACCTAACTGGCCACCAAGTCCCTGGACATCTACGTGGTCACACGTGCCCGTGAGTTAAAGGTAAACAGGGACTGACACAGTCCTAGAACGTGTCGGCTTGCCTTGCATCACCAGCACCTCTTACGATGCCCGCACAGCTCCGGGCAGGCCCCGTCAGCTCTGAGCGACAGGGAACACCGACAAGGGCACATGTGACGTGTCATCACGTGACACCCGATGTTACCCACGATCCCGCCTGCCTACTTTCCACCAGCCCCACTTCCGTCACAGCAGACACGTGGGTGAAACCCCCCTCTCCCCGCAAACTCTCGCTCACGCAGCCGAGGTGCCCTGAGGCGTCCCGGAGCGACGGGCCGGCGGAGCGGCTTACGCTGCGGAGGGCTGCCGGATGAGGTCGGAGATCTGCTTCGACAGCTGGTGAGAGCTGCGCACCATCATGCTGTGCAAGGTGGCGGGGTGCTGGGGGATGTTGATGCTGATGGCGCCGACCTTGAACACGGCGGCGTTGTTGGTCTTCAGGCCCCGCTGGGCGCTGTACAGGGCCTGCGACTTGGCGATACTGCATTTCACCACGGTTCTGCTCACAGAGAGGGAGGGCCGTCAAAACAGGGCTGAATGAACAGGAATCTTGCAAAAGGTATTTCAGAGAGCAAGACAAAGGCTTTCGAATTGCTCATTGAACTAAACGACTTCAGATTTTTCATGCGTTTAAGTCATATATTGAAGAAATAAGTATTCTAATAATACTGAAATACATTTATCTTACAATGGTTGCTCGGCACACCAAATATTCTATTTTAATAAAGGTCTGTGATCACATGTAAGTAAACCCATGAACACTGACACATTATATACATGCAACACACAAAATTCCATTTTCATTTCTTTCTCCATTCAGAACTCCGCTTTTCTCCTCCAACTTATTTTTGGGATCTGTACAACCACTAAGAAAACACAGACACTGAATATGAAAAGATAAAAACACTCAATACACCTCTTAAAATCTAATCGAAGAAATTAATACTCATCTAATACATTAAAACATATTAACAGAAATTAACAGGAAGCAAGAAATTAATCGGGATGGCCTGTTCTCAGTGAGTGACAAAGAAGTAAGGGAAGTTCAATCCACAGCGAGTAACGACCACTCAGTTCAAAGTCCCTTTGCTTTTCCAGCAGGGACACAAAACAGGGCTGCTCTGTCTGGCTCTCTTGCTTCCTCTTCCCATTGGCTAGAACGGAACCCCCGCGCGTGCTCGGCGCCCCCTGGAGTGTGTGAGATGAACGAGCAGGAGGACGGACAACAGAGGGGTGAGGCCCCCCGTGGCAGCTGGGGGCTCACGCAGATAGCACGGGGGAGCCCGCCCCGCCCGGTGCAGGAGCCACGAGGGAACCTGACACCAGGGGGGGCTCTGGCGGGGGAGCTGCCCCGGGAAAGGCCCCGCTTCTAACATGAACGTTCTCTTTCAAACGGGCAAAGGATGCTTGAAGATAAATAGCGAAACATGCGAAATGCAATTTTGTATTAACCCACGTCAGTCCACGGACCTCTCCCCACTCAGGCTGCAGAGGATTCACTGGCAGTTTGTTCACAGTCTCCAGGATCTGAAGAATCAGCCTGTCACATGGAGCGTCTGCCAGAATGAACCCTGAGCAGCCCAATGCCGGCTGGATCAGGCGTCTTGATTATGGTGAAATCCAGGTATTTCATAAAATTCACAAATGGCTACCAGAGAACTAAGTTGCCTTCTTCTACAAAGACAACTCATTCCCAGAGATAGTCACTGACTGGGACCATGCAATTGGTCTAGCCAGCACGGGGGTCTGGCCAGATTCCAGGAGGCCAGCTAGTCACTGAATTTTGAATCCTTTCTTACATATTATGATAAAGAAACTGTTTATCATAAAGGACATTTCATTTTAAATTCAATTTCAACATCAGCCAGAACACGCTTCCATGATGCTTCCAAAATGAAAATGGCTTTCTACTTGTGAACTGCACCCATCTATTGAGTGAAACTGAACACGCATTTACGGAGAGGTCTGTCCTGCCCTCACAACAGTCTAGAAACGCGATCTCCCTGTTTTACCCTTGTAACCTATGGAAATGTGCGCCGCTATCATTTTTGACCAGGCAAGCGCATCCCTAAGGCAGGGCTTTCGATCCTGCGCCAGAAGCCAGGATGGGAGGCCGACGGGGCTGGCCGCTCTGCGGCTGTGGGTTCTGCTGGGGCATTTCCAGCGGAGACGCTGCTGGCAGGGCCCGGGCTGGGTGTGGCCTCCGCCTGCTCCCACCACAACCACAGGGGGTGGGGCTGCCTGCCACTGGAAGACACGACAGTCCTACCCTCAACGTGCTGAGCCAGAAACTGCAGAGGACGCCTGAGAACCTCTCGTCAAAGAGGTCAGGAGGCCCACATGCAGAGCTAAACGCTTCCCAAGCTGCCAGTGAGAGTTAGCTATTCCCAATTTAGTTCGGTCTTTGAAGAGCTCTGTCATGGCAGCTAAGACATGCCGCGTGTACAAGACTTCGCCACACGAAAGGCGTGGTGGAAACCCCTCTAACGAGAGGATGAGGCGAACCTCATCAACACGAGCAGCTTGTGGCGAGGGATCAGGGGCGGCAGGGCTCCCTGATGGCGGTCCCGGTCCACTGGCCCCAGAGAGCCTCGCTGCGATGGCCCCGTGTCCTCGGGTGAGGACACTTCTATCCTCTCTCCCTGCCTGGGTCCGGGCAGCGGGGCCTTCCAGATAGGCCAGGCACCCCGCCCACGCAACAGGGCGAGGGGATGACTCGAGGGTTTGCACTGGGGTCCCACTGCCTTGCACCCTGCCCCCAGCCCACGCCGGCCCGGGAGCTTCCGGCCTGGGCGCAGGGCAGTGCAGGGAGGCGGGCTGATCCACGCCCCGGCCTCCCTGCAGCTGTGCCCGCAGGCCTCTGCGCAGCGGCCTGGAGTTGTGATTAGAGGCCCCCGTAACTTTCTTTCCCATTTGGCAACTGCGCCCCCCCATGCTAACCTTCTCCGCCGGAAACCCGAGAGGAGGAGAGGGGGCGGCCTGTGAGTGCCGTCGCTGCAGGGTCCACCTCTCCTGTGCCCGCTGTCCCCTCTCTGAAGCCTGGCACAGGGCCCAGGACACAACATGCAGCCAGTAACTGCAGAGTGGGGGGAAATGCCAACTGCAGACACTTAAAAGCACCCCTTTAAAGTCATGCCACTTTACTGATCGTTCTTGTTATACATCCGGTTAAGTCAGTGATAAAAGGGAAACAATAAATCTTCTTTAGCTACTGTGACTACTAACGTGCAATTACGTTGTTTTCAATATCTATTAAGAGGACACTAATATGGATGAGTGATTTCTAGAAAATAATCATTTATCTAATTTAATATTAGCGCACTTATTCTTTATTAGTACTTCTAATTGGCTGATAAGTGATATAGATCACATTAATCCCAACAAAGGGCTGGTAACTGATATTTCGTCTATGGCCTGTTATCAATATGTACGAAACAAATATGATATTTTTTATGCTGTCATAATCTTACCACCATGGACCATAATATATAGGTTCATATATTTATCCAGCATATTCAAATTTTATAGGAAATGTCCAAAGAGATAACTAGCACTAAGTAACATATTTAATTTGTCATGGGGGTAAGATCCACGTGACGAATGTTTTTAAATCCAGGACTCAGTAAGCCTCACCACCACAAAGTACCAGACACGCACGAATCAGATCGAGGCACTCCAAGCACAGCAGCACATACAGGAAGGGCAAACACAGAATCTGTCAACAGAGCAGCAAACACTCCTCCTCTTAAGAAAAGATTATAAGGTTGAGATGTGTAGATAGTTTCAATGTTAGTGTTTTAATAATTATGTAATTAGTGAAAAATCTTTTGCAAAGTGAAACACTTTAGCTTCTACTATCACATCAAACATTAACAAGGATATGTGATAATATAAACTTAAATAGTGACCTGTCTAAAAAAGAAAGCACAAACAACACACAACTAGAGTGTGTTACAACCTTTCAACAACAAAAGAAGCAGTGAATTACTAAAAAGGCAGCCCTTACTGTGTGTTTTCCTTATATACCAGAAAGCTTTAATTTATAAAAGGGTCTACATTAAAACTACAAAATGATAACTAACTACATACATTCACAGCCATGCAGATAACATTATCTCTAAAACTATTTGAGACTACGTTAAATACAAAGCCCATGAAAGAGAAGAACATGACATACAGGAACTCTTGTTTGGCTGTGCTGGTAGGAGATGTAGGGAAGTCCTCCAGTCTACAGGTGAAGGTTCAAGGGGAAGCAGGAAGACAAAAAGGATGCAGGTAAACATTCGTGCATGAACCAGTTACAATATGACCCATCATCTGGAAAGTTTTGCTTATTTCCCACTTTTAACATTTTCCTTTAAAGAACCTTTTAAATTCATTTTTAGTTGCTCCCTTTTAATTAAAACTGGAAATAAAAAGCCTAAGAAGAAACCCAGAAACACTTAACACTACTAGAATCTGGCAGTGAGTGATCACTTTTATTTTTCAAATATGAAAGTTAAGGGATCTTTCTTGGGTTTTTTTTGTAAAAGCAAAAAATAACCAACAATATAAGACTATCAAAAATCTGTGCCATGAATGTGTTTTGCCAGCTCAGGGATGATTTACGCTGCCTCCTAAGAGCGAACAGATCAGGGAAACAAGAGGCGCAGCAGGGCTTGGTAGCCACCGCGAAGGACAGCGGCAGAGGCCCGGTCCCCTCCAGCAGGGGCGGGGCCGGCAGAGGGCTCCGCCCCTCCTCCTCGCTGCTGTGAGGCCCGCAGGTGTCAGGCCGGCCCTCGGGCCCCTGTGCGTCTCAGGGTGCTGGCCTGTGAGGGGGCTAAAGCCGCCACAGGCCGCAGGACAGGCCACTCATCTCCATGAGGCTCCTGGCCCGCAGCAGACACCTTTGGCAACTGCAGTTAGCCGTCCGGCAGGTGCGGCCAGGAGAGGCCATCTCTCACGGCTACTGGCACGTCACATCTTTCAAAGTCCTGATTGAGAAATGCAGGCCAACCGTTCAGCAGCTGCAGTGAAACGGGTTCTCCTTGGTTCTGAGGTTATAGGTCCAAACTGCCCAGCCAAGCTGGCACTTCCATTTCAGGAAATGGCCCCCAAGACAGCTGTCATGTTATCCATGCTTAAAATACTATGAGTAGGCCTATAACTAGTCAGTCCACGACCAGTATTTAATTTTTATAATGCTGAACCAAAGCCTCTCTCCAGTCAGTATCTGGCATGATAGAGGCTTTCTGGGACCAGTGTGGGACAATAACTAGAAATAACCCTAAGAGAAAACTCAAAATCTGACCTAAACAGATTCTGTAATTACAGGATAAAATGACTCCACTGAAAGAAGTGAGGAATATACCACCACGCGGTAGGAACCAAGTCAGCGGTTCCATGTCCTGATGACCGATGAGCGGTCTGAGCATCGTGTGCAAAGGTGATTCATCAGAGCAGCTCTGGACAGATCCAGGGAGGGAATTGATTAAGAAAGGAACAACGAATCGAAAGAAAAGGGATATGGAATGTTGGAGTCACTATGAGCTCACCTATACTATTAGAAGGGCTCATGAGCATTGCTGTTAAATGATTTAAATGCAAAAATGGCAAGAGGAGGTTTTAAAACCCAGCATGAATATGGGTAATAAATGCTTAACATAAAATTAAGAGAGTCTGCATCCTTTGACCATAGTTCTATTTAACTATCTGAATTGTGTGAGCTTTTGCATCTTCATATGTTCAACCAAAATTGGCACTGTAACCACCACTTTTCTGGATACACAATCTTATAATTCCCCAGGAATCAATGTTTGGCGGGGAGGGTAGTAAAGCCAGTTTTAAAGAGAAAAAAAAAGATCGCTTTTCTGAAAGCATTTCATTGGGTGATAGTCTTACGGACAGAACCACAGTATCTGCAACATTAAGTACATAAACATCAAAACTCGGAAGGTGTGGGATTCACCCAATGAATTTTAAGTTTCCTATAAAACTGTAACAGACAAATGTAAGAAAACAATAAAAAGTCAACACACTCACTGTATGTTCGGTGTAATCCCTTCAAGCAGCACAATGTTGACGCCACCAATATGCGCGGTGGCACAGGTCTCAGTCATCTTTTGATGTAAAACATCTTAAATGTGATAAAAAATAATTATATGAATCCTGGAAATAATTGCACTTCGTATTAAAATTGTATTTTAGTTATAATATGTTCAGGGACAAAAGATAATTTTAAAGTTGCAATAAAATTTAAACTACATTTTTAAACTATTTTTACAAATTTTCTTGAAGTCTCTTCTCTATATATTCATATATACACATATGTCAAAATTGGAATAATGCTAAACACACAGTGTAACCTGCCAACCACGCATCTCAGAGCCCAAAGGCATTACACAGCCTAATGACACTTTAACTCTCAGAAGGAGCGCTCAGTGCAGAACACGTGGAATTTTTTAAAAGACAAAAAGAACAGGAAAAAGGAAGTGCCAGACCAGCTCTCGGGACCAGGCGGCAGGGCCCCAGGACCGCGAGGGCCGAAGCCGGGCGAAGCAGCCTACCTTTCATCTTCTCCTTCAGGGTGAAGCTGCCGTGGATCCTCTTCAGTTCCGACTCCATCGTGAGCCCACCGATGTCGGCCTCCAAGTGTGTCCGGTTCACCATGCCGATCCCGAACACGATCAGGGTGACGTACTGGGGCTCCGCCGTCACCAGGCTGCGCTTCCGCTTCGTCACGCTGCCGCTGTCCTGTTCGTTCTCAAACACCACCCTGCAGGCCGGCTCTGTCGGGCTCCGCACGCCTGCAGGAGCGAGCGGACACACGTGCGTGAAAACCGCGCCCGGCGGGACACTCCAAGCGTCGTCTGCCCTCCTGAGCGGCCCTCTCTCCCTCCCTTTCCCCACCAAAGCGACCCCACAGTTTTCCCACATGTCCCTTGGCCACACTGAAAGCAAACAGCAGAGCCTGGTATTCGCCAGCAGGCGCGTGTGACTCCATGCAGGAGCGCTGGGCGTGGGCCGGGGGCGGGCAGTGGGCAGCAGCGTCCACTGCCCTGACCACTCCCTCCTGCGGCAACCGCCCCGCTGGGCAGCTCCATCATCCGCTCACCTTATGAAGAAAACCTGAACCACCTGCGGCCTCTCTTAGTGGGACCGCGATTCCAAACAGAAATTTCAAAACCATAAAAAAGCACCGTTACCTGCGGGTCCAAAAGCCTCGGACGACTTCTCCAGTATGCCCGTCGGGTCGGAGATCAGGGAGTAGAAGTTGAGCAGCTTGTACATGTTCTGCCAGCACTCGGCGGAGGGCTCACTCTGCTCAGACACGGTGATGGAGTCCGAGTCGTCCATGGGGATCGCCACGTGGTCCACCACGTCCTTGGAGCCTTTCCGGGACACCTTGGAGGTCCTCCTCTCGGAGCGCCCTAGGGAGTTTTTGTTTCGAGACTCCTTTTTGTTGTTCTCGCCGCTGGCCCGCTTGTTCTTGGCATTGTTCCCCCTGGCGCCACCGTTCAGACTCCCTCTGGAGCTGCGGCTGAAGTCGGAGGAGCGGAAGTCCCGGTGTTTCCTGGTTTTGAAGGTGGGCGTTGGCGAGGCCGACCCAGCTGTGTACCTGCTCAGTTTAATGTCCGTCTGGGTGGCTTTGATGTCGTCGATCATTGTGCTGAACTGATGGATGAGGCGCACCAGCGCCATGTCCACGTGCTGGCTGATGGACTGGCAGGAGATGGTGAAGTTGCAGTGGAAGGTGCTGTAGCGGCGCCTGCCGAGGTCGTGGAAGGAGAGCGCGCTGGCGGTGCTCTGAGGAGCACAGGCCGCCTTCTCCATCACCACCGCGCTGAGGCTGAAGGTCTCCAGCCTCAGTGCGGGCTTGAACTCCAGCGGAGGGAGGTTCACATGGCCCTGCCTAAAAGCGAGAGAACAGAGAGGTTTTTATCTCCTCTTTTCTAGAACTGTACAATGCTTATTAATTTATTAGCAAAAGAATCTCCAAGCCACTTAAATACTTTTAAACATGAAATCAAGTCGAATTTACTGTTTTCACTAAGCCAGACTATTGTAAGTTGGAAACTGGGCCTCAAGTCTCCTCCTTGCTCTTACTCTACCACGGACTAGTCAAAGTCAGACTTCGGGTAACACTTCCAGTGAAGCAATAAAAACAGCTTTTCTTGCCTTCGATGGTACCCAACAACGGTACAGGAATTCAAAGTCAGTTAAAGATCAGTGAGGATACCTCCCTTAACCATTCCCTTCTCCTACATTAAATATATGGTTTATACATGTACACATATATCATTTCATCAAATTTTATATCATTTCATTTACTATTTGAAATGAAATCCTGTTGGCATGCTTTGCAAAGTTGAAAGTGGTGAGGAAAGCAATCGAAACAAAAAGGAGCCTGCAAACTAAAAACTAAACCTTTATAAAAATTATTTTTGGGATATTCTCCTGCTTATCTAAAAATTTTCATGTAGGAATATTGTAGTCAATTTTAATATGAGAGCCAAAATGTCTCAGGTTTCCATTAACCAACTACTGACAACAATAAACTCAAACACCAAAGTTGTAAGAAAGTATGTTTCCCCTTTTTCATGGACCTATGAATGCATAGCCATATAGCTCAAATGTAAGAGGATTTTTTTTTTTCGTATTGGAAAGATAACAGAAGCTGCTTTAATGGCCTCCACTGAACTTGCATAATTTGAGAACAATAATTCTTTAATGAGTAATTCTTTAATAAATCTTTATTGGATAAGAAAAACCCACTTTGCAGTGTAATTCATGAAAATGTACAAGCTCACAGTGAGCCTACAATCAATGCTAAGCTTGTGTTTGGAGAAGAAAAAACTGAATTTTGAGAATTAGAACAGATAGGAGAAAGACATAGATGAGATGTAAGTAACCCACAGCTACAAGAACAAGAGTTGAAAATGTGGAAGGGAGGCCAGAAAGCGCCAGAGAGGAGGTTCACGCAGAGGGGCGTCTGGGCACAGGATGGGGCCGCCGTCACGGGCAAACGCTTCCTGGCCAGCAGGGGGCTGCGTGGGTGCACTGGGGCCCAAGGTCTTGATTAGAGGCACCAAAGACGCCAGGAAGTTAGTATTTATGAAGACTTTCCATGTGCCAGAACTCAAGGATTTAGTAACTGTTCTGGCGTCACAGGCTAGGAGAGTTAAGTGCGTTTCCACAAGAAACTATACAATAATCAGCAGAATGAACAACGTGCTACCCAAAAAAAAGCCCCGACAAGACTGAAATGAAGGACCAGGAAAAGCGTGCTGTGACCACGGTCTCCAAGCACATTAGACTTTAAGGCGCAACACAGGAAGTCGGAGAACCAGAAGCTGGTACGGACAGGGGCGCCCGGAGCTGAGGGGACGGCGGGAAGATGCAAAGGGGCGTGAAGCCCGGCTCAACCGAGGGCAGCGAGTCCGAAGGCCCGGGAGGCCCTGCCTGGGGGCACGGGAGGCGAGCGGGCCGAGGACGGGCCGCCTGCGGCAGGGTCCCGGGCCTCCGAGTAGGCCAGTAAGCAGGCTGCACCCGTAATCCCACACACCCACGGCTGTGCCCGTACACCAGCATATAGACACACGAACGCCAAATACAATTACGTATAACTTAATTATATATGATAATGCATACACTACATGTGTGTGTATACACACACGTTCACATTTTATTTTTACGTATTTTATGTATCTGGGTGGGAGTCAGCTATTGCTCACAGAAACAGAGCTTTTGCCTCTCATCAGGGGGTGGGAGCAGGCACTAAGGTTCCGGTGCCTGGATGCGATGATTCTAATGTGAAAGGATTTCCGTTACCACGGTGTAACTAAATTAATACCAGTTCCCCAACAACACGTAGTTCACGTTTTTAACTAAAATTGACTGTGAATAACCGCATAAAGCACACACACGCGCTGCCGGCCCTTCAGTCCGCGAGCCGCCACGTGAGGAATGGACGGGCCTCCTGACCAGCGGCAACCGCGTCGCTCTGTCAAAGCCCGTCATTCGCCAGCGCACATTCGCCCTGCGTTTCACACCCAGACAGCGGAGCACGCGGCGGGCGGCCTCAGAACAAGGCGCTGGACAGCAAGGGGGGGCGTGCAGCAACAAAACAAACAACGATGATGCCAGCAGTGAAATCCGGTTACACGTAAAAGGAGTTACAGAAGCAGCAGGTGACCGTGGAAATGCTGCCCCTCCCGCTGCCCTAGGAACGGGAAGCCCAAGGCACTCGGAGGAGGCTGACTGACTGCCTAAAGGGGAGGCTGGGAGCCACGGAGGGTGCGGGGGCGCCCAGAGGACGGGGGGCGGGCAGGGCCCACAGAGCGAAAGGGGCTCGTGAGGACGCTTCACGACCTTAAGAGGCAACGGGCAGAAATGTTGGAAACTGAGCGACCCTTAGAGCGGAACGTGGCACTGGCAAGGCGTGGAAAGGGTGCCCACTCTGTATGGTAAGTTACGCGGCAAGAAAGCAAGAACTGTTCACACTGCCCTTTGATGAGGTTTTTAGAAATTTAATTTTAAAATGTTTTCAACTACAATGCCCTGAATGTTACTTTCACTGTATTTTCATCTTCCTATATAATTATAATAAACAGTGAGAGATTTTAATTTTTTGACATTTTTCAAGGTCAAAGAACACCCCCCACTAGCCCTCATGGCCAGCGAGGTCACTCTGCGCGCCTCGGCGGGCACGGCCGCCGCCCCTCGGCCACGGGGCTGTGGGAGACAAGGGCTGCTCACATCTGACGGCAAAGACGATGCAAGTTACGTGCTCCTGAGTCACTAGAACGTCCTCAGATATTCAGACCTAACACACACTACAAAAGGCCTCCATCTGTTTTTCTACACAGAATTGTCATGAAGTTTTTAAAAGCCCATTTTGTTAAATTGTTTAAAATTTTAAATAGAGCACTTAGAGATGAAAAATGTATTTCACTCACCTAAATGTTGGGTCATGTGCATTTTACCTTTAATTCCCTACCTCGCAAAAGCACGAAAAGGATGAAACCAAGCAGGCTGCAAAACCCCGTGTCCATACTCTGTTATTCCTATACACTTGAGCAAGACCCACTCAAAGTAAAATTCAAGTTCACACAAGCTTAGTCAAATCCTATTAGCAGGCATATTATTGCCCAGGCAAACAGAGAAGAAACCGAAGACCTATCCGTGACAACAGAGACTGGCAGGGAAAGGCGGCTCCTAACGTGTACCACGCTGTACCCGGCGCTCCTGCGTCTGGGCTTCTGGTGGCTGGGCTCCCTGGGACCTCTCCTCTGTTCCTATAGAAAACACCACCTGCCACGCGTCAGCTCAGAAAGGAGGTTAGGAATAAATTCTAACTCAACTGTGTACAGCTACAATCTGTAACTATATATGGCTACAATCACTGACACGTAACTAGTGCAACAGCAAATAAATTCTAAGTGTCTACAGCGCCACCTGTGCGTGGCCGACTCTCAGGGAAGTGCTAACATGGCACAAGGAGAGGCCTCGTAACCTGCCAATGCGGCTACTCTTTTTGTTAAATGGAAATCATCTTCTCATTATTAAAGTTAATTTCTCATCAGCGTGAGAAGAAAGCAAAGCTAAAAACAAGCAGGCATTACAGGCCTTGCACAACGTTTCACATGCAGACGAGGACAACGCAAGGCACCTGCGTGCTCTCTTGCCCTTCCTCTCCTTGGCCGTGTCGGAGTCCACGATGTCCGCCCGGAGGCAGTCCAGCGTCCCCGAGAACGACAGGTGCTCTCCGAAGTACATCCGGCAGCACAGCGGCATCGCGTCCTGTGGCTGGATCCCCGTGTGGCTCAGAAGAGGCTTGAAGACAACCTGGAAGGCGCAACAGGGTCCTATGAGCACAGTTTAGAACACATCCTTTACTGCGGCTTTTTTCTTACCTACCCCCAGTTTATATCATGTAGTGTGAAACACAAAAGAGGTTTCTGCCACAAACAGAACTCGGATTCTGCCTAAAACTGAACCCCACTGCTGCACACCTATTCCTGCCGCTCGTCTGCAAAAGGACCGTAAGGACAAAGGGTACTCGATCCTGCCTAGTGTCTGAAAATACACGGAAAATAAAATCATGAGTTAGTTTAAATCATTCTACTTCTTGCTTTTGAAAAAGGCATGAATAGTTGCATTTCCATAAAAATCTGGTGTTTAGTTCACAAAACAGTTTACCAGCTTCCTCTGTTAATACAAAAACATTTCATCTATTATGAGTATCTGGCCTATTTTTAAATGGTGTCACTTGGTCATAACAGTCATTTGACAAAGAACTTCCTTTACTTTTTAGTGTCACACATGCTTATGGAAATACAGCCCCCTGGTTAGCTCTGGAGGCAGCTGCATTCCGTGGTCACCAAGAGCCACCCACACAGCAGCCGCCGCGTGGGCTCAGTGACTCACCGCAATTGCTCTGACTGCTCAGGTGCCTCTTCCCTCTCTGATGCCCCAATCTGGGCGTCAGTCAAGGCCTTCCTTGGCCCCTTCTGACTCACTCATTGCACATTCTCCCTCAGCGATCACTTCCTGAAGCTTAAAAAACCCTGTTACGATGGACAAGTGCCCCCGGTGTAATGAAACCCAGTTTCAGCTGCCGCCAGGCCACGCCCGTGCTCGGGCCTGGGACGCTAGGCCACGAGGGAGAGGACGGGCACGCTCCAGAGGGCAGCCTCGGGAGACGCGCGATGCTCCCTGGGGCGCGGCCCGCACGCTTCCTCCTGCTGGAAAACCCTCCCTCTCCCAGCTCCCGCCCACCTTCCATTCGTGCCCCAGCTCTGCTCCGCGCCCCTGGGGAGCCTGGTGCCTGGCTGACCTTCCTGTGCTCTCTCGTGTCCCCGTTCGTCACCCGGAATGACTGCCCCGGCAAGCAGACGAGGCGACCGGCCCTTCCGCTCCAGAGTCACGGGGCGTCCTTCGCCCCCAGCCCTGGCTGAGACTCGGCCTCAGCGGCCTCCCAGATTGCATGCCACGTCGCACCCCCACACGCTTCTCGCCGCGTCCACTTCGGACCAACCCTCCTCTGCTCCTGGAGCTGAGCGGCCAAGGACAATGAGAGGAGACAGTCCGATGGCCTTACCGGAGCCCCGGCCTGCCCTAAGCTGCTCCTGGACCCTCTGCCCTGCGGGGCCACCGCCAGGGGTCTGCAGTAAGCTCCCTTTCACGTGCACCCCAATACACGTATCTAAATCAGCCTACACAGTTTCCACTGAAGTAGTTAGTATTCACATGTCAGATAGATTTCAGAGTTTAGTATGTGAAATAGTATAGCTACTTTAAAAATGTGTATTGAATAAATGCAACGAATGTATTATAAGTGACAAATAAATATTATTTCTCTACTCTCCCTTTTAAGAAAAAGTGAAGAAGTCCCTCAATACAACGGTGATGTCATGGAGAAGTAACTCCCAGAAACCCGGAGTGCCCGGGGCGTGTTGTAACAGAAACCCCCTCCCCCGGGGCACAAAAGCAGAAGCGCCGCGTGGGCACACTGGCTGCCGAGCTGCGAGGTGCCCTCGCCGTCCCAGAGGCTCCGCGGCCAAAGCGCCACTTACATCGACCTCGTCTCTCTGAGAAGGACCCCGCATCCCACCAGGCCTCACCCTTCTCTGAATCTGGCTCAGTTTACCCTGCTGCCCTCTTTCTGGGAGCGGGGCTGCCCCCAGGCCTCACAGACGTGGAAACGCACTCGCATCCCCCTCCCCCTGGGAAAGCGGCGCCTCTTCACGCCCGTGGCCCACTCCCCCCCGCACACGCCTCCTGGCCACCGGACTACACACACGTCTGAGACTTCGCCCTGTACTCTCCTAGTCAGTCCACTGAACAGGACCTTCGTGCTATTTCTCCTTCACCGCGTCGAAGCCACCAGCGGACTCTAAGCTGAGGGCCTCCCCAGCGCCGGGGTCGGCCACTCCGGGGGCTCACCCTCCGCCCCGTCAGCCTGCCCACCCCAGCCCCAGCCCGCTAAGCACGCTGCACCCCGCAGCCGGCACCGGCCCCGTGACTGCTCCGCTCTGGCATCGTCGGCGCCTCCCACTGCTCACTCAGAGGCCTCCCCACAGCACTGAAGACCACGGGTGTGATTAAATTCATCTTCTCGTCATGGCACTTGGCCAGTCTGTACCTCCAAACAGCCAGAATGTCACCATGGGAGATAAATGGGTATGCCATTCTTCTGCTGAACGGACGCAGGTCGATGCTTCCTTAGCCTACGCCCTTTTTGAAGGCCCCAGGCAGACAGCACAGAGAGAAGGCTGTCAAACGATGCCAAGGCGCACATGGGCGACGGCAGCCGCGGCTCGGGGCTGCCGGGGGAGGGTCGCAGCGACCAGCGCAAGCGGGGCGGCTCACCTGCGCATCGGCCAGCTGCACTGCAGGGAAGCCCTGGTTGGCGGCCTCCACACCGGCCACGTCGTCCTGGCTCGTGCTGTGCTGAGAATGCGTGCCGTCCAGAGTGTTCTGGTCGCTCGACAGAACGGTATTGAAGTCTGAGGCTGAGGGTATTGTAGGAAGATTGGGCGCAACGCCTAACAGGAAAAATGTTTGAGAATACAATCCAGGTTATTGAAAAATACAAAGACATAAAGGGGCAAGGCCAAGTAAGCTTAAGAGCCTATAGGGAGCAGTATTCCCAGACCACTCAAATTAAAGAGACAAAAAGTGTTAGCACTTGTAGGTTCTTTATCGATGACAGACGTGATTAATAAAACGTGAAATGATGCTCAGGTTTCAGAAAATGCCGTTCGCCCTCCTGTGTGAAGTCCGCACACAAGCCAGGCAGCCGGGATGCAGACTCTGTGGCTGGGGGAGCCTCTGGTGCCCCCAGCCACGCCCTGAGGGGCAGAGCACACAGCAGCCAGTGGAGGGCGGGGGTAGGGTGAGGACGGGGGACAGTGGAGCCCCCGAGTGGTGTCCACAGTCACACAAGCAAACTCCCAGGCAAGTGAAGGGCGCTTCCTTCCTCTTCCTCCCCCTCTCCTTCAACCTCCAGGCAAAGGGCCTCTGCAGAAGAACGTTCCTTTCTGGTGCTCCTGAGACCGAAACTCCATTTCCAGGGACACCACCCCGGCCACGCGCTGGCGGCTGGCCCAGCAGCACCGTCCACCCCCCTCAGCCAGGAGGCGCGGAGCGCTGCTGCAGCCGGACGTGGACCGGGCGTGGGCGCAGCGGTGGCCCACGCGCAGCAGCGAGGACGGCCGGGCAGCCGCCTCTCGGCCCCTTTTCACGATGTCGTCTCCTCTGTCTGAATAGAATTCACTAGTGATTCCAACAGCTGTGACACAGACTAAGTTTATCTGTTTTCTGTAAGGACAATCAAAGGCTACCTCAGATATTCTTTAAAAAAAATTGGCTTCTTACCAAAAAAAAAACCAAAAAACCATATCTGGTGAATCTGGAAAAACACAAAAACTAGGACAGAAGAGCTTACTCCACTCGCATTTCAGGAGAAGACCCCAATCCTTCTCGGTCAGTGACTGCTGGTCTTCTCGCTACTGAAGACTATCCTTTTAAAAACTAATAAATTGCCCTCATCTGTTTTCTTTGTTGAGGGCAAGGATCTTTATTCTTCTTAGTGCTCCCTTAGATGGAACTAAATATTTCAGGGACCACACGGAGCATAACTACACCCCAGAAAATCCGGACAAACTGAGCTCCTGTCTGCACTGTTGGCACACGATGTAACTACACACTGCATTTTTATCTCCCTCCTTGTGGAGTTCTGAAAATTAAACCTGCCGTGTCAAATGGAAGTTTTAAACTCTTTAAGTTGCAGGTGTTTTCATGTCTGACATATCTGACTTTCCACAGGAACACTGAGCAGACACTTACGACCCCCTCAATTGCAGAATTATCAGAGGCGCTTCATAAATGGGTCGATTCCAACAAAACAGTACTTAAGCGTTTGAGGGTTTTTTCCCCATCATTCTCTGAAAAATAGGATCTTGCAATAACTTTCCTGGCACCCCGCAGATGGTTAAGGAGAATAACGTGACCGGTCCCCACCTGTCGGAAGACTGCTGTGCCCGGACTTCGTGGCGGGAGAGTCCTGCACCACGCTCCCCCGGTTGCCCACAGCGTTGGACATCCAGTTGTAGAAGCTCACGGAGGACGGCTCGGACAGCAAGGGGTGCTCAGACAACATATCCGTGGCCATTGTATTTCCTGAAAGTAAAGTTGTGCTGAACGTTCGTTATCGCTTAAGTACTGAGGAGCAGAAAATGTGATCTACATAATTTTTGAATGGTCACAACTGTCTGTCTTTGCAGATAGTTTTCGAATTCCCCGTATGACGTTGGCATTTGGATATTACAGCATTAATAAACAACACTCAATCACACCGGGGGGCATTCCTCGTTGGCCAGCCTAGACAGCAGCCCCCCAGCCGCCCCCCACACCTTAGTTGGTAGTAGCATTAAAGGCTGCAATTCCAAACGCAAGCTAAGGGCGAGAAGACACAGACGGGTTACAAACAGAAGGGCCCCAAACACTCTCGGAAACAAGGTGCGATGTGAAAGGAGAGCTGTGTGCCCGCAGCGCCCGCCTCCGCGGGCTGGGGCCCTCCCTTCGCTGTGTGGGCCCCCACAGCGGGGGACCGGGGCCCACCTGTCCGCGTCAGGGAGCTGCTCTTCCCGGCCGCGCTGCTCCTCTGAGGCGTCCCCTCCAGCAGGTTGTGCAAGCTCGGGAAGCTGCCGGTCAGGTAGCTGAGCAGGCTCTCCTTCCGCGGGCTCTCCCTGAGGGGCGCCCCGGCACGGCCCACGTGCACCGGCGAGTCGGTGGCGGTGTCCCCGCTGGTGTAGCTCAGAGAATGATACGGGTGGACGCCCTGCAGAGGAACCACACGGCGCTTCACGCACATGACCCCGAGGGCTGAGAGCAACAGCTGCCGCAAGCTTGCGCTCGCCACTCGCTGCGGCTCACACGCACCAAACCAAACGGTGCCATCAACACCGCACGGCGGCCGACCTCTGGCTGGATGGTGGCCATGCACAACTGCCAGAGGACCAACATTGTCAATGTTGTATTCTACTGAATGCAACAGTCCATGAACTGAGAAGAGAACCCTAAGGCTTGGTAGTTAGAGTAGTCCTTGGTCAACGTTAGTTATTGCTGGTGATATAATTTGAAAAAAAAAAAAACACTAAAAGTTACTACTCATGTGAAATTCAACTTAAAATTCTGTTTTTACCAAATTTAAATACTGAGGGTGGACACCTAATACTGACACTCGAGATAGCAAAGGTTTAGGTATTCTCTGCAAGTCTAACTCCAAAAACAGCAAAAGCGCACCTTTATTTTTAACGCAGAGTCACTGTGGGTGTGCGTCTTGGAGAGCTTCCGAATGATCTCGGCTCCGGTGACGGGCCCTGAGCCGCCGGGGGGCGGCCGGCTGGCGGTGCCTTCCAGCAGCATCGTGTGCTCGCTCACCGTGGCTGAAACAGGCCAAGGCGTGAGAGGCTGTGCGTTACCAGACGCGCTCTTCAAACATCCACTCCGGTGGCGCTGGTGCGGCGACCACACTCAGCTTCACGTGGTCCTTGACAAATTAATTGTGCCACCTCCTGTAACACTCACTCTTTTTCTGTTTTCTTTTACTTTTTCCACCCCAGTCTTCTCACTCAGTCTCAAAAAAGCAATGAACAGCTCCTGTTCGATCTCCCACAGGCCACCCCAATGGTGAGAGACCAAAAACCAATGCAATTAAGTGCAAAAAGCACACAATTTTCAAAGATTAACAGAGGCAATTAATTACAAGGGATATTTACACCATTCTTTCAACTTTTGTGTAGACTTCAAGTTTATCAAAACAAATAAAATACAGCCTATTCCTTGTAACACATTCATCTATTAGATATAAGAAGTTTTTGAAAAAAAACAAAACAAAACTGGGTAAAGTATTATATATCAATGTTCTGAAAGCTCTAATTGAAGACTGTTTTTTCCCATGGTACTTTTAATATTTTTTCAAACTATAAGATAAACTGTAGTGGAATAATAGAAACAAAACTTTGAAAAACCATGAAAATATGTACAGGGTGGGGCAAAAGTGAATTCACAGCTGTTTGTGTGAAATAGAATAATTAATAAATAATGATACAAGAACAAACTCTGTGATTCTCATACTCACAGTTGTGAACCCACGTCCGCCCCGCCCCCCGTGGATCTGTGAGACGCATGCGAACTGCCCGTGAACCCACGTCCGCCCCGTCCCCCGTGGATCTGTGAGACGCATGCGAACTGCCCTTGAACCCACGTCCGCCCCGCCCCGCGCCCGTGCTCCAGGCTGTCGTGCCAACAGAATCCCAGGCTGAGCGCAGGCCCCCAGACATGACATGAAGTCAGGCTCAAACAGGCACTGGAAAAACTCAAAGGCTCCTTTAAAAGGCTGTGGCACAGGGCAAGATGATAAAGAGACAAATGTGATTTTCATATGGAGGTTAACGTGCTTCACTCAAAATATTCTAGTTATACAAACATGTCTGTTGTCTGTCCTGGATAGATTAGAAGTCTCCTATATTTCACGAAATTAAACTTAAGATCAAATCAGTGTAAGATTCCCATTATTACCACTTATTTGGACTAATACAAATCATATTTATATACTTAAGCTATGACAGATTCACATTTCAAATTTGGGATATAAATTAGTGAAACTACCACGTGGACGAGGCCACCAGGCACCTAATAGTCAGCGGAAACGGCCCCCACGTTACCTGCGTCGAATTCAAACTCGGCCCCGTCGGCGCTGGTGTCGCTCTGAAGGCCTGCTCCATTGTCCAGCCCGAGGCCGTCCTCGTGGTCGGGGTCCAGCGCGGCGGGGGGCTTCGGGGGCTGGGCAGGCCGGTGCAGGCTGACTCCTTTGAAGGCCGGCGTCACCACGATGAACTTCATCCACTGCCTGGCCAGGGCAACGAGGCCTTTCTTCAAGGTCACCAAAGCGGGAAGCCCGTCGCTCTGTGATGACGACGACGAGGTTAGAAGGCACCGCGCTGCGGTAACAACGGTTCCCGCTCAAGGGCTCTGCATGCATTCACTCGTTTAAGTCTCGTAACTCCCATTTAAGAAGGAGGCAACTAGGATTTAGATGTTACGTAATTTGTCCAAGGTTACAAAAGAGAATCAGTGCTTCAAGCTGACTACAGAACTCAATCTCCAAACACAAGGTCGCGACTTCTGTCACATGCAATGCAGCACCTCCAGGGGAGGAGCTGGACCAGCCATTAACCAGGGACCCATGACCCCTAAGCTGGCGAAAGGTTCCTGCATATCCTCTACTGACAGAAGCGGGGCGCGGCAGCCCAGGAGCCCAGCCGCGCAGCCTTCCGGGCGCTCCGCACGGGGCGGAGGCCCGCTAGATCACCGCTAGATCACCCGCTAGATCACCTGCACGGCTATAACCTCCCCTCAGGCGCTGAGCATCCTGGCTTCCTGGGACACTCCTGGGAAATCTGACCCTGGTGATGCCTCTCTTGCTTGAAAGGCAGACACCGCTGGCTTCCAAGACATGCTTCCCCGGTTCTCTGCTTTCCCTGCTCAGCCCTCCGTGTACCTCTACTGGCCCTCCCCACCCCCCGTGATACTGGTTTTCTCCAGGGGCCTGTCCTTGACCAGTTTCTTACTCGCCACCCCCCCGCCCCGAGGCCTCAGCCCTGCCCGCAGCCCCCAACCCTCCATGTGGTCCGCCCCCACTCGCCACCTGAGCCCCGCGGTCTGTGGGCCCGTGTGTCTAACTGCACTTCCCCTCTGACTTCCCACACGCCTCACAGCCGTGGGCCCATGGCCCCTCAACACGGCAGGGCCTCTCCGGAGCTAACGCACGGTTGCAGTCACTGACCATGGTGGCGTCATCGATGACGGCGTAGTTGGCCTGGTGCAGGTAGTGGTGGAGGATGTTGCACAGTAAACACGAAGGGTTTTCTTGGAGAAAGCGAGCAACTTTCGTAAGTCTGTTGTATTTACTTCTTAGGGGGAAATGCACGCTTTTATTCTGAAACAAAGCAAAAATAACAGCCTTCGAATGATGTATTAAAGGCAGTACAAATAAAAGACACCCAGCAACTCGGCACTCGCAAGTCTGACGCCTGCCCACGAGACGAGGAACCAGGGCCGCCCCCAGGACGCACCCCGCGCCCCTCCTGCGGGGGACCCACCTCCAGGGCCTCGGTCATGATGCAGCCCATCACAGCGCAGGCCCGCAGCGCCCCCTCCGTGTCCAGCTTGCTGAGAGACGACTTCAGCTGGTCAATGGGGACGAGCCACGCCCCCACGGCCGGCGTCGCTGTGCTCAGCAGGTTCAGCTGCCTTCAAATTTAGTTTTAAAAATTATATAAACAAGTGTCACGATGTGTATTTCAAACAATCTTCCCTACCTACTGTATTTAATGGCTATTTTGTTTAGGCAAAATTACTTTTCCTTCTGACCACCAGATAAAAGAAAAGAAAAAAATACAAAAGAGCCTATCAGAAGTGAAAAAAATAAAAAGTTCATGGCAGGGTAACATGTAAAGAAACACTAAAGCCCCGGGAAAGAGGGTCAAACAGGGTGGGACTAACGTCGACAGAGTCTGGGGCGGGGAAAACAGGGAAGGGGACAGCCCTCGCACTAGATGTACACCCGAAAGATGGCTCAAAATACGTATGCAACAGAACAGCATGCCTCTGAGAACAGACAGACGTCAACTGACGGCCATGCCCTTTCCGGCCCTTCTACCTAGAAAACGCGTGAGCCGGAGACCGCACGTTGGTGGGGGCCGCACAGCTGAACCAGATCTCCTGGATGGTCAGCTTCATGCTGCAGGAGTCGGGCGGCGGCGGCAGGAGAGGCACGTCCTTCTTCAAGTCGTCAGACTCGACGCCCTCATCCTACGAAAAACAGAACGCCCAGAACTGCTGCTGAGGGGTGTGAAGTGTCGTTTTTCCCAGATGAAGACAGCGAGGGAAAGAGGTCTGTAACTTGCCAGAAGCTACAGAGATAGTGAGTAGACTAAGTGGCAGAATTAAGGTTCTGCTTCCTATTACACTCTATTTTCTGTTCTATCTAACAGAATATTTAAACTTCCAAATAAAGAGCTATAATCAATGTTACTGTAACCCATGTTCAAATAAACAAGACTCTAAAAAATTCCTAGTAATGCTTGTATGTAAAGCTGTACTGAGAAACAGGAATAGTATATTTTGAATGTGCAGTCATCACCCTTCACAATGCAGGAAGGTAAGAAACATAATACTAAATAACAAACAAAAGTCTCCTGCCTTTTACATCTACTTAAGGTCCCTGACTCACTTGCAGGTATCACTGGTCAAGAGAAAGCAAAGACCAGCTTTTCCTTGTGAAGCAAATAAGGCGTGAAGGTGGCCCACGAGACAGCTTGGGTCCGACGTGTCACGACGCCGGGCGAGCGACTGGCCCAGGCATCTCCGAGCCGGCAGCGTGCACCGGGGCCCACACTCCCTCCTCTGCAGTTCTGAAACCCACAGCGCTTTTAACAGAACCTTTTTCTGCACATGTGGCATCGAACCCCGATCCACACTGATGAGAAGCTATTTATCCCACTGGCGACTGAAACTGCGCTTACAAACATGTAAGTATTTCAAGATGAGGCCGCCTCAGGTTCACTGGGAGCTTGTGTAGCACACGGCACACACACCGTGTCACCTCTCTTTCAGAAGAACGCCTCCGGAATTCTCAAACACGCCTGGCCCGTGGGATTGGGCCCAGGGCTGTGAGCCAGCACTGGGTGTATGAGGACACAGAGGACGGTCTTCAGGAACGTGAAATTTCAAAAAGGGAGAGGGTTAGTAGATAATAAGCAACTAATTGTAATAGTATGGGAAGCGAAGACAAATAAACTTGATGTGATTGGATGTCGGCACTCACAGCACCTGTGGAGGGTACCCAAGAGGCCCCGGGACAGGACTCGGGAGCTCGGGGAAGGCTGGTGCCTACGGCAGAGCCCGTGGGAAAGAACGGCGTCATCCACGGGGCTGGCCCAGGAAACGAGGGCAGAGAAGAGAGGCGAGGACAGAACACGGGCGAGCAGCTCGGCCAGGGACAAAGGGCCGCAAGAGAAGACAGACCGGGGAAGGGAACCCAAGACAGACGACTGCGCTAAGGCCCGTGGGGGCTTCCGTGGGAGAGCAGGGTCCGAGGTGAGGCGGCGGCCGAGGTTCCCCAGGTGCTGCACAGGCACCATGCAGGGGAGGCACAGGAGGGGACGGGCAGCAAGGCTCCTCCCAGCCCCCCTGTCCGGGGAAGCAGCCACGAGCCCTTTAATTTCCTCATTAAAGTGCCAATCCCCACCTGCCCCACCAAAGACATCCAAAGACCCCACAGGGAAGCTGGGATTAAACTCTTGAAGTACACATCAAAATGAGTGTTTTCAAAGACATTCCTAGGAACGTGGGGTTCACAGGTGATGATGCAAATAGATACTGAGCACCCATGGCACACCCCTTAATTAAAGGCGGCCTCTCACCTCCTCCTGGCCTAATTCTGAAACGGCCGCGAGTGCGCGCGCGCGCGGTCAAGCCCAGTGCCAGCCCGCTCCTACGGGGGGCAGACCCCGAGCCCTGCCCTTCCTGCGTGTGGCTGCCTGCCCCCCACAGCCCTGAAGAGCACTGCCCTTGCACACTCCTGTCACGGATGGAGAGGACTGCGGGAGGGGGAGCGACTTGCCCAAGGTCGCCCATCAGTTGTTGGTACGATGCTTTTGTGATTAGCATTTTAAGTGTCTTTGTTATTGCTGTGCCTGCACTTAGCGCCGTACTATTCTACCACAAAAATAATAAATGAGTGGCATCTAAGGGATTCTTTGGGACCCTAACTGAAATGGGCAGGTATTGACAAAAATATTTAGAACTTACATGAAATACTACCAGTAACAAAACTAATTATTTAAAAAATGAATTTGGCTAAAATCCTTCAAAGGACATAAAAACAAATCCTGCTTTTTAAAATTTCTATTATTTCATTAATTCGGCAGATATTAATAAGTGCCTAACATGAACACAGTATTACGTTAGGTACTATGATGGAGATAAGCATATCTATGATACGGTGCCTACAAAATTATACTCCAGTGGAAGGGAAAGAACCAAAATGCCTTTGCTACCATTTAAGTACAATCCAATCTATAGAAAGACAAGCAAATATACTCCAGAAATTAATTTGTGTTGGTACATTGTTTTCTATGTTATTCTTCCCAAGTATTACTATTAAAAATGCCCCAACCTGCTCATCGGAAACAGAATTTCCATTCAAGTCTGAAGAAGGGCTGGCCCGGTCGCACGGGAGGTTGTCGTCGGAGACGTCCGTGTTGTAGCCGCTGCCGGTCGGGGAGTCGGAGGAGTTGTTGGATGTCAGCGCTCCACCCCCTTCGCTCACACTCGCTTTGCCCATCGTTCCAAAAGCGTTATACAAAACGGCGCCCGACTGTCTTCCCCCTGTCCCGGTACAAGAATGTTTCCATTGAGATGCCTGGCATCTCAGTGATGGACTCTGCCGAATCCATGAAGAAAACAAAAATCCCATATAGAACTTTTTTATTCTCACCAACACTTAACCTTATCTATAAGGCCAACATAAAATTAGATTATCAGGTAAGCAACTGTAGGCACATACAGCTACTATTATATACAACTAAACCTCAACGTCTCAGGAGCAAGTCAGCCTTCCTATTTTATTGCATTACTCAATAACGTAAAAGAAAACAAATATAACTCTAAGTCAGTCTATGTCTCACTAAATAAAGGATTTGTAGTACTTTCATCCTATACGGCAAAGCTCTGCTAATCAAAGATCCCACTTCCAAAGACTCAAGCTTACCAACGCGGGCCGGCTTTGACCTGAGCCGCAGATCGCTCTGCTCGGGCACTGAGACTTTACAAGTCTGGGTGTTCTGCTAGTTTTGGATCACGCAATGGAGGGAACTGGGGCATCCACCCCTGGTAAGTAACCCCAGGTGCCACACTTCCTGCTTGAATAGACTGACTCAGGTTACCGAAAGTCATGAGTGTTCAAAAGGTTTCAGCAGCATGGGGCCAATATGTCCCCACTTAAGCAGAATTAAAACAAACCAACAAACAAAACCTACCTTTTATGGTTAAGTTTTCAAGTCCACACTCAAACATTATCCACCCCCATCTTTCCTGGCTGGGACCTATCCGAGTCACGTCCGGCACAGCTTGCTGATCGGTCTCATCCACAAACGTGAACTCGTCCAGCTCCTCCAGCGTGAAGAGGACTTTGGACTTCTCGAAGGGGATGGCGGTGATGGCGCAGGTGCCGACGTCTGTCACCACAAGAGAACACCATCACTTTGAAAGGCAGAGGTTTTACGTATTTTTTTAAAACAACAAACAATGTAAACATTTGGCACAGTGGTCATGTTTCAAAGGTACCTGAGTAGTCTGTCAAATACCAAAAACAAACAAATGACCTGAGCACCCTGGAACACAGCGCTGCCTCAGGCTGCCCCTGACGAATTGCCGGAACGGCGGAGAAATAGGCTGGGGGAGGGGCATCCCACGACTGACCAGTTACCTGCCCAAAGGCAGCATGAATTCATTTCCGAAAGGGCACAGGGCACTCAAAGTCTAAAGTTTAAAAGCTCCTAAATAATTCAGCGTCACAGAAAACTGTTTTTAAACACTTTTTCATTACGGACCCTTGGGCCACCTGAGACGGCTCAGACCTCTGAGCGAGCCGCGGCGCGGAGCGCGGTGGGCAGGCCGGAGGCGGCAGATGGCACGTCACGACCTCGCTCCCCTCAGCGGGGCCTTTGAGAGGCACTGCCGTGGCTATCACTCATGCTGCCGCTGTGTTTCACAGACTTACCATCCACTTTGGATACTGTGATTAGTAATTTTTAATAAACTGGGGTCAACAGATTTCCCAAAGTGAGGAAGACGCTACAGTCCCCGCGCTTCTGCTCTGCAAAGAGCACCCAGCCCCAGGATGGAAACACACCCCCGACCTCCCTACCACAGTTACCTTCCTAGTTCTCCCTAGAATGTCAGCGAGAAAGAGTTAAACACCACCTGTTCACTATGTGCACAAATACCTTTCTCTTTCTTATGAGACACTAAGAGTGTGGCAATATTCAAAGGGAAATATGTCTCCTTCGGCAAAGTATCTGTTGTAGAATCCTACCTGTTGTATCGAGGCCCCTGAGCTGCCCATGAACGCGATGGATGTTTAACTTGGCGGCGATCTCCTTGCCTTTCTCGGCTCCAGCGTTGGACCTGAGTGACCCAGACGACTGAGGCTGCATCTTGGTGGCGTGGACGTACCTGTCAAACCGGGATGCCCGGCCGGCCTCTGTGCTGCCAGAAGCCTCTTCGACCACGCCTCTTCACGGGGGAGAGAGCAAGAGAGAGAGAGAGCACACCATGGTCATGTTTCGGTAGCACGGCTCAGGAAGCACGCTGCACTAGCACTAACGAGCGGCTTAAAACAAACGCCCCACTGCTCTAACTCAACCAGCGTTAGGGACAAGCTCCTCATGGTTTACTGGAAAACAGTGTAAATAAAAACAGTGCACACTTTCCAGTACCTACAAGGTGAGATTTAAAATTCCAATTCTAGTTTTGAGGTTTAGCTTTAGAATTTTCACAAATCTATTAAAAAGATGATTAAAGCTTGCTTTTTCATCCAGCAAGATAATCATGTCTCAAAGGAATGAAATTTTTTTTAAAGATTTTATTTACTTATTTTTAGAGCGAAGGGAAGGGAGTGAGAGAGGGAGAGAAACATCAATGTGTGGGTGCCTCTCACACGCCCCTACTGGGGACCTGGCCCGCAACCCAGGCCTGTGCCCTGACTGGGAATCCAACCTGCCACCCTTTGGTTCTCAGGCCAGCGCTCAATCCACAGAGCCACACCTGCTGGGATGCAAATGAAATCTTTCTTACCTGTTCATACGAACTTGTGTAGCAATTCTGTCGAAACACAGAGCAACCAGGGACACGTGAGTCACGCTTCTACTGGGAGCTGTACTGGGAGATTCTTCCACTGAGGCTTGTAACAAGCATAAGTTTATCTATCACAGAAAATGGCATAAATGTCAGAGTTGAAAAGTGAAAAATTACCAAACATAAGATATACAGAAAAATGAAAAAACTACTGTTAGGAATAGCATGTCTATGTGTCTGGGAGTTATAAAGACAAAGCTTATAAATATAGGCTCTCATAAAATAATAATTAAATTCTTACTGGATGGATGTGGAATATTTTAGTGTACTTTACCTAACAGTCTGCTTAAGTAAACTTATTGGTATTACATTCATTCTTACATTAGCTCTTCAAGGCAATAAAATATGTTTTTGATATTCTACCACCATTCACGTTAGTAAGTACAAAGGACAAAACCACCAAAATGGTCTCCTCTTTCAGGAAAAGTTTTAAAGCTCTTAACTTGTTACCTTTGGTACGCTAACGTTGGCCTGAAGACCTTTAATCGTCACGCTGTCTTGCTTCATTGTGAGGCTGGTCTGTGTCTGTCCTTCGTGGGTCGTTCCCATAGCAGGGTGCTCAGCTTTTGTTCCGCGAACGTCTTGTCTGGAAGATAACTACAGAGAGTGAAAGCAGGATTGGTATCGCACAACCACGTTGTAACCTCCACGTCGCCCGGTCCAGCAGCCTGCTCATTCTCGCTGCCCCCTGCGGCCCCGGGGGCCTCTGTCGGCAGAAGAGCACCCTGGTCTCAACGTCCGAACCTTACGGAACAGAACGGCAGCTTCAGGGTTCAGAGAAGCGACAGACAGGAAAGTGAAATAGGCCTACAGAGAAACTGAAAAACGGCGATAATAATTGCCATTTTTTTAGGTATTTTCTAGGATCACTAAATTCTACTCGTACCTGAGGGCAGATTTGGGTTCTCATAATTGGCTCCTTGTTGGCTGAGAAAACAAATCTCTTTTGATTAGTTCTACCTCTACCCTAACGACCAATATATTGTGAACACAGCTCCTGGTAGAAGCAGTCTCTGGTCACATTGTGTTTCGACAGACAGAACTGCTACACACGTTCGTACGAACGGGCAGGAGAGGCTCCATTCACAGCCTGGCTTGGGGGCTCAGTGGATGGGGTGCAGGCCTGTGGTCTGAGGACAACCTGCCTTGCTCTCACTTTGCCTCTGGCACCCAGTCCAAACGGGACCCAGACCGAGGTGACAGCCGAGTGGAATAGGCCAGGAGAGCAGGGACGCGACTGCCTCGCCACGGCTGCGGCCCAGGCTACGGCAGAAGCTGAGCGTCACACACCAGCAGGCGGGGACCTGACTGGCCAAGTCAAGTGAACAATCTCAGAAACAGTAAGAGACAAGTTTCCTCATCACAGAGAAAAGCCAAAATGCTATGCAGCTTTGCTTCCTTAGGAAATGAAAACCAGCCCCAGAGAAGGCACGTTCACTGGGCGCCAAAGCTCCTTAGGAAAGAGCTAGAATTAAGTTACTTCTGAAATAAAAGGAAAAAGAAAGCCACATTTTCATAAATAGCTGACTACTGCTTCACCCACAGTATAGTTTTATATGCTATCTCTTATGGAGCCAATGACATGCACAGACTATTTAGAAATGTCCATGTGTTCCAATTGAAATGACTAATACACTTTTAATACATTCAATTTTTTTCAAGTTTGGGTATTAGCTACACATGAAAAACACTCAATTTGCCACACTCGGCTGGAGAAGAAGTCCTTACATTTTCCGAGAACGTGGTCTTGCTGTTTTGGACAGCCTCCCTGAGGACCTTGGCGTGAAGGTCATCCACAATCGCGGCCGGATGGCGGGTGCTGGCGTAGTGGACCATCGCTTCGATGTATCTGTGGGAGAACAGGAAATGAGAAACTCGAGTTTATCGAAGCCATCCCATTGTGTTCCATTCTGGATTATATTCATGTTAGTTTTGTCTCCCTAGATAAACCGTAGGCTTCTTGCAGGACAGAGAACCTATTATTTTCCCTTTATCCCTCCATGAACGAGACAGCAGTTAAGAATATCAAACATATAATTAGTTATTAGGCATTTCATCATTTTTATGCTCATTGGCTCAAAAGCAAAAAATGAAAACTATAATGCCATATAATTCTTACACTATTGCACTGTAACTCTGTGGGCTAAGTAGCAAATGATGACTGAGTGAAACACAGGCCTTTTAAAACACCTCTTCCTTTCCGCTCAACAAGGAGCCCCGGTCGAGAGTCCCCTTTACGCACGTACGTCCCACACACCGCGCATCATTGTCTGAAGCATCAGCTCTGGCTGCAGACCACGCTGGTACCTGTCCACCGCCTCGGCCACCAGAGGTGTCAGCACGACGTCCACGGCGCCCCTGACCTCCACGATGGCGGTGGTCCTGGTCTGGGCGGCGGGCTGGTCCAGCGCCCACTCCTCCGTGCCCGTGTCGTCGTCCGCGCCCTCGGCGGCCCTCCTCTCCAGCGGGGTGTACGGGGTTCTGTACGTGCAACCGGCAAAGTGCGCGTTACGCAGACCGCACGGTGACGCAGGAGCTTCCTTAGGACGGGGGACACCGGAACCTGCGCTTATTTCCTGAAAAGCTCACGGAATCGGGCCGGACGTTTCACGTCCCAAACACTCTTCAAAGACAGGACCAGTGAGATACGAAAGCCCGGACTGATCAAACGCAGTCCATAGATCAAGTGAGAAAAAATACTGATACATATACTCGAGGAAGCTTTTCCAGAAGAGGGCAACGACACTTGCGGATTCTTACTGGAAGTGCACCCAGGCACGGCCTGCAGACTGAGCTGCAGGAGATGCTTGGCTGCTTGCAAATGCCCACAGAGCCATGGCAGCTGAGAGCTGAATCATTGGGGGCAATGTATTCATAAAATAAAGTCTACAGTCAAATCAAGGATGGTTACTCTTTAGAATAAACTCTGCATATCTCATAATCAAGACACACAGACTTGAAACTTTAGAAGTACCTATTTTTACTTACTTTGAAGATGATCCTGAAAGTTGCATTCCTCGGTCCAGCAAAGAATTAGCTGTGAGCCCCTGTTTGATGACCTAGAATAACAAAAAATATTACTTATAGTCTAGAATTTTAATATTAATTATTCTCTAATTTTATGCTATAGACTGATGATCTATGAATATCAAAATTACCTCATTAGGATGATTTTAACATACACAAGTATTTGACAGAAAAATTGAGAAAAAAATCATACAAAGTATTTATTTGGCAATTTCATTTTCAGTTGATTCAGACAAAGGCCAGGGTGGGGTCACAAGGGTTCAGCAGCAAGTTAAAAGGCCAGACGACGAAGCTCACAGGCAAGCGTGCCAAGTCTGCCTTCCAGCACTCCTGCTGAATTGAGCTTTGAAGCCAATTTTAGAGTCTTTTCCTAGCACAATCGACTTTAAAGTGGGGAATCCCATACAAACAGTACACTGCAGGAAAAGCTAGGATGCACGTTAGATCCATGAAAGATAATTACTACAAATAACACCCTTGAACAATCCAACTGAATCCTTTTAAATGTGAGGCAGAGTGAGTGGAGAAAAATAACTTTCTTACTTCCTATGTTCTATTTTTAAAGTGATCTAAAGGTATGAGTTCTTTATCTTCTCCAGACATTTGACTCCTTAATCAAACCCAATAGATTTATTGAAAATACTAAAATAATTCTAACCTTTCAAGTGCTATTCTGCACCAGTACCATTCAATTTCATTACCAGAAAATTCATAAGCCAATATGTTTCCACATGGAATAAAGAGAGCATTTTTAGATCTTAGCATGAGCAATTTATCTTGGGCAAGGACAGATACGGGCACAACCTTAAAACCCATACTTTTTGACGGTTACTCAAGTTTCCATTCCCTCAATACATATTGCTCACCCGCTCCTGAACCTGTTCTCTGTTAAGAATACTCAACCCCACTTACCCCCTGTCCATCAGTACGTAAGTCCTGGCTGCCGCAGCCTCCTAAGTGACCACCCCACTTCCTCTCTTGCTTAGTGACAATTCAGCTGCACTCAGCAGCCCAAGCACAGGAGATCACATCCCATGGCCTCAAAGCTCTCGCGAGCTTCTGAATGAAGTTAACACGGAGCTCCACCCCCCGTGCCTGCTCTGTCACCTTGCGCAAGCCCCGGCCATCAGGAGCGCCCCCCACCAGCCACGCCTCCATCCCACTGCCTTCTTCCCAGCTGCAGCAGCTCGGCAGGGCCTCCGCCTGAACGCCGGGCCCTGGTCTTCTGTCCTGTGCTGCTCCTCCCCTTTCAGGTTCCCGTTTAAATATGAAAGGCCCTCTCAATACAACCTCTTATTTTCCACGCCAGAACCCATAGGTTATCTTCAGAAGGCTCTCTGCCTGTGTAACCGCGTACTTATCCATTGCCCTATGAACTGCCTGTCCCCATCCCCCCGACGACAAGCCCCATGCCCCTTTCCCTCCGCAGCACAGAGCGCACGCCAGGCTCATGTGGCATACAGCACATGGTTACCCACGAAGGCGTGAAGACACTCTCAGTAAGTGCATCGATATATGTAATCAGTTCCACAAGGTTACATATGCTTGATTTTGGTCTTTAAAATTATAAAAACTTCTCTTAGTAATGTAATTCTATAAAAATTGTTTTCATATCGGCTATGATCACTACATGTCTTCTGACCCATTTATAGCTCTCCTAAAGAAAGCCATTCGCAGACTGCACGGCAGAAGTGGCCAACAAGCAGCCACGCTAAATCGTAAGGCCGCGATGCCGAGTGAGTGGGGCTGGGCTCGCACGGAAGCAGTCGCGGGTCAGAACACCGGCTAAGAGCAACTTCGAAATTTATTTTTAAGACACAGAAAATATGATAAAAAATAGTCACCTGATCCTATTTTAAGAGTATAGCGCAGATAAGTGACTATTACATCAATTAGTTAACATTATGACAGTTCAAGTCTGTAACTATTTCTCAGTTTGATATGCTTACCTTTCCAACTCCTACCAATTAACCTTGAGACCTATTACCACACAGGAAGCCCTGACTTCAGAAAGGAAGCTAAAGTGACTGAGAGTAACTCTGAAAACATCTTCAAAATCTACTTTTCTAAATAAACGTATCAGTGGAAACTGACGACCTGGTTTATACCTTAAACGTGGGCACAGAGAGCTGCTCGCACGAGGATGAGCTCTCCTCGCTGGTCGGCGTGTCCAGGTCGAGGGGGCGGTGCAGCGAGGACTTGGAGGTCCTCTTATTGGGCGGGTGCTTCACCGACCAGTTCACCACCTGGAACTGGGTGAGGTAAGTCTGGTAGCAGCTCATCACCGGCTGCTGACTGGCGGCCTGCTCGCTCTCGCCCGCCTTCTCCCCTTCCGCAGCGTACAGCTGCTCCAGGACGTCGTCTTCGCCGCCCAAGGCAGACACAAAGGAGGCCTGGGACGGGTGGGTTCTGAACGGCAGGGCGCGGGGGTCCTGGAGGCTTTCCCCGTGGCCGAGGAGCGGCCCCTCCACGCTGTGATAGATGGAGCCCCGGCTGTAGTCGGTCTGCTGGGCCTGCTTTTTCTTCTTTTTCCTCCCTGGGTAAGTTCCAGGGCCTTCGTCACTGCTCATGGGCTCGAACTCCTCTGCTGCTGAAAAGTAGGCCTCGCTGTCGGCCATGGACATGCTGGAGTCCATGGATCGGTACTGATGGAACGAGTTCGAGTCGGCCGACGGCGTGTACGGGAACGAACCAAAACTCCTCCTCTGCTTCGGCGAGTCCAGGACGTTCTCATCGCTTCGGGAGACATCACTGCTAAACTGCACTCCCACTGTGACGGGCTGCTTGTCCCCATAAAAGGCAGCGGTGAGGCTCTTGGTGCTTCCCAGGCGGGCGGAGCACACAGAGGCTTGTCGTTTCAGGGGCGAGCGCAGCGGGGACTGACCTGCAGACTTGTCCTGAGTATTTGGAGACACAGGGCTGTTTCCTGAAATTTCTGTAGAAACGCTAAAACAGAAAGCAAAGCTATTACTCTTTACTGTACACAGAATTCACTCCAAGTATAAACAGAAGTACTTATAAAATCCTTTTATGCCCTGACCAGCATGGCTCAGTTGGCTGAGCATCATCCTGCAAAGCGAAAGGTCGCCGGTTCGGTTCCCAGTCAGGGTGCAAGCCCACGCGTGGGCCTAGTCCTGGTTGGGGGTGTGTGGGAGGCAACAGATTGATCTCTCACATCGATGTTTCTCTCCCTCCCTTCTTCCCGCCCTCCCTCCTTCTCTAAAAATAAATAAAATCCTTAAAACAAATCCTTTTAGTAATCCGAATCATTTTACAACAAAAAACCTAAAATTTTACAATAAAATAACCATATAAAGTAACAAAACAATGTGTTCATATCCCATATAGTTTCCAAAAAAATTGAGGAATCTTAAAGCAAACAAAACATACAAGCCAGAATATAATCTATCCATAATCCATGAAACCTAGTGCTTCATCAGTTGCTTTTTTTTTCATATCTTTTACAAGCTTGCCCAAGAATATGTACCAGAGAGACCTTCTATTAACTGGGAAGATCTGAAGGAGAGAAAAAAAAATCACAGATAATCCCAATGTTTCTGACTTTGTCAACTGACAGAGAAGTGCCATTTACTGATGCAGAACAAGCTGACCATGACGGGCACAAGGCCACATGTCCAGTCTGAGATCTCGGAGGAGCAGTCAGGTGGACAGGTCAAGGAGGTAAAGGTTGCAGCCGCAGTTTGAAGTTTAGCCACAGATGGTAAGTGAAGCCAAACAGATACAGAGACTGTCTGGGAAGCAGCACAGAGAGAGGAGAAAGGACACAGAACAGGGTCCTAGGACAGCAACTTGTAACAAGCGCCGCTGTAAGAGGGAGAGAACGAAGAAAGGGAGGAAAACACGGAGGACGTGGGAACAGCCTGAGAAGGAACGGCCCAGGAGGGAGTAAGGTCTGAAATGTGCCACCAGGCCAGGAGGAGAGCGTGTTTCAAGAAAGGAGGAGTCAACTACCACAGGGAGAGAACAAAAAGAGCCCCTGGTCCAGGACAACACCCAAACGTTGCCACAGTTCACTCTGCGAGGCCGGAGGACAGGGAGCGTTTACTGTCCTTACGCTCTTCTGTTTTCCTAATATCTGGAATGAATATATATACGTGTATTACTTTTCTAACCAAAAAGACAACAGCAAACGGGCATTTACAAGCATGTCCAAGAGGAGAAAAACACTTCTACAGCAGGTAAGGTGAGAGGAAGGAAGTTTCCGGGCCATGCCCTTGGGTGGTCAGGACCCCTGCGAGCACGTCCCGTGTCTGCTCCAGCACTGACCTCCCCTGGCCTGCGTCTCTCTTTGCGCCGGGCAGGAACTCCTTCCGGGGTGGCGCACGCTCCTCGGCGCCAGAGGAGGGGCTTTCCCTGTCCCCAGCCAGCAGGGGCTGGGCCGCGCTGGAGCTGCTGCTGTCGTCGGAGGACGAGGACGCGCTGTGGCCACGCGGCGGCACCTGCAGGCTCAGGTGCTGTGCCCTCCTCTCGGCCTCGGCTCCAGCCGACCTGCCTTCCCAGTCTTTCCTCCTCACGCCGTTCGTGCTGCCTGCACCTGCAGACCATGGGAGGGAGCTCCGTGAACACAGCGATCTCCACAGCAATTTACAGCAGGTGTGGCAACGCAACTCAATCCCATTTTTAAGTATAATCGTTTTTTAAAAGCACAAGTGTGCAATTTCACCAAGCAAAGTATCCACCCAAGTGTGGATCCAGAGTCCACAGACAGTGAATTTCTTCTTCTTCTTCTTTTAAACTTTTATTTGAAAATTTTCAAACTTAACAGAAAATGTTCAAGAATAACACAAAGCTACCATGCATCTTTACTTGGCATTACCTATTTTAAACACTTTGTTCCATTTACTCTATTTACATATAGTATACATAATACTCTTTGAGAGTAATTGGCAGACATCGTAGCCTTTTCCCATAGCTACTCAAGTGCTTATTTGCTACGAATACTATATAACCACTGTCCAGTTACCGACTTGATCAATTTAGCGTTTCTGCAACACTGTTCGTTACTCTGCCACACGCTTTCCAGTTTCCTTGATGGCCCCCCAGTGTCCTCTACAGCACTCTGCCCCCCTGGTCCAGGATCCAGTCTAGGACTGCACACTACTGCATGCGGCTGTCTGTCTAATCTGGAACGTGTCCCCAGGCCTGTGACAAGGGCCCTGCGACATTGCACACGGGCTCAGCCACACACCTGACTGTGTGACTTCATGCGCCCAGTCTCAGCGATGAGCCTCAGTGTATTCACTATCAACAGAGGTGATATGCAACTCATACGGTAGTTTGGGGATTAAGTAAGAAAATGTCTGTGAAAATCTTCGAAAACAAATGTTATTCAAATGTAAGACACTAGTATTATAAAGAAGACCCGGAGGTGAAATGAAACTTAACTTACTTTTCTTTACACGACAAGAAGTTTTGGTGTTGGCTGATTTTATAAGATAATCTTCTCTCATAAGCAAAACAGGGGAAATCAAACAACCTTAAAACCACGCGCACACCCTTGCGCTCACTCTGCGGTGGAAAACCCTGGAACCAGAATTTGGCCGGTGGACACGTGTGTCCTGCGCTTTCTACTACGAGCTCCTTACACAGGAGACATCTCTCCAACAGACTGTTAAAAAGATCTTTCCTAACCTTGTTTGTCTCCTGGCAAAAGGTAGTGCTAAGTTAATGCTTTTGAATGAACCAAGGAAAACAGGCTACACATGGGTGAGCTATCAAGACGTCCCCATGTTTCGCTTGCTGACAGCATGGCAACTAAAGCAACAGCCGGCCCTATTTTAGGGACATACAGCTAAGAACCCAAAGGAAAATCCACCTTTGAAGTCTTGAGAGAAAAACACAAGGGAAACCCATTATCCAGCGAACACCCCATTCACTGTCCATCCCGAATGCACGTTATCTGCAAAGTTATCCCACAGGCTCTAAGGAGAGACCACATCTGTCTTCTTGACACAGTTCCATTTTAGTGAGAAGAATATTTTGCAAAAGTAGTTGATAACTTTGAGGCCAATGGTATAAACATTACTGTTGTTTTTAATTAAAGTGGTAAAACAACTATTACTTTGAAGCATAACTATTCCAAAGTATATAGCTCTGGAAGTTGGCTTCTAGGAAAATAAGCACATAGAAGGAAATATTTAGAATAAGCCTGAACAGTGGACCTATTTTTGCCTTGTGTAAATCTGAAAAACTCACGTCTTATCTGGTATTAGTTAAATCACCTGCAAAACAAAGGAGATGATCACATCCTATCTCTAAGACAGGTCTGAAAACTACGTTGAACAAAGTAACAGTGAGCGTCTCTCAGAACAGCGTAAGGAAAAGTTAACAGAAGATGAGCACGTCGCGTTACCCTCCGCAGCCTTGGGGGCCTCCTTGGTGATGATCCACTCTCCAGGCTGCAGCAGCGACTGTCCGTAGTACATGTCAGACTCTGCGCTGGCGCTGGAAAATGCAGAGCTGCTGGACGGGGTCAGCTCCTCGAGCTTGAAGAAATCCAGGCCAGCCGCCGTGCCGCCAAAGAACCTGCAGCCGCCGAGACAGCCACACCTGTGCCGGCACCGCTTGCTCCGCAGCGGGTCCTCGGGCCACAGAAACCACAGCCTGGGCGGGGCAGACGGACAAACGAGAGATGACATAGCACAAGCCCCGTGAGAAAGGAAAACTTTCTGGCAGATAGTTACATGTAAGTTAATTGTTAGTATTTGTAAAAGACACAGTAAGCAAAAGGTTCATTTTTACTGTGATAGGTCTTTTTAATCACTTTGCCATTCTAAAAAAACAAATAAACAATAGTCTTGCCATGGTGTGAGAGGGAAATAAACAGGAGCAATAGTAAGAGAGCTATAGCACAAAAAAAAAAAAAAAAACCCCAAAAGAGCTAGGAAGAAACAAATGTAAAAATCACTGAAATCCAGCTTAAAAACTGGACAAAGCTATTAGTATAAATTCTGCCTAATAGATAATTCATTACTTTTAGGATCTCAGAGCCTGTTTCACATGGCAAATCGAATATGCCCAAATATTATAAACATGGGGCAAGTAAAAAATTATTTCTCAATAAAGCCAAAATAATGCATTCTGCTACACTTTAGAGAAATTGTAATAATTTTGTAGTAAGTACTCTAAATGAAGAAATGAGACAATGAAAAAACGCATTAAAGTTCTCAGGCCCTGGGAGTGACCCACGCAGACGTTCCGTAACACCAATCGGAGAGCTCGGCCTTCAGTCCTTTCTCACATGCGTTACCTCGCTGCATTCTCAGAACCCTCACAGGAAGACGGGATTGGCATCAGCATTTCATTTTACACTCGTTCATTCAGATTTCTTGAATATCTATTACGGGCCTAGCACTGTGCCAGGCAAAACCACCTGCGCCAAGTGAGGTTTACAGCGCAGCGGCTAATACGTGGTCGGTCACTTCTCCGGCTTTTCAGAAACAAATACACCTGCTCCCAAAACTCCTGGGAGACAAACACCTACAAAGGCACCCGGAGCTGAAGGCCAACGAGTCACCAGGAAGGGACACAATCACAGGAAGTCTTTATTCAAGAGGCTCTTGTTCCATTCCCACTAGAACTGCCTCTGTGACTATGGAGCCACCTCCACCCTGAACCTCGCTCACCTCTTCGTCCTGGCATCGTGGGTCTCTAAGAAATGCCTCTGCGCCTCGTGCTTGGAGTGGTGGTCGGCCGCCAGCGCCACATCCATGGTGATGAGGCCGAGGCTGGCCGAGCCGGCCTCCAGCCAGCAGGCCCGCCGCAGCGCCGCAGGCTGCAGGCCCGCCCGGGGGGCCGCCAGCTGCTCGACGCACTGCCTCACTTGGAAGTCCTGAATCGCCGCGCTGATTCCTTCCCCAACAGTCTGGTTGTGGAGATTACAGTTTGCAACCCGGACCGCACCCATCTAGAAAATGAAACAGAACTCCAGTGTCTGTATTTTTTTGGCAACTCAGAATAAACCACAGAATAGGTAATTATTTCAAGTTGCATAAAAGAGAAAAAGAAAAAAGAAAAAGGAAAAAGGGTAAAAGAGAAACAGAAAAAAAATGCAACAGAATAAAACCGTTCAATTTTAAAAAAAGGATAAAAGGGAGGAAATATAAGTCCCCAAAAAAAACACAAGAGAAAAAATGAAGTTAGAAGGGTGATAAGTAATAGAATCACAGAATCTTTCAAAAGCCTAATTTTGAAGAGTAACTCATCAAGCGGAGGTGGCGCACCTGCTGGCAGGAGGCAGGCAGGAGCCACGAACACGTTAAGGGTAACGGCACCAAAACCAAGTCTCCGAACAACATTACCGGCTCGCTCCCGGCCATAAGCAGGCTACAGGCCTGCACCTCTGCCGCGCAGTAATGTTGTAACAATCCGGCGAGAGTGAAAGAGCAGTGGAGTTACGCCTGAGACGCCAACACTGGAGGCGAACACGAGTGAGTAAAGAGCAGAAAGCCGCCCCCTGGACCCTGCAGTCCTGGGCGGGACGGCAAGTCAGAAACGCGCTGTCTTCTGAGACACAGAGGCCTGGCGTGGTCCCAAGGACAGGGCGCTAACCCGGCCGAGACACCGACCGGCAGGTACCTTTATGTTTGTGGCGCAGCCGTGCTCCACAAGGTAAACGTCAGCTCCATCGACCGCTAATCGAGTCATAGTGTATTTCAAATCGTCTGAAGCTGGACAAGGCCCAGGAACACAGCTCAACTAAAAGGACAAAAGGCGGAACAGTTAATTCTATTCAAATCAACACAAGGTCATGTGAGGAATCTGAACGTGCTCTGGATTCAATTTTTAAATCTTCCACTTGAACATAGAGCAAATCTCAAAAACTTGGTGTAATAATGCAATGAGACTGAGAGTTTACAAGAAAAATACAAGAGATAAAATTTTTATGTGTCCACTTACTTGTGAATACATGTTTGAACAATTACCTCATATTTTAGTTACAGCTAAGTAACAACTGGCTACAAATTTGCAAAAATAATGTTAAATGAAAAAACTGAACTACAGTGTTTAATTTCAGGCTTTGTGCATTTGCTTTAAAACTGATACTTCAATGTGTCATGTAAAAAAGAAATCCACAAAAGTCTATGAAACTGCTGACATATTTGTTAACCTACCTTGGATTCACAGAACCGACGATCAATTCCATGCTGACAAATCATGACTGATTTGGGTCTTTCCAGTTCATACTCCCGACAGACCACGTGAAAAACAAAGGTCTGTCCCCACTCCAAGAGGCATGCCAGCTACAAACAAAAAGGACGGGTCGGCAACACTGGCAGCAGCCAGCCTGCGCGCGGGGCTCAGGAGCTCATCGGGGTGTGAGCAGCCTGAGAGCCTGAACGCTGTCTTCCACCTGCTGCTCCGTGACCTGTCTACCTGTTGGCCAGCATCATGATTTTTCTAGCTGGACACAATTTATTACAAACTCGTGCTGCTTTTCATTTGTGAATGACAAATAGACTGCCAAAAGGAAAACTCATTTCAACGGAAAAATATAACTTCTAAAGCAAGTACTTTTCCTCAAGGTTATATCTATCTTTTTCTTTTTTTAGTTTTACATTTTCTTTTTTTAATTTATTGCTGTTCAGTTACAGTTGTCCCACATTTTCCCCTATTGCTCACCCCTACCCTGCCCCCTACTCCCACAGTCAACCCCCCCCAATTGCCTGTGTCCACGAGACCTCTATTCATGTTCCATTGCTTGACCCCCCCGGTCACTGTCCGTATATCTTTCTTCCTATATGAAGAACCAGAACCCAGGCACAGAAAAGTACCTAGAATTCTCTACATAATAATCAACCAAGCTTTGATGGGAAATTTGAGTACTTAGTTATCATACTGAACTACAATTTTGGAAAATCAGATATTTTGAAGACTGAAGCACTTTTGTTTATGTAAATAGAAGTTTAAATAACCATATATCAATTCTTCATCAAATCTTTAGTTAAAAAAACTCTTAATTCTGTAATTGATTAGTTAATAAACACACTGAGTCACAGGTATACATGACATTATCCCTGTGTAAAAAATACATAATGTAACCCTCTGGAAAGCATGGACTTCCCTTTTCAACCACATGAAGAACAGCAGGAGGCCCATCAGAAGCACCTGCGGAATCATGAACCTCAGTGGCGGCAGCAACACCAAGACCCCAGGGCAAAAGATGTTCCCCGTCTCAGGTGAGCGACAGAAGGTCCGGTCATCCTCAGGGTCAGCTCGGCTCAGAAAACAAGCCGTTTGTAGCATGTGCCCGTTCTCCACGTTTGTAAACGTGGAGGACGGGAAATGCTGGGTGAGCTAGTTACGGCCCGGGAGCACTCAATATTTGTTTTCGTCCATTTTTATATAAAATATCCCTTTGAAATTCGTTCACTTTCTTACTATTTCTAGAATCTTAACTGTTGCTGTCTCCAACAATTTCTTTTAAATATAGAAGGTATTTAGATTCTTTCGCCACCTTGTTGCTACCACCTGTCTCTCCATTATATGTCTCATACCCATTTTGTAACTTTTTATTAAAGTTGCACGTGTACATTGCTGCTACATGCTGGTCCTTAGAAATGCCAGGGTAAGTCTGCATATCATCACAAAGATATGGCCCAACAGGTGAAACGTCACAGTAATATGGCTGTTCAACGACATCTCGGTGGCCCATTCCTAGAAGTAAACGACCCTTAAGGCCCCCAAGTCTCCTAAAGACAAAGTGGTCCAGGGACACGGGTCCTCTGTCCTTAAAAGGACGCGTGGACGTGAACAGCGGTGTGGTGACGGCTGCAGCAAAGCGGGGTGTAAGAGGACGAGATGGTAACGGAAAAATCAAAGATTAAATCAAAAAATTAACTACAAAATAAAGACACAGCGGACGGAGGGTAGGCGGGAGGGGCGTCCACCCAAAGGGTCCCCCAGGCCCCTGGGCCAGGCCCCCTCGCAGAGAGGCCACTTCCGCTCCTATAAACCAGCACCCCCGTCACCGACGGTGGGCACAAATGCCGTTGCCTTGTTTTGGGAGATAAGTAAATGCCAAATTCAAATCCTACTTAAGAATGTATAAAAAAAGCAAAGTTCTTAGGAAATTATTCTATATATTGGGAAAAGAAGATTGTTCAACAGTGAAGAACCCATTAGTGTAAGTTTATGAATACGTGTTTGTATAACATATATCTTACCCTGTGTTTTTCCCAAAAAAAATCTCACACTCTTTAAATTCCTCTGTACAACTATAAAATGTTACACTGCTCAGTGTAACGCAGCTTACAAAAGCGACACTTGTCCCCAGCTCGCCTGCTGCTAAGAACTGTGAACGCCAGGAGTCCCGTTGTCACCGGTGCCGACGCAAGAGACAAGCCGGAGGCCGACGCCTTGCCCCCGGGGCGGGGGCGGAGGGGGACAGCGCCCTGCGAGCCGTACCTGCGGCGCCGTGACCTTGGCCGTGAGGCTGCCCGCCTGCACGTCGATGAGCCACGCATACTCCAGGGAGTCGCTCCCCAGGGGCAGGCCTTCTGCCGAGAACATGGCGTGCGCTCGCAGCTGCAGGCCCGACAGGCTGATGCGACCTTCCCGGAGCGCGTCGTCCGCGGGGGGCCGCTGCTGGGGACAGTGCAGTGAGGGGTGAGGCGGGCGAGGAAACTGCGCTGTGGGTTCCAGGCTGCTTCCCCCCGAGGCAGACAGTAAGAACAGGCTGTCCGGGGAGTAAGGCTTCCGGACGCACCCGCTCCTGACACTCCTCTCACCCACCAAGAGCCTGGCCTAAGCTCTGCAGCCACAACGGCCCCAAGAGCCCACCCACAACGCGAGACGGCTGAGCCCTGAACAGAACGCGGGCCTCGGAGCGGCCACCGTCCTGGCTGGGGAAAGGGAAGCCCGACTCTGCTGGCAGGACACATCGCAGGCCCAGGTCTTGTGGGAGGCAGGAGCCGGGGCTTAAAACATTAGGAAGAACAACAGGGAACCACAGAGCATTCAGACCATAAAATGAAGAGCTAGGGAAGAAGGCCATCTTCCACATGGCTTTTGTAAGTATGAAAAGGGCAGACTGATCTTACAGAGTAACTGAGCACTTGCTCCTAAAAGCAGCAAATATTTCAGAGCATGTCTAAGACTCACTCAGTCCGAAAGCTACAGGGTATGTGCCGCCGGGGGGCACTGCCGGGGCGCAGCCCACGGAGCGTGGCGAGGGGCCCGGGGTCGGGAGGCTCGCCGAGCCAGCCCGCCAGCCCCCAGCACAGCCTAGTGATGATCTGGGGTAGTTGGCTCGTGTTCCCACTTCCGTGTGTTCTTGGCTTTGTAAAAATCCATTTATATTTCTAAAGCACACAACCTGCCTAAAAGTAGGGAAGAACCCTAAAGTAGTGGTAGAAACAGAGGCCATTTGGCATTAAAAAGCAATAATTATAAGGTGATAACCCACCCAGTTGTGTAAATTATTCCCACTTGATGAATATCATTGGTTCTCTTCCAAAGGAGCCCCAGAGATACCGTGAAAGAGTTAACAAGGTATCCTGTAGGCGTGTTAGATGGAAAGAACAAATCATTGGCCATGCAGATATGCATGCTTTGAAGGGTTATGGTACTGGTTAATAGTCAGGTGGTGATTTTCAGCAGAATCCACCATTTTCTACATTTTCCTTTCCCTAAATAAATGGAAAAAGTATAAAGTATTTATTTCCACTTCTAAAAACAACAGATATAAAATATAAATGTCTAGGATCATGTAAACAGAGAATAACAGAAAGAAAACAAAACAGATTCTTGAAAAACTCTCATACATACGTACACACACACACACACACACACACACACACCTTCTTAATGAAAAGTCTCCAGCTCACGGAACTGCATTCTCCACGCACAGAAGCTAACACGTCGTTCTGTCCCCATAAAGAGCACCGAGAAATCTTTAGGTCTCTACCGCCGCTCACTGTCCCCTTACCTGGTAGTTGTCACTGACGAACACACTCAGGGGAGACAGGACAAGCTGCAGCATAGTCTCCCTAAACCCCTTCTTCATTTCAAAACACAGTCTTTCCAAAAACGCTGTGGGGCACTCAGGGCCATCGGCAGCTCCATGCTGAAGTGACACAAACACCGTTAGTCAGGACGGAGAAAAGGCGAAGGCCAAGGAAGCACAGGAAAATACAAATTATATTTATATAACTAAGTGATTTTGACTTTTAAAAGAGAAACAGTGTTTACTGACAAACACACATCACCTGCTCCCCAGGAAGGACATTAGGGCCACGTGTACCGGAGGGGCCCCCTCTGCACTGCACCCTGAGGCACACGGTGTGGAGCCCTGTGCGGCACGAGGCTCAGGGCCCCCCGACCCCACCTGGCCCGACTCCCATGGCTCTGGGCTCTTCGGGAAACATAACCCTGCCCCAAGCCAGCCCCGAGAGGCCCCTGGCAACCTCAGAGCGAGCCGGGGTTCAAAGCTGGGCCAAGCCTCCAGCGACACAATTCGACCGCCAGGGTCAAGCCTGAGCCTGGATTTTGTGATAGGTCGACCACAAGCCCCTACTGGTCTGGAGTTGGAGATACAGGCTAAGAAAATGTCAAGTCCTGGAACACACATCGGGCTCACTATAAACAACTCAGGGCCACGTCAAAATGTTCTGAAGTTACACAGACCAGCAAAGGGGAGACGAGACTGAAAGGCGCAAACTGGAGAGTAAAGTTATCAATGACCAAGGAATCACATTCTGAAGCAAACAACACACTATCTCTACAGAGAACAAGACTAAATTAAGAGGTTTTCGAATGTGAGTGTTTTAACAATCGTGGGCCTGCGCGCGCATGGGGCCCCCACACTGGGTGACCCCAGGGTGCTATGGGCCCTCGGGTACGCAAACACTTACAACGGGGAGACGCCCATGGACTTTGTACAAATTCACCAGCACAGTGATGTCCCACGGACGCAGGGACAGTGGGTGGACGGACTTGGCTGAGCTCTCGTTTTCCTTCCTGTCACCGTCCATGGCAACAGCGGTCCACCCAGAGCTGGAGGACGTTGACAGGGACAGAACAGGGCTCGAAGCCACCTCCTCAAAATCCATGTACATGTCATCCTCCCCAAAGTAGTTTTCCTGTAAGTATTAAAAACCAACTGTTACCAAGAGATCTATAACAACTGCTTGCCTTAGAGCCCAGAATTTGTAAACTAAGCATCTCCCGAACCCACGTAATTGAATTAAAAGCATGTGGTCTGTTCTCTTAAAATAGAAAAAGGGTACACATATTTAAGACTGCTTAGCAAATCAACGTTCTACAGCAAAAAAATCCCCCAAAATTACCAAAGTTTATATAGTAAAACTTCATGACACCACCACCTCCAATTATAGCAAAAACTTGCAATCTACATCCTAGAAGAATCTCTGAAGATTTGTAAGGTTCAACGGTTTTCATCTGTTCTTCTCTGAGTGCGAAGGAAGCAGCGCCCAGGACCGACAGCTGCCCCCGTCGCTGCAGGCCACAGGGCTCCCTGCTAGCGAAGCCTCCTCTCGCCCGCCGGCCTCCGCAGCGGTGAGCCCGCGAAGGAGGCGCCGACACACCAGGCTCACGCACGCAACCCTGCCGCTCCTGACTGCTAAGGTGTGGGCAATCCATCTCTCTTCGACTGTCAGGTGTCGTAAACAACCCACAGCACAATGAAAATCTTAAGCAAAGTGAATGCGCAACATCCTGGACAAATGCAAGATTTCATGACGTCGCAGAACGTTTCACTGGGTAACTGCTCAAGCCACAGCTAAGGCTCTCGGGGACAAGTGGGAATCTGGGAGCTCCGAGCAGTTACCTGCAAAGGAGGCTAAATCACAAAGAACTACTGATGACTCGCTGGGGACCTTTTAAAAGTATAAGTTGACTATCAAAAGAATAAGAGCGATGTCTAGGAAACTGACAAAGTCCTCACACGCTCTTAGAACAGCCGTTCTTCGGAATCACACCGCTGACGCCCGCCTTCCAGGGCCACCCTCCTGTGCGGTCATGCAATTCCACGGAGACCCCGAACCAAAATGATTCAACACTTGATTCCGTCCTTGCTCAAAAAACAGTGCCTATTTCTTCAGAACCTAAAGCTGTGATACTAAAATAAACTTGTTTTCATGTATTGGCTTCAATTTCTAAGTGGAGCTCCAAACAAATCTTTGATTATTCTTTACCATGAAATGCAGTTGTTTGTGTCTAACAGGTTCACCTGCAGCAGGCTTTTCTTGCTACCAACCACCCTCAGACGAAAGGCTGTCCTGTACGTCTATGGCTGTGTTGGTTACAACGTGCCCAAGTGTGTCCACGCCGCCTGTCCTGCTCGTCCCTCCAAGCTGCGCTCTGCGAGAGCAGACGCTCTGTCACCTCTACCTCAGGCGACCAGCGCAACTCCTAGGACACGCTAAATGCTCCCAAAAAATGAGGAACTCAGGGGTACACTACTTTTAATAAAGAATTTTGGAATTGAGTCTAGTACTATATATAATATATAATATATTCTCAAATATATATAACATATTCTCAACACTGCATCATCCGACTGGCTGCTGCCTATGTTTAAAAATACATGAGTTCGTTTAAGCGCCATACCTTTATACACAAAAAGGCATTTAACAGAGGCCCGTAGAGCGTTATCTGAGAATCCGGGGACAGCTCCATCTCCACGTGCAGCCTGTCGGGCGGAAGTTCGGAAGGATCAACGGGGGGGCGCGAGGACGTGGAGGGCGCAGAGGCGACCCTGTCTGACGTCTTCTGGGACGGCCTCAACACAGACAGCATTGTTTCTTCCATTTCTGACACTGAATAAATTCAGGAACAGAGAGTTCGGTGAAGGGAGCAAAGACCTCTCAGAAGTCCTTCAAGGAACTAGTCACTAAGGAATTCTATTTGGCAACTCAGAAGCAGCGAACCCTGATATAACACCTACAGTGCATGATGGAAACAAACCCGAAAGACTAATCATTGAGAACGCAACACAGACTAGACTCCATTGAAACGGGTAGAAATACGTCAGTCAGACTGCACAGAACCGATGAAAAGTTCCCGGTGACATCAAGTCCCTGCAATATAAATCCGGGTCACCATCAGGCTTCTGCTATTCTTGGGCATTAAAGTATGATTGTTTTCCGATAACCAGCTTTTCAAATAGCGTCTTGTTATTAGGTTCCATACATAAGAATGATTTGGAAAACTATTCTTTAAAATGTAACCTATTGGAAAAATACAAAGGGCCCCAGTTATGAGGCACATAAGCCTCAGAAGAACTGCAACAGCATCCAAGGCATTTAGGAAGCTAACGTTTCACGAAACCAAGCGCTCCAGGGACAGCACACAGGCCGCCATGCACCTTGTGCGGTGTCCAGCTCTGCGGCTCCTGTCGTGTAGACCTTGAGAAAATCACAGACTTGCTTTCCCTGAGCACGTTTGCTCAGGGTTGTGAGGGCCAAAGGAGACAGTGCAAGCCAGGAAACAGCTTGGCCTAGTACTTCATACACAGTAGACGCTCAATAAAAGTTAGCTGTAATTATACCAAAATTCTAAAAGATTGTAAATGTACGGAATTATGTCAAAAGAATAGATGCATTTTTCCTTCCCTGTATCTTTGATGATTATCAATCATAACGTCAGATGTGTCAAAGTACAAATCACTTAAAAAAACTCACATGACTGTTTCAGCTGCTCATCTGCTTTCTGGGGGTAAATTGGGTGCCACGTGTAATCGATCGTAAGCATGACGCTCGGCACAGTCCAGCATTCAACCCAACCAGCCCTGGAGGAGTCAAGAATGAAGTTTCTAGTCAGGCGCTTACTCCCCTCATTGTATACCAACGAAGGTACAGATAATCAAATTTACTGCTCTTCTCTGAACGACTCTGAAACACAGAGAACGCGAATCACCCCGTCAGGCACTCACTTTTCTTGGGTAAGGTTCCGCCATTTTGGCTTAACGGTTTTCTGGCCGCTCTGGCACTCCGCAGGAAGGCCGGCGTCGTGAGTCATTTTATGTGGGTGGCAATTCTTCACCAGCATAAATAATGAATATTTACTAGGGTGGCAATCTGGTAGAAACAGATGAAGATCAACATCTTCTCCCTAAAAAAGAATTCGTAACAACCCACAGTAATAAAATAGGTGCATAAACATGTTAAGTTACTATTTACAGCCGAATCGCTCTATAATAACCTTGAGAATGAATTCAAAAGAAAGAAACCATAAATTCCAAATGGCAGATTTAACATTGAACAGTCATATGAAAAAGCGGAATTAAGATTTTACATTCACTGAAACTAAATTCTGATGAGAATGTCAAGAAAAAAGTCAGGGAAATAAACAGCAGAGTTTCCACAAAACACTGAAAAGATCATCTTCCATGGGTACCCATGGACATTTGGCATGCAATTCAGCAAAAAATAAAAATAAAACATCATCTCACTAATATAAGCTCAGGTCGTATGTTCTGCAATTGTATTATTTTTACAAAATGACTGTCTCTTTTGGTTCCAGTAAGTCTTGACCCCTCAGCTGGCTTTCAGGAGTCCGGAGCCGGCGCATCCAAGGGCCTTCGTTCGGCTTCACGCGCGGCCCCCGGGACCCTCTGACCTTCCCGCCCCAGCGCCTGGCGCCCTTGCAGGCTGCGCTCAACGGGATGGGGCCCTGGACGCGCTGCCCAGGCACACACTCCACCGGCCGCTCGCCAGCCACCTGGTGGGCTCCTAAGCTCGGCTCCTCGGCCTCCTGTGCCTTAAACACGGGGACGCCACCTCCTTGCCTCCAGAGAGCTGCTCTGAGAACAAGTGACGACACAGAAGCGCTGGGAAGCGCATCCAGCACACGCAGCACGATCACAGGCACGAGCTGCTCTCTTATCATTGTTGCTGCTTTTTACCACCGCAACCTCCACCAACATTGCAGCTACTACTGACGGCCGCGCCCTAAAACTCGGTGTCCCCAAGATTCTGATGCGCACACACGGCTTTCAGATAAAAGGAAGAACGGTGCTTGTGGGTACTGCTTGAGGTCATGGTTACAATGAGGAGTGACAGAGAGAAGTACACTCCAGTTCACTGACAGCAAACACTAGTTACCCACAGAAGTTAGAAAATGGCCAACTCGGGGAATTGTTTCTTTACTGCCCAGCTTCTCAGGAGAAGTCGGAAAACTTGGAGGAATGGCAGAACACTACAGATAACCCCCAGAAAGGAGGGCGACTGTGTCGCCTGGAACACAGCGAACAGTGGGGGAAAGCTGGCTACTTCAGGCGGCCCGGGCACCGCAGTGCAGGGTGAGGGGCGACAGGGTAGGAATAAAGACAAGCTTTGGGAAATCCGACTTACTAACACTCCTTGTGGGACAAATAACGCATCCAATTATACGTACTCTTAGGGAGAACTTGGTGTTGCACGTAGCTGGAACAAAGTCCGTAAATGGCAAGGAGAAATCAATATTCAGTGTTTCCCCACAGGCGGCCAGGTACACTAAAATAAAAGAAAGAAAAGGGAAATTTACTTTTAACTTCAATAAAATTTTAAATAAGAATTGCCTTAAATACATGCCTAAACAAAATTAAATTTAAGACTATACGTTTAGCCCAGTACAAACTCTAATACTTCTCTAAAATTCTCACAGTTAAAGGAAAAAAGATCAATTCCAGTAGCTATTACAATGATAAAATCAATGCTCATTTGTTGGTATTTGTCTTAATAAACAGAATACTTAACCTAATCTTTAAAAAGTCCATACCATTTTCTTGTTGTTTAGTGGAACAGTCAATCCAGTTGTGTTGATTAGCAGCCCAAATCATTTCAAATTGATGAAACATGATTTTAAAATTCCACGTATACGGCACGAATGAAAAAAGGTCTGGAGCACTGTCACTAGACCAGTCCTGGATTAAGTCTACAATGATCGGATGGAAGTCAGAAACCAAAATTAACGGAACTTCTGGAAACAAAATGTGAGGATGCTAACAGCAGTCAAAGATGAATTTTTTATTTATAACTAAAAAGAGCTTTCATACTGGAATGTGAAAAGGTGGTTTAGATATAGCTAAATGATTTAACAGCAAACAGATGCTTACTTACTGATCACAGTTCCAAACCAGAAAAAAATGTATGCATTTTCTAGATTGTTTTTGAAAGGAACTACAGAAGGTCAAAGAGAAAAACAGCACCTGACACTCTACTAGCTGATACTCCCAACACTGAACGTGTTTCTCTATGGAGATTTTACACTGTCCTGGCTAAGTCTGACTATTTCATTGTGCCCTGCCTGCGTATTTCTTTCTAAGGCTCCCTCCTCCTCCTCCCCGCTGTTTTTTAGGGGCAGGGGAGGGTCTGACTTTATAATTGGTAAATGGAAGATGGCATCTCATTTAACTGAATTTCTTAGTTACAGTAGGGTTGACCGTTTTGTAAAGTGGTTTTATTCATTAAACAAATACCCACAGAGTGTACACCACTGTCAAACTCTGTCCTAGAGTCTGGTGAACAAAACGCAGACCTGGCCTTCTAAGGACTGAGTCACTGTCTTTGTTGACTGCTGATCTGCCCGACTGCTGATCTGTGTGGTTTAATCACTGCTTTTTAAGCTGTGTGCCTATACTTGGTGCGCTTCTCCCCGGGTGTCTCAACTATTTTTAACCGCAGCACAGAAAGCTCTTCGTGGAAGAGGCAGCCTGGCCGCCGTGTGGCCCTGCCCGCCCCCGCCCCCCGCCCCCCACCCGCCGGGTGGCTCCGGCCCGTCTCCTCCCAGAGGGGCCCCGCAAACCCTTGTGCCGTCACCAGGCCTCACTGCCCAGTTACCTGTGAAGAAGTTCTTCTGTGCAAAGATGAAGTGGTAGGTGGCTTTGTACACCTCTAACTCACACTGCCACGTCTGGGGCATGTTCCACACCCGGGGGTAGCTGGCGTTGATGTGGAACTGAAAACCAATGTCAGGTCACAAGGTTAGAGCTTAACATGTGACCCTGTGGGAACAGCATCAGAAATAAACTCGCACACACTGGTGATTAACGAGCAGTTTTTTCCCTGCTGAGTGGAACAGAAGGTCCCTTCGAGATTTTAATACTGCTGTGGCTAAAGGTCAGTATCTGTGGTTATGTCCTGTTCCTTGAAACAACTAAGCCACAATGTGGTCAAAAAACTTGAGGAACCACCACCAGGCTACCATTCCAAAACTGTTCTCAGGCTAAATCCACAGAGGACAGGCAACCCCTGGAACCCGTCTGCACGTCCAGCCTGGTCAGCGAGGGGCTGGAGCTCGGGCTCGGAGGGTGTAGTGCCAGGCACACGGTGACACACACGGTGGGACTCAGGGCCTCCTGGGTTCCCACTGGACAGCACGGTCGTCACAGGTCGGCCCTTCACCTGCCAGAGCTGGACAATTCTACAAACCAAGAGCTGCCTCACCAGGAGGGCAGCGCTCAGAAGCTGTTTGGCAATCACTGAAATGCGGGACATGCCAGTTCACTATATACTTATGGTATTCAATAGATTCTTGGTTAATCGCAAAGCTTTCCTTTTAACTTACAGACATATCATGTGTAAACTTGTTTAGGGAAGCAATTAAGGACATACTGGTATCATATTTTATAGAAGAACCCACTTTGAATATCAGCCATCTACAAAGTGGCTCTGTTACTGTTGACCCTAAGAAAATAACAGCCTGCCTGATTACTGAGCGCCCAACCTAAACTCTGGGCACGAGCCTTTCCCTAATTTCCTGTTTGCAATCGGGAGCAACCCCGGGCATCAGGATTTTCTGCCTTTCACCTCATTCATCAGGTAAAAAGCAGAATGAACTGCTAAGCCCTGATAAAGAATCCCACTGGGGACAGAAAACAGAGTAAAACAACGACCTCACTTAGTGGAGAGAGTTAGTCTAGTCCCACAATGAGGTTTTAAAACACTATCCTAACAGCTAGGCACAGTTTAAAGGCCAGAACCCTCCGATTGCCCATGTTCCCTCCGCCACGCCAGGAGCAGAGCAACAGATGTGGGGAGCCCGGCCGGGAGGCCACGCTCCCCAAGGCAGGGCTCACAGCCCCCGGGGTTCTGGAACGAGAAGATGGGCCCCTGGATGACGTCCTGGTCATTAAAATTTTACACTAAAACATTACAGCCAAATTTATAGCTTATGCACATATGCATATCAATGTGTGCTCCAGACTTACTGCTAACATTTCCGCTTCTAAAAGGGTCCGGTACTGCATGCTGGTGGTGGCATCGACATGTAAGAGCTGACCTTTAATTGCAGGGGTGTAACCTAGTAAGTGAAAAACATAAAAATTAGGAACCCAAATATACATAATTTATGGATCCGGACCCCCACCAGCACCCGAGGAAGCAGCGCCTGGAAAGCGCCAGCTACCGCTCCGTGAGTCCCCCCAGCCGGCGGGGGCGGGGGCGGGGGCGGGGCGTGCTCTCCTGACAGGCGGCCCTCCTCCTGGGGAGAAGGCACCCTCTGGCCCTTCGACCACCATGGCCAGGCCTCCTCATGCGGAGCCACACCCCCTCCTCGGCCCGTCGGGCCCTGGCTCAGCCTGCGTGTTCTCGTCCTGCCCACGCCAGCGCTCTGCCTCGGCCACGGCAGTGACACCACGCTGCACAGCCCGCTCCCAGCGAGGGCAGCACGTGCGGCGCCTGCCTTCTGTCCTACCAGAGCTGCCCTTCAGGGGGACTAACCCTGTGGCCGTCATTACACGGCTGCAGCCACAGGCATCCTGCTCTGGGCAATTTTTTCCAAACATCTGATTCTCTGAAAAACAGTGATACATGCACTTGAGCTCTGTGTTGCTACCATCTCAGACCTAAGCCTCTTCTCCCTCGCAGGTGCTCTTCTTAAAAGCACCTGGCCTGGCCGAGGACCCGGCGGGCTCTCCTCGGGCCCACTGGCTCAGAGCTGCGCGGCCAGCATGCAGGGTGCGTCCCGAGTCCCCACAGGCAAGCCCAGGCCCTGCCCTCAGCCGCCCTTGCCTCCCCACCCCCTCCCCGCGCAGTCCAGGAGCGGGGTAAGCAGCTTTGCGCAAATCCTGCTTCCCACCCATCCTGAGCGTGAGAACGGTGGCGCTCCTGCGGCTGCGCCCTCTGGCCGCACGGCTCTCCGTTCGTTAGGGTCCCACCCCCCATGCCCAGCCTGTGCCCGGTGCAGGCCTGAAACTCAGGCTGCTCTCAGAGGCGCTTTTTGCCAGCCAACTACCCGAGCGGGCTGTCCCGGAGACCTGCTTCCGGACCAAGGGGGGCGGTCCTCTTAAAATGGGCTAGGTGAGGTTTCGTTCTCCACCAAAATTGCCCCAAGGTTACAGGGAAGGTGCCCCGGCCATCACGCTTTGTCAGTGGGTTACTGAAGCAGGCAGCCCTGACTGCTACCGTTTTACGCGGCCTACTGAATCCAGCCACCCCTCTGTCTGCTTTCTTCTATTATATTAACAACAAAATAAGGGACAGGCACAAGCACAGAGCTCCAGGAATGGTGTGAAAATCATTCTCTACTTAGCAATCATAACACTGCTGGTTAGTGACTAAAATACAGGTAAGTTGCTATTCTCTGCACACTCAAGAAAGTGAATATTTAAAACAAAAGTTCATTTTAATTGCTCTCAGTTACAAAGGTACTAAGAGGACAGAAAGAAGAAAAATGAAGATGGCTATAGCTGATATTTTGGTCAACCTAACACAAAAAACTTAATCGTGTTGTTCACTAACTTGCGTCAGAGCCCAAATTTCAAATGCACAATGAATTAGATTATTTCAGCTCAGATGAAACTATAGCTACGGGGGCATTATTTAATATTTGAAATAAGAAACAAAAGTTATGCTGTTCAAAGTACCCAGTTTACTCTCTGACAAAATCTACAACTTAACCTAAAACAAAGCCTTTCAGTCACCTGGTCAGTCACTGGCCTGTACCACACGCCAGGTGCCGGGCTCGGCCCCGGCCGTACGCAGTGGGAAGAAAGGCACGGCACCCACTCCCCGGGGCAGCAGGAGACACGCAGTCCACGCAGAGGGTGCTCACCCTTACAACAGAGGCGCACAGCATATGATGAGCGCACAGATTTATAAGGCCTAATTTGATTTTTAAAAATGTTCCCACCTCTCTAGGTGCAGAAATGATTTAATGATGTAATATTTACTGTTGGTAACTATGGGGACGTTAAAATATAATACACAGCTGAACAAAAAACCCCCCAGTAATTAATGTTAGTTTGAATGAATTGACCAACTGTTTCTCCGTATGAGTTCCCCACTGGCCACGTCAAAAGACACACTCGCCGCAGCGTACCCTGTTCCGCAACTGTCATGGGGATGTTGATTTCCAAATAGGAGCCGGCGCCCACGTTCACATGCACGGCGTTTGTTTCCTACCAAAAAAAATTTAAAAAAAATTAATTCACATAAAGCATTTCTTATAAGTACACTAAAATCTTTACTTTTGCATTGTAAGCACAAAATATAATCATCAATGATTATTAAATAGGTATTAAAAGTTCTTAAGAACAAAAGTTCAAATTTATACCAAAAATACACTAAAACAGTTTGAGCAGTTATAAAGGAGAAAATGAACCAGGTTATAGTATAAAGATTTTTTATTATTATTCGTTAATTTCTTTCTACGTTCAGCACTTAATGAAAGGAACATACGCACAATTATTGGGGGTGGGAGGGCAGGAAGCTCACAGAAAGGAATCTGAGTATAGAACCCGTCACCAGAAAAGTGCTCTGGAAAACAATGTTCAAAGTTTAAGCACTATTTTCTGTAAATGATTTCAATAATTACCCTATTCTTGGTAAATAGCAAATCAATGGTAGCATCCGCAATGATATTCATTCGCAGCTCAAAGGCAAGGATCTGCCTTGGTCTCCCCGGCTGTGCAATTTCAGAAACTTTCAGAACTTGATAATCAGGCGGGAAGAAAAACTTCCATAGGCAATCTCTACAGAAGAAGGTAGAAAGAATAATGATGTTATTCCAACAAAATTACCTCTGATAAGGGACCAAAATCTGTATTTTAACTTTATACTAACACTGCTATCTCATTTAACAAATAGACAAAACAAAAAAGGTTAAATCACAAACACCTACTATAATTTCCTCTCAGTAAAACAAAGGACTGTTTTCTACCGTGACAAAGGCTTTCCGCAAGCACGTCAACTGTCCAGATAGAGACACTGCTGGGCTAACTTGAAGTGATGTCTATTTGCATAAAAAGATGTGTCCCGATCACCACTGGCGAACGTCCTCTCCTTTCTTGAGGGTTCTTCTGCCCCTGGCTAACTCCTACTCAGGCTTCCAAACTCCACTCACACCTTCCCTCTACCAGAAAGCTTCCCCTACGTCTCTTTCAGTCTTTAATGTGACTTATGTGCCTTGCATGGGCTGCACTGTGGTTCCCCAAATATTCTTATGTTGAAGTCCTGACCTCAGAATTTGGTCACAATTGGAGATCGGGTCTTTCCGGAGGTAACCGAGTTAAAATGGGGTCTTCCTGGTGGGGCCTAATCTAGTTTGGACACAGAGACCAACAAGGCACACAAAAGGGAAGACCAGGTGAGGATGCAGGAGGTGGCTGCCTGCAAGCCAAGGGGGGAGGCCCCCAAACACCCTTCCCCCAAGGTCCCCGGAAGAACCCAGCCCTGCTAACACCTTGACCTCGAAATTCTCACCTCAGAGCTTGAGAAACCCCTGCTGCCGAAGCCACGCAGGCTGGGGTGCTTTGTGATGGGAGCCTTGGCCAACCAATTCGGCATCTTTCTAAGTTTTTCAAAAGCGCCTACTTTCCTCTATTATACCCTGTAATAAGCCTCTTTTGCTCTTTTCCTTCCTCTAAAGCTAAACCATCTGTGCCGTTTATCTCGGAACCTGCACAGGCCCAGCCATTGCGGGCGCACTCGCGGATTGAACGCAACAGGGGAAACAAAGGGGCCTGCAGACGTGCCAGTAGGTCACCGTCTGCCTACGAATCCGTCCCTCCTCTGCAGGGAGCCCGCGGGAGCCACCTCCCCGACACACACGTTCTCGTTCGGGTTAACCTGTCTGGGGCTACCTTACCCTGCCACAACAAAATAGCTTAGAAAATACCAAGCTGGTTTTAATACAAATTATAGTATAACTCAATACATTTGAAAGACTTATTAGATGCATAATTTACTCTCGTACCTCTGCCTATCGGCCCAGGGCCCGTAGTTGAAATCTGTGCCTTTACCACAAACTATATCCAGTCCCCAACACGGAGGCAAATCTTGTAATTTGCAATCCTCACTGTTTATTTCTCCTTCAATATTTTCTTCTGTTTCTTCTGGAACAAGTCCTACATTGCACAATATACAACATAGAAGCAGTTACTTAAAATAACCATTAAAATATCTCTTTAGATCAGTAGTTCTAAAAATTTTTTGATCTCAGGAACACTTTACACTCTTAAATAACTGTATTTTAATAAAAAAATAAAAATTTTATCTCATTTTTAATGAAAAATGATATTTTTGTAAAACAATTCAGTTAGAAGTGTTGGCATTGTTTTTATTTTGGCAAATATGTGTAACACCCAGCTTAATAGAAAACATGTGAATTCTCACAACTGCTTCTGCATTAATTCTACTGTTCAAGGATTTCCTGAAACGCAGCCTCATACAAATAGGTGGATAGAAAAGGGAAGAGTATTTTAATAGCTCTTTCTTATAATTCTGGATAGTCTTCGTTGACACTCCACCAACATCCAACAAGCAGCAGTTTCTTAAAGACTAGGTATAGCGTGGAACCTGAGCGTTCCGTGTGCTGCCGCATTAAAACGCACTGCCTCTCCTGCCTCGGCGCGGGTCTTTCCCCACCACAGGACTCTGTAATGTCACGCATCCGTCATGTGGAAAGCATGGGCTAAGACAAGCAAACCTTTCCAAATATTAATAAATGTCATTATGAAACATTTTAAAAATCACATCTGTCAGTATCACTGGTGGTCTCATCAGAAAAATCACCAAAGTTGCAGACCCCAATTTCCCAAAACTCCAATTTTCACAGGAAAGCTCAAAACCACACTTTGTCCCTGGCTGCTCTTCCAAGTAAACCTGGGGTCCCACAGAACAAGCCAGTAGTTCACTTTGGGCCTCAGTGACACACGTGTCCCCCCCGAACACACGTGTGTGCTGTGCTGTGGCACGGGTGCGCTGTGCATGCGCCTGCCCCTTTATCACACAGAGGAGCAACAGTATCCGGAGGGTCGAGCTCGGAGCAACGCAAGTTGTGCGGCTGCCGTTTTCCCGGGAGCTCTGGCAGCGTCAGCCAGGGCCCCTCGCCCAGGCAGCGACCATGCCTGGGTTCGGGCCGGGGCACCAGCAATTCCACCCCCACTGCTAAGACAGCCTCCACGCAAACGCCGGCCTGGTGAAGAGGCTTTATTTGTAAAATACTCTGACCTCATAAACCCCCAGAAAGGCATAAAAAGATCAGAATTAAGAAAAGGGGGACTACAAATCCAGTGTTCAGCTGCTTGTATAAAATTGAAACCGCCCCAGAAGCATCGTAGCGGGCCCTGAACGCTGAAACGGCAGGCCCGTTCCAGCGCACTGCGGCTTTCCCCAAGCTAACGCGAGCGGCCTGAACCGCGGCCCTATTCCTCTCACGGCCTCTCACGGCCATTGTCATTACAACTCTGGAGGCGTGTGTGATAAAATGGAATTTGAAGGGAAGATCCCAATGTCGTTTTCTTTTGGTCTGAAATACTAAAGTCATAGTCAACTTCTGACAAAGACACAGGTATTTTTTTATTGTAGTAGGCTCCCTTACATTCGCATTTATCACTTACTGATGCTTATTTATATCCTCAGTAAAGAGACGTAACATATCATTAGCCACCCCGCTCACAGAAGAAACAGACGTGCGGCTCTGCGCCGCACCCCGAAAGCCCACCTGGCTCGTCCATGTAGTAGTAGATGTCCACGTCGTTGGACTGCATCACCACGAAGCCTTCTCCCATCAACCGCGGAGGCCTGCGGGGGGGGGGGGGGCGAACTAAGCACAGCTCCAGGAGACAAGCTGCTCGGTGCCCCGACCGCACGCGCGTGCCTGCGGTTCCCTCAGCATCCCGGGCCCCCGCGGGAGGCATCCCGCCGCCGCGAGGGTGAGCCCGCCGTGCGCCACCCACACACCCTCCTCCTGCCGCGTGCAGCCGCTCCAGGGCCGAGAACAAATCCGGAAAGCTGGGGGGCGCTGACCCCCACTTGCAGGCCAAGCAAGTTCCTCCCTGGCTGGGCCGTCCTCTCTTCGACCATTTTCCAAGAGTACCTCTGACCCCGATTTTCAACTTCTCATTAACTCACAGTGGTGCCCCTCTATAACCAATCTGTTGAATTTACCATTTATTCATCCTCTCTGTAAATAAAAAAACCTACCGGTAAAGTGTATTTTCTGACATCAATTATCAGGGCTTAGTTGCCCAAAATGAGTTTCCAAATACAAGAAGAAGGAAAAAAGGTAAAAAAATTGGTTAGTTATATAATCTTAGAGAAAAATATTTAAAATTAGAGTTTACCAATGGATAGCATACCCACTTCCCTTATAAAGCAGGACTACGCTGTTCATTGATTTATTAGCGAAATATACCTTATTATCACTCAACTTGTAACAAAGAAATTAAAAGGGTGCTCAAGACCTCACTGATCTCTATTAGACATAAAGAGGTTACGCTACAAGACGTTCTTACTCGTCATTCTGAAGACCAACGTATCTCGGACTAGGGACCAGCATGACGCGCACGTTTTCCAGCTTCCCCTTCACGATGTGCATGAACTGGTCCAGGTGGCTGGACGGCGGCTTCGTGGTGTACGTTAAGAAAGCATCGTCAAAGTTGATGCACAGAGTCTGAGGCTGGTAATGATTTCCAAAGGCCAAGCGTCCCTAAAAAACAACGAGATTATTATGCCGTCCTCGTCGGGCTATGTTGTTTTCCTTAGCTGACCTAACACGCATTTTCAAGCAACAACTACATGATTCCACTTTTCCACTATATGTAATGAAATTACTCCACTGATCAGTTTGGACCTGGGTTTAAAGAGATTTAAGCCCTTGAGAATAAATAGCCTTTCAGGTCTAATAAATTTGTGCTAAAGTGGTATTGGTGTTAAAATAATTCTTTCACACTTTATGAAAACTGGAACCAAAATAACTACAAAATTACATCCCTTTCTTAAGTGAAAATTACGTTAACAAATTTTTTTTTTAAAGGCTCTGTTATTAACCCACCAAACGTCCGTCCCCTGTAGCAGAACCAACTCACTGTGCTCACGTTGACCTTTATGACCGGAATGAGGGATCGCCAGGAGGACGTGGGGTCCTGAGATTCTGTTTTCACTTTAACTCTGAGGAAAACAATAAAAACTGACATATGTAAGAAAAACTAAAATACCTGAGGATACAGTGGAATATACTTCCTCAAAATATACATTATTAACAGCAGCTGCACCTTTCCAGATACACCCAATGACGGCTCCCGTGAGCAAAGGGAGACCGCCTGACAGAAGACTAACATCCCTCAAATGTCTCCTGGAACACACTCCGCCACGCGCCAGTTTTCGGATCAGCGAGCCATACAACAAATCTGCATCTGCAGAATGACCACCTTTAACATCAAGAGCATAAATTATGAGATGCTGTCATTACAGCTACCATTGTGCCCACTACGCCACAATGTGACATTTGACAAGACAGCCAAAATTATTATCAACACAACTGGCCACAGGGCAAGTTACTCCAGCGCCTCCTACTGCTTTGAGCATTTCTGACAACTGACCTGATTCCCACCACTTTGCGCCAAAACGACATCTCTCAGTGATATGAAAACGACAGGCCGCGAGCACCCGCCATTTAAGCAGCGGCGCATCCAGGGCAGCCCCCTGGAGGCTGCGGAGGAAAACCAGAGGCGCCTCGCTTCGCCAAGCCAGCGTCTCCATGAGGGGCCTCACCGCCACCCCGGTCTCCTCTCCCCCCCGTGCACCCTGCCTGAGCACACCCACCGCTGCCCCGGGAAGCGGGGACTCCCTGCTGAGCGCCCTGCGGCCTCCTCCTCCTCCTCTCATCTCCCACTGCCTGGGGGGCCATTCGCCTCGGTGGGTCTCGCGCCACCCGCTCCTCTCCCTTCCCCTTGCCACCAGCCCAGTTGGCGAATTGCTGCAACATCCCTCCGTCAGGTCTCCCCCTCGTCTCATCTCCCTCCAGTCGCGGGGCAGCATTACTGACCTGGGGCCAAGCCCCCGGCCCTGCCCCCGTTTCAGTCTAATTCATGCCCGCCTCAAACAACCCACCGCAGCCTCCGGACGTAACACTTTTCCCTAACTCACTCGCCCCGGTCCCAGCCCCCCGACCCGCCTGTGAGTGTCCGCAGAAACCCACTCTTGTCCCTACGGTAACACCTCTTGCACTAAAATCGCCTACTAACAGGTCTAACTCCCAGCTCGGCTGTAAGTTCCCTCGAAACGGGAGAGCTGTCATATTCCCAGGATCAGAGGTGCCTCGGCTCAGTGCCTAGGACACAATAGCCAAAAAATATTTAATTGGGAATAAATGTCCTCTTCATCTACTTAAAAAAAACAACAACAAACTATTGGGTACGCAAGGCTGTTCAACATTCAAAAATCAATGAACACTAACAGGCTAAAACCAAAAAGGCAAATGATCCTATCACTAGATGCAGAAAAAGCATTTGACAAAATCCCACACCCGTTCGCGGCTAAGATCGCAGTACACTAGGAATGAAGGGAAATGCCCTCATCTTCGCAACGAGCACCTACAGCTCACAGCACGCTTAAAGACGAGGCGTAGAAGCTTTGCCACTAAGCCCTGGGACACAGCAAGGCAGTCCCCCCTCCCCACCCCTTTACAACTTCGGAAGCTCGGGCTACTGCAGTAAGACAAGAAACAAACGGTACACAGACCAGGAGGGGGAATCAGACTCTCTTGGCTTGCCGCCGACACAACTGTCTATGTAGAAAGTCTGAAAGAACAGATCAAAAACGCCTCTTACAACTAATAGGTGATCACAGCGCGGTAGCAGGTCACAAGGTTAAAAACATACCGAGCCTCCCACTTTCCCACACACCAGAACAAGCAAATGAAAGTTGACATGTTGGAGATTAATAAAATTCAAGTGTGACAATGAACCTTTCAATTTTGGACTGGGCTCTTGTTCTTCCATTTTCCCGTGTTTTATCATCCTCCTTCTTGGGTGGGATTATCGTTGGCTCCAAACCAAACAATTCTTGAAGACGTCCATAAAGGCCCGAGCGATTGTAAACATGGAACTCAAAGTCGTTCACTGTGACATACAACCTGGTCTCCGCCTTTGGATCTGCAGATGCCAATCACACACACAGGCTTCTAAGCTTTGTGAGAACGTTGGCCTAAGTTTTTGTCCCATCTTTCTCACAGCTAAAGTAACTGAAATGATTCATTTTAAAACCGAATTCTCTGAGGAAAGAGAATCACATTTAAAATAGATATAAAGCAGTGGCAAAAGAAAGAAAAAAGCTCATGTTACTACAGCACTTTAATTTAGTGTTCTAAATACAACCTAAATTTCTAGATTCTGGTTGTCTAATGCCAGATTTACAGATTTTATGCTAAGAACGGGAAAGTGCCATTTACTGAGGAAAAGTAAAACTTTACCCTAATAGAGCCATTAATTTATACTAAAATATTAGTAAAATATTGAAAGTATAATTACTTAAACATCACATCAGTATCTAAACTTCTGCTTCATAGAAAGTAGGACTTTTTCATAGATACTAGTTTGTTTTTAAAAACTACCCAATGCTTAAACAAAGACTTCATGAACTGCAGGCTTCAATTTCAAATAAAGAACACAATTACATTAAACACAGGGAACAATGGAAGTTAATCAGTCCATCCGGAAAGCGGTCACAGGGCAGTCGTGTCTCTGAGGAACAAGCGAGGCCGGAGCGTCAGGTGCGCACCAACGAGGGTCACCTGGGGCCATGGCGAGCCCTCTCTTTTGCTGTGGGCCACACATGGGTTTTCTGAGAGTTCTTTTCAAACCTTTATCCAGTTTCTCCATTAGAACAACTTCCATTGAAAAGCAATTAAAATTAGAAAGGACCTGTCTGATTTTTAAAACTGGGTGAAGAGAATTGGAATTAACTTTCATTTTATTCGATTAAGCTGTGGTTTAAATATGAGGTATATACCTGTGGTAAGATGCCAAATGTCTCCAAAATTAATCTTATCTCAAGTTATTAGCAAAAAAAAAAAAAGCAGATGAAATGTCACTCTAAATAAATATAAATTTTAGTTTAAATTAACAAATGAAAAATACACTGCCACTCATATTTCAAAAATTAACTAAGGAAAACCCATCAACAACATTCATTTTCTTCACAGCAATACTTTCAGTTCTACTCTAATCTTGTTTTTTCCCCCTTCCTAAGATAATTGATGGGGAAAAAAAATAAAACAAATCCTTCAAAACACTAATGTTTGGGAGTTATAACTTTTCTGGTATTTTTAAAATAGCTCTTGACCTATGTTCCTCCCCATTTCTTCAGATTTATCACATGACTAAAAGCTAAGACAATCCCCTAAACTATTATATCAAGAATTTTGCCCCTTTTTCTTGTAGGTCAAATTCTTTAAAATATAAAGAACAGGAAACAGACTAGTTTTTTAATACCTAGAATACATACGTATTTTAAGACTTGATGGCAAGAAACAGCACCATCCATCTTTACCTGAGAAAAGCAAACCCCAGCCCTCCTGAGGGTCAGGCCTTGCCTCCCTCGCCACCCACGGCCTCCGCCCAAACGCCAGGGTCCGACGTCCCGCAGCCTGCTCCAAAGTCTCCACTGTGACGTCCGACGGGCGTCTCACACGCGACACGTCAACCAGACACCTGATTCTCCCTAAACCTGTCCCACAACGCCCCCCGTCTCATCGACAGCAAGTCAGCCTCTTCCATGGCTCTCTCTTTCGTCCCAGATATGACCAGCTCTGCTTTCAACACAGATCCAGAATCCCACCCCCTGTCACCGCGTCACCACAGCCTGGATGTCTTTACAGAACACAGAGTCGCGCGCCCACCGTCTCCCTGCTGCTGCCCACACCCCCCAACCCCACGAAACCTGGGCTGCGACGCCGGCCCGCCCTCCCGCAGCCTCGCGGACGCCAGGCCACTCTGCTCCCTGGCTGTCCGTCTCACTCAGGCGAACCCCACGGACCCCTAAGCGACCCTGTAACCTCCCACAGGCCTGCACACTCCTCTCCTCCCAACCCTCATCCACGCACACTGTTACACGGCTCTTCACGGGCCCACACAGCTCAAGCACAGTTCACCCCCAAACTCCTGCAGGCCGTTTGTTTTCAAATGTGCTTATAAGCCAGGCCAGCACGAGCCCCAAGCACCATGGCCCTGATGGTCAGGAACGCGCCGTGAGGCCGGGCCGACGAGCTGCAGGGGCAGCGGGGCGGACGCGCGGAGCCTGGACGGGCCGCCGCGGACGAACAACGCTGGCCCGGCTGTGCAACAGCGAGAACAGGGCGCTCAGGGTCGCCTCCGACTCGCTGGACGTGCACAGCAGTCTCCCCTCTCAGGATCACTGACACGAGACTCTGGAGCGTCAACTTACTAGGGACACCAAGGCACAAAGGTATCGATCTCTGAAAGTGTTCTGGCAACACTGACACAAAGCTGCACATGACAGCAGGCTTCCCCGGTGATCCCACACACAAAGCCCACCACCGTGCAGAGCCGCAATGCGGGGCGCCAGACACACAGTAGGTCCTGAGCGCCAAGGCGAGGTGGAAGCGTTTTATCCCTCCTCTTCTGACCCCACTCTCCCAGGGCCCCCAACACCCAGAGCACTACAGCGGACCCTTGAACAACAAGAGCAACAAAGGTTTGAGCTGCGTGGCTCCACTCATACGCAGATTTTTTTAAAATAAATGTTCTTCTTATGATTTTCTTAACATTTCCTTTTCTCTATCTTATTATAAAGATACAGTATATAATACATATAACATACAAAATATGTGTTAACAGACTGTTGATGTTATCAGTAAGGCTTCTGGTCAACAGAAGGCTATGAGTAAAGTTTGGGGGGAGTAGAAAGTTATATGTGAATTTTTGACTGCGCAGGGAAGGAGGGCTGGTGGGTGCCCCTAACCCCTGTGTGGTTCAAAGGTCAAGTGCAGCTTATCTAAGTATGCTCCAGGGATCTGTGGGGTGCTCCCAAGACCTTCCCAGAGGACCAAAAGGTCAAAACTATTTTAATAGTGTTGTTATGCTAAGATGAATGATTTAGTTTCTCAACTGCTCTTCCATGAGTGGACAGACAGTGGAGTGTTTTCAAAGGCCACAGGACATATGGTACTTCAACAGGCTAAACACACAAAAAAAGAGAGACTCCATTTGTCTTCCATTAAGCCAGACATATAAAAAGATTTACAAAATGTAAAACAATGATACTCTTCTCACTTTTGTTCTGCTTTGGGAACATTATTTCTACAAAGTATATTATTTATTTTAATCTGTTATGGATTTATCATAGATATTTTAATGAAATAAGTGTTTCTGTAGTTATCAGGCTGAATTTTGAATGCAGTAAACATCGATGTGCTGCATAAATCAAGGCCCTGCGGGGCCCTCAGTCAGTCCCAGGCACGCAGAAGGGTCCCGAGGTCAGAAGGTTCGAGACTCCCTGTTCGAGAGAGTCAGGCAAGGCTTTCCCCGCCTCGAAGCCCTGGTCTGGTCAGTGTGGGTGGCAGGGTCAGGAACACAGGCCGGAGCCGTTAAATAACCAGGGAGGAAATCCTGTGGTGGCAAAACTCTGACGAAAAGGCAGAGGCAGAAGACAGCCCGCACTTCCCACTTTGCGATTGGTCTCGCCACACCAGACCAGAGAGAATCGGGAGCCATGTCAGGTGGAAGTGCGCAGGAAGGCCCCGCAGCTGGTGCGCGGAAAAGTGTCCTAGAAAAATGGTCAAAGGGAGCTGGGGAGCCCGCCGTCCCCAGGCGGGGCCAGGGCCACAGGTGCAGCACGAGGCAAGGCTAGACGAGGGGGCGAGGGTCACACCGAGGACGCCCCGGGGACACTGGCAGCTGCCGGGAGCCAGCCTAGCCAGGGAGGGGACGCAGTCAGCACTGTCAGCCGCTAGGGATAAAATCAGGGTTTTGTACAGTCCAAGCTTTTAAAAATATTTTTATCCATTATAAAACGTGAACCATTGCAACACCCATAAATGAAAACTGATTCCATGACTGACCATTTCAAACACGTCAGGAAATGAAAACTCACCATGCTGCTTCTGCTTTGGGTTATACATTTTCCACCACCGAAAAATTATGAATCCATCTTGAATTCTAAGCAAGATAAATCACAAAAATGAAAACATAAGGAACAATTTGCTTAACTCGATTCTTAACTATTTATTATAAAAGGCAGGCAATTGATAATGAATAATACGAAAGTTCTCAGCAGAACACTGGCATACCTAGATGGCTCATACTCTTCCAGCTAAACTCAGGCAAAATGTAATAGCGGTTTACGTTCAGCAGGAAAATGAAGTACTAACAGAAAAACTTCTTTATAAACATTTTTAATGGTGTAAGAGCTACCTAAAGCCAATCTTGAAAGGGGAACATTAGCACACAGGGAAACTTCTAAAGATATTACTTCATTTCTGTAATGATGTATCATCTCATGCTCCAAAACGATGAACTTACAGCACCTTAACTTTTACTTTTTACTTTTAATTTAGATGTAATTTTAGACTCATAAAGAAGTTGCCTCTACTATTTTAAGAGAAGTGTTAAGTGTTGCCAAACCCTGTCATTTCTCAAATAATTCAAATTTTTCCAAGTTTTACCTAAGTAGCACATTTTAAGAAAATCACAAAAATAGCTTTTCTTTCAAGTCTTACAGAAAATAGAACATATCAAACATATTATCATTTCTTATTACATTGAGATTTGCATTTCCTTCTTAAAGTAAAATTAGAGTAGTTAGCAGATGCTAAACAACTCTAAAAACATATGACCCAATAAGGACTGAATGGTTGAGAGTTATCAGCACCTCTGATCCTTATTTTATATAACAAATGACCACCATAAATTCTACAACAGAAATGATCAGGTAATTTAACGGCTCAATTTTTCATATTGGAATAAAATTAGATCATCAATTTCTATAGGCTGCTATTCAGTAAACATTTTGGAACGGGGATTATCAATTTCTAGAGGCTGCTATTTGGTAAACTCTTTGCCAGTCTAAACCTTAGGTAAATTAATCCACTCAAAGAAACATTTTAAAACATTAACCCATCTTGTCTGATTTACTGAAAGGAATGATTTTTGATTTATGGTTTTATTTCAACAACCACGTAATATTAAATAAAGTATCATAATCAGAAAAAACTTTTCAATATTTCAAGTTTAAGATAGGTTCTTTCATTGGCTTCTGTTTTTGCTTTTTACCTAATAGACATGTCTTCTGTAATGTAATAGATTTCACGAACCATGACTTTTCCAGAAAGAACAGAGAAAGAGAAGGAGCCTGTTATAGGAATGAAACAAAAACAATTAATACAACTGTTCTGATAAACAGTAGAGCCCTTAACCCTTAAAATAATCTTAGCATTAATTTTACTCAACAACTAAATGTTCTCTCCTGCCTCCCTCCCTGATGCCTCACAATCTTACTAATTTCTATCATCGCTTCCAAAAAAGTGCCACAAGTGCCACCGCCATGGACTGAGCTACTAGACAGCCGCGTCGGTCTGCACAGCTGTCGGTACAACTAGTTCCCTGACCGACGCACAGCCCTCCAGCAAACTCAACGCGGGGCCTGATTCTCCGTTTTCCTCCGTCAATTCCTGTGGCTCCAGGAACCAGTCACTGCCTCAGATTAATGGCAGACTATTTCTGTTCGAGAGGCGTTTGTTTATGTCCACTAGGAGGCACTCAGCTCCAGGGCAGGGCAGAGTGGCTATCTCCAGGGTCCCCTCTCCCCCTTCTCCCACTGGTTTAGGACTTCCCAAAGCAGAGAGCTTCCTGAGACGCACTCCTGTCGAGCTGCAAACCTCCCACTTATAAGTAGTCAGAAACTAAACTAATAAAGCAGGCCACAAAATGAAATATGTAAGATGATTCGGATTTTTAAAGTATGGCTAAATTAAAGAAAATAAAGCAACCAATACTGCATCGAGCACTTGAAACTTTCTCTGGATGGTAGAATCATCAGAAATTTCTATTTCCACATTTTATATTTGTCTATATTTTTCAAATTATAGTCAAAAGTAACTGGAGCCCTAGCCAGTGGGGCTCAGTTGGCTGGCCTCAGCCTGCAGACCACAAGGTCGTGGGTTCGACTGCTGGTCGGGGCACCTGCCTGGGTTGTGGGTTCAGTTCCCAGTCGGCGCGCATGCAAAAGACAACTGATTGATGTTTCTCTCTCACTTTAGTGTTTCTCTCCCTCTCTTTCTCCCCCCTTCCCCCTCTCTAGAATCAAAAGAAAAAAAAGGAACTAGGGAAACACTTTAAGAAGGAAGAATGAGCTAAAGGACACAGGCTGTCACAAAGTGCTGCATGAGACAAATTCCAGTCGGACTAGTTTAACCTTCACAAAACACAGGTAAATTTCTAAAGCTACACCTTTTCATAAAACATAAATGTGGCCTCAAGATTACACAGAAGAAAACACTCAGGATTATTCAAACTTACCAATATGGATATAGCCATGTTTGTATAATCTGTTCAGAACCAATGTTAAAATAAGACCAACATTCCGAGAGTTATAATAGGTGAGATAAATAATCCATCCACAGGACAAAATGGTTGCTGTTGGGAGAAAAAAATGCAAAAGGCTGTCACTTTCAATCACCGTAACATCTTAGTAAAACTTCCTTAGGAAACGGTCATTTACCACATTCAGAAATGACAATCTGGCAGCATGTCCTCTCACAGCTGAATCTTTGGGGTTTTAAAACCAGAGGCGGGTCCTGCCTCAAGGACGTCCCTGCTCTCGTCCAGGCACAGGCCAGAGGGGCACGGGTTCCAGCGAGAGCGGGGCCTCTCCCTGCCGCTGCTGGGCTCCCTTCCCGCTGCTCTGCGCCGCTGCTGAGTGTCAGTGAGTAAACGAATGGCAAGACAAGACGCTCTGGGACAAGAAAGCCTATTGTTCTGCGTATTATGGAAAACGGCTCCCTCTACTAGGCTCTGAACTCATTCCCACACTGCTCCGAAAGGCAAAGGTCACTTACAAAGAAAGAAAACTGGTAATTTTTTAAATCAGAGAAAAGTCATTATTTTTTAAATCAATAAACTCTGCTTTTAAAAAAAAGTAATGGAAATAAGTAGGAATTTAGCCCCCTTAAAGGCATATCTCTATTAAATAGAACATCTTATATTATTTTGCTATAATTGATAAGACAATAACCTTTTAAGGATGCTTACTTTTATCGAATACACTATAATAAATGATATTCCAAATCTGACCATTTGTCATGAGGTTTATAGTCACTTACATAATTTATGATAGTCCCCCCAAAAAACTAGTTCATGAATATACAAAAGGTAAAATATAAGAGAGCATTTTCTGATGATAATTTTTTTACATATCTATTTAAAAAATAACTATTTACTGAATTAGGACAAAGTAATGTAAAGCAATTTCACATGTGTAACCTTTTAGCAACATCAAATCAGGCTCTTAACTCCTAAGAATTATCTCATACAGACACCACCAGGCAGTCGCCGACCCACACAGCATCCCGCAGGACAGCTCGGACTCACGGTCACCGCTGTGGCGCACAAGTGCTATAATCTGTCTGCAAAAATTGTTTCTAGAACAGTTCTTTTGAAACTTATTTCACTGATGTATCATGTTTGAAGTTTCAGGTCATTATGTGTGAATTTTCACTGTAACCCGCGCGCCCACAGCAGGCCACTGCGTGCCACTCAGAAAGGCAAGAGGTGCCTGCTGAGCAAGTGCGGGGGCCGCCTTTCCCCCGCGCGCCCGCCCCCTCTGGACTCCTAAGGCCACCGGTTAAACAGCAATGTGAAACACCGACTCGGTGCCTTTCCGGTGGTTGCTGCTGATTTTACCTTAAAGAAAGAAGTTGTATACAACAGAAAAGAGAAATTTGGGATGGTAGCAGAGGGGACAAATAGGAAATAAGAAAGAAGTCTGCCCTTAATTAAACTAAAAGGTAATTTTCAATGCTGTTTTTATGAAGTCCTAGTTCATACTAATGTTCTGCATTTCATTTTACTTTTTTCTGGCTTTTATTAAATGATCATTTATAATAATTCATATTTATCCACTAGAAAAAACAGAACTCAAAGTCTGAATGGCAATCCAACCCTACAGTGCGTGAACCATCATAATCCCGTCACCTCTACCCAAGTCCCCAGGGCCCGGCCCACGGTGTCACAAAAGCAGCATTAGCACACACTCAGAGAAGAGAGCGGTGAAAGCTGACCACGGGAGCCTGTGGGCCTCAGTTCCCCGCCCGTGTAAGGGAACAGGGCTACGCCCACCTTCCCAAGCGTGCTCTGAGCACTCAGTGAGACAACATACGCGCACAGAGGGTGCTCAGCACATACCATCAGCCTCCTTGTCCTGTCCTACCCCGCTTTACCCTTCCTAGTTTCCTCTCTACCATTTCATTCCTACCCCAAATTCTAATCAAACACTGTTCTTCCGCAAAGACTTCCTGTGTAACAGCCCACAGGAACCTCCCGCTCCAGGATATTATTTCAGTATTTCTCCCTTTCATTTGACCATATATATTCACTCATTCATATTGCATCCCCCTCTCTGCCATTTAGCTCTACGCTCTTGTGCATTATTCACATGCGCCTAGAGAACGTTTGGGATGTTAGACAAAAACATTACCAGTAGAGCCCACTGCTGCGTGTGTAAGGAGTGAGGAAAGAGATAAGGTTCTCAGGCCCGTGCATTCCATTTCAGCACGAGAGTCCTCCCTTGTGTGTGTGGCGGGGGAGGAGGGGGAGTGGACTTGAACAGGGAGGCCAGGCCAAGGGCAGCGTCTCCCCTCTCCGCCCACGTTCCTCAGCCAGACAGGGAGGCAGCTAAGAAAAAACTTCCCAGAGCAGTTCCCAGAGCAAATATTCATAGAAACATAGATTAAATCGCCTTTCCAAAAAATAAACAAATGGTATTTTAAGCTTTCCAACTTCAGCCAACCACTGCTTTAAATTTGGCAGTTGTTATTCCATCCACAAAAACCAGTAGAAATGTATAAGAAAATATATTCTACTTACCAACAAGGAGCCAAACAACATTGGAGTTGTGTTCTGTAAGGAAATCTTCTAATTGGGTGATGCTAGGAACGATACTCTCATTTTTCCTTTGATCCATTACTGAAGGTTTCCCAGAGCAGCATCTAAAGGTCTAATAGAGTGCAAAGGTGAAATTTAGAATCAGAGATTAATCTGCAAGGAAAATCACGTACGGGGATATAAGGTGAATTTAATAAATATGAAAGCTGATTAAATCACAGTCTGGTTCATTCAGTGATAAGAATGCAAAAATACAACAAACAACAAAACATGTCTACATTGCTATGTAAAATATAAGACAATATATCAAACTTTAATGTCTTGATTTCACCCTTCTAAGTATGAATAGAGAAACAGGTTCAGTTACTGTATTCTGGACCCAAATGAAAAGGACATCCTCATTCTGAAATATAATCAAAGATATTCACCTCAACAATAAGGGGAGAGAGAATATTGTGAAAATTCTTTTAATAAAGGGAAACCTCATTGAAAATCGCGCCGAGAGGCCAGAAGGGGGAGCCCTCACACACTACCACTCAACCTCACCCACAAAAAGACATCAGTTACACTCCCACCAGACAGGACAAGAGACGCAGGCAACTGGCAGGTCAGCCAACTTGATTACTCCACCGGAAGAAGGAAGATAGTACTTGAATGAAATAAATGCGCGTAATTATGAACTACTGCCAAAGATAAGCTAGTACTTCCAAAGGTCCTTTACACCCTCAATAAAATACCTGTCAATTATATCTCAATAAAACTGGAAAAAATGCTCTCATATTTTCAAAGCTTTGAAAAATCCATCAACCACCAACTTCAAATGTGGGGGGGCTAACTTTACAACATAAGCTTTCTGTTTCTTCCTTGTTTAGTTTTTTTTTTTTTAATCATCACCCAAGGATATGTTTATTGATTTTAGAGAGAGACAAAGGGAGGGAGGAAGAGAGAAAAATGTGGATGTGAGAGAGAAACATCGACTGGTTGCCTCTCATATGTGCCCCGACCAGGGATCGAACCCACAACCTTTTGGTGTGTAGATGATGTTCCAACCAACTGAGCCACCTGGCCAGGGCTCCGTTCCTCTCTCTCTAAAAATCAGTAAAAACATATCCTCAAAGAGGATTTAAAAAGAATATACACATATGTACTTGAAAGCTTTGTAATTATTTGGTGTCTGCACATACATAAACAAATTATCTTGAGTGAGGTACCTTCATAGGGTTCCCAATTTCAATGTCAAATTTATGTCCTCCTTAATAATTAAGAAACTGGGTATCTGACCACACAGGGTAAGCGACCCAAATATCTCGGTCTGCACCAACACAAAAGAACTCCTGAACGCACTTGCTGCCTCTCTCCTATGACATAATGGCACCACAAAACAAAGATAAACACAAACCAGATCACCGCATTTTTATCCAGAATGAAGTTGGAAGGGGGTTTCATTCCTTTGAACTGTTTCTGCGATGGCTCCGATAGTCCGAGCGCTGAGCAATCTGAAGGCAGGCGTCCTGGAGCCAACGAGCCTGACGCTCCTTCCAAGTCTGTGAGTCTGCACAAACGGAGCGCTCACAACAGAGACACACCCACCGCAGCCGAGCAGCTCACTCAGAAGTGGGACCCACTGAGTATACGGTGCTTTGAAAATCTCTGCCTGAAGATGTTTACCCATTAGGATACAGGGGCGAAAATCCACTACCCATTCCTTTAAATAGAGTACGAACCACTGCTGTCTCTTAAAAAACAAACATAACGTTAAAGTGCATCAGTGATGGCTACCATTAATTATGACCATGTTATTACCACGTAAATTAATTCACTAGGTGACTTTTTTTGTTAGCGAGCAAGACCCAGGAATATTCTGAAAGTCCCCAGGTTCCTGAACACAGGGAAAAGCTTCGAAAGGATCGGGCGGGCAGCAGAAGCTACCGCAGGGTCCGAGACCCCGGCCGGGCCAGCAGCGGCGCACACAGAGCGAGCCTCCTAACGCCCCTTCTGTTCCTCTAGGCAAACAGAATGGACTTCTATCCTCTGCACTCCAACAGATTAGATAGAATCCTCTCTACCTACAAAAAAATCATCCCAGGTCCCTTTCAGTCCCCGGATTCTGTACGTAACAAGCGTAATTTCACCATTAACTAACACTAAAGCCCAAAGAAATTAAGTGGTAAAGTAACATTCAATCGGAAATAACAGAAATCACCTCGGCACTTGGACCCTGCGTGGACTTGGAAGCCAGACTGGAATTGGAACGCGCGCGCGGCCCCGCCCTCGTCGCTGGGCGACAGCGCAGCCACCACCCCCTCGGGCCTGCGCCCCGGTGACTGGCCGCCTCCCGGGGTAGGAGGGGCGAACGGCCTCAGGGACAGAGAGCAAACAGAAAACCCACCGCACAGTGCTCGACAAGAAACACACAGTGACGATGGTTAGTGTTCTTCAAAAAAGTCAGTTCAACAGAAAAGGTTGAGGCTAAAAAACAAAATGCATAGCAGTAAACAATGACCAAAATGTGTCTCATTCATTGCAATATATAAGACAAAAAAAAATGTACAGTTAACTAAACAATAGAATTTTATAACCAAAAGATATCATTCGACATCAATTGCAAAGTGAACACAAATAGCACAGTTGGAGAACTACCCAGTGAGCGTGGTTCCTAGACGCAGAGCCCACGGGGAGGCGGCCCGCCGGGCGCCCCCTGCGGGGCTGGCGACTCAGACACGGCACAGCGGCCGCCGGCCGGGCGCGCCCTTCCACGCCGCGGTCTGGGCCACGCAAGCGGTCCTTCATGTGGGAGAGGAGAGAATTTTTAACATCTGAGAGGTCGTATCACCCAACGACAACAAAAGGTTTTGCTATAGCAAACCTCACTTTTACAGCCAGAAATTTAGGCTGTTTCACCTAAATACCCATTGAAAGAAGGGGGAAAAAAAAACCCTCTTAAAACGCTGCGGAGAGCATACCCACTACCAGGGTGAAAAGGACGGGCGCCAGCCTCCCCTCACCCAGGAGGGGCTGGGATGTCTAAGCGGCGCCACCGCCAGCAGCCCCCCGGGGCCCCTCGCTGCCGCCAGCCCCTGCTGCCCTTCCCGCGACACACAGAGCCGCAGACCCCCCCACCCCCACCCCCACACATGGATGAGCTGGGGGGGTTTGTTTTGCTTTCCGTGGGAAACTGGCTGGGAAACACTCTCCGCAAGTTTCGTTTAAATCTTTTAATCAAGAATTCAATATATCACTTCCATTTTTGATTAGAAATATATCAGAAAGTCTTAACACTAAAATGCATTAGCAAAGTAAAATTCTAAAGGAGATTTCTTGTAGTAAAACCATTTCCTTTTTTGTAACTGGTCCTTAAGCTTCTCTCTTATCTTTTACCTTAAGTTGCTTCGGTCAGAAAACCTTCCCTAAAACACCTTCAAACCACCCACCCAGCAAACCAGGAAACAGGGTATTTGGATGTGGGGAGAGAAGGGGAAGGAAACTGGCCCCACGTGCCCACCATATCACATTCAAAGGAAATGTTTTTTATTAGCATGTTGCTATGCAAGGAGTTCAACAGATTCACTTTAAATGGATAGGGAGCTAGATGGAAACATACTGTACACATGCATAAAAAGTGACAACGTGCAACAAGGTCTGTAGGCGAAAGTCTAGACTCTGAACACTCCGGTCCAGGTCATCTTACCCTTTGAAATGCTAACTCCAAGGACTGAGCTCACCTCTAGAACAGAGCTACCAAAGCAAGGCTGACACTCGCTCACCGCTCGCTAAGTGCCAGGCACCGTTCTGAACACTTTACGTGCATCTGTCCGTCCAACCGCCACTGATAACCACCCATGTACACTGCCCCCGCTTCTGCAGATGAGGAAGCCGGGGCAGAAGCTAAGCACAAACACAGCCCAGGGCTGGCCTGGGATGGCAACCCGGGCCGCCCGGCTCTGGGGTCTGTGTCCCACCGCCTGTCGTCACGTAAGTTCCCAGGAAGCAGCAACAAGCTCCGGTTTACAGTTTCTTTTCTATGAAAAATGAGCTCCCTCCTCCCAGCTCTAGATTCCACTTCAGGAGGGAAAATGAATGTTATCGGAATTCATATCTTGGTATAAGCAGAAATTCACATTTTGCCCACTATAGCATTTTTCCTCCTAAAAGGATCCTCCATTAAATCAAAGAGAGCTATCTTTCCCCCCCCCCCCCCCCCAAACAGCCACAAGCAGTAACACATCCAGCTCTGGAGCCTGATAAGCAAATCTGGCTGCTTTGGGAAAGCAAAACCACCTCCCCACTTCCCTGTACCTCCCTCTCTACATCACTCTACAGGGCTTTGCCCCCTAGATACTGACAATTGATAGAAGGTGTGTGTGGTCATTTTAAAATACGTCCAAAAATTCTTTGCTCTTCCTCCCTTCAGGAGGCGGAGCTTAGTCCATTCCCCTCCCCAAAGCGGGCTGGGCCTGAGGCTCCAATGCCCTAAAAGAGCAGGCCCAAGCGACGGGGCACCCAGGTCGCAGAGGACCGCATGGCTCCTCCCTGCCGCCGCCCCCAGGGAAGCAGCTGCCTCGTCAGGACGGGTAGGGAGACCTAGGGAGGTGCGCGCGGTGCAGCTTCGAGGCCTCCAGCCCACAGCCGTGGGCATGAGCCATCCTGGCAGCAAACTGTCCAGCCCCAGCTGATGCCCAGATGACTGAAGTCCGTCCCAGCCAAGACCATGGCGGCAACCTCTTAAGAGACCCTAGACCAGAAGCAATCAGCTTAGTCTCACCCAAGTTCTGAGTCCATAGAAACTCTGAAATAATAAACGTTTTAAGCCACTAAGTCTGGGATGAGTTGTTACTCAGCAACAGGTAACTAATCCAAAGAATAAAAAAGGTAATTTTGCCCATGGACAAAGCCAAAGTGGGGAAGGGTTGAGGGTGGGAGGTGGAGGTGGGTGGGGCAGGGGAAAGTGGTGGCGGGAAAATGGAGACAAAAGTATTTGAACAATTAAAAAGAATAAAGGGATTAACCAATACTTTAAAAAAAAAGAGAGAGAGAAAGAAAGAAAGGTACTTTTGCAAGATATCTGCCAAGTATCTCTATCCACATGGTTCAGACTTGTCCTCTTAAGCCAAACCAGCCTCACTCTTCTCTCCTCTTCCTCTTTACCAAAAGATCTGGAGTCAGCAGGCCCACACCAAAAAGGCTACCGACCTCATCAGGGGGCCACCTTCTCCTTCTCCCATGAGTGGGTGCTCCTGCGTGGCCTTTGCGAAGCAGCCTCTCCTCTCGCTCTTACCAGTCGTCTGTGCCCACGCCCATCGCAGCTCCCTACCTGCGGCCTCGGCAGACGCCTACCTAAGGCGCCCTTGACCCGCGTCCCGCGCAGCCTGGCCCGCGACTGTGCTCCACCGACTATCCTTCCTCGTTCTGGTATCTTACCGTTTTCTTTCAGATGGCTTTTTATCCTCAGCCAATAAAGACTACAGATGTATTCATATCACTCATACCTTTAAAAAACAACGGCCCTCTCTCAAGTACACATCTCTAGCTACCCTCTCTCTAGCCCGTTTACGACTAAACTTTCTGAAGGAGTAAATGACATCAGGTGTTCCAATTTCCTCACCTCTCACCCAGGGTGCACTGGCTCCCCCATACAATTCCTCTCGCTCAGGTCACAGCTTCTTAACCGGCATGTCCAACAGACGCGGCTGCAGCCCCATTCTATCTGATGTCTCAAGGGTGTCTAACACGCGGTCCTTCTCTCCGCACCCACTCCTTCCCCTGACTTCGGTGCCTCCCCTATGTTTTCTCCGGCCGCCCCACCTACTGCCTCTGCTCTCCGCCCGCCCCCCCCCACACCCTTCAACCTCGCCTCCCTTCTGCCGCTCCACGTGTTCTCCCTTAGAGATCTCAGCCACCCGCACTGCTTGGAACCACCCGCTGTGATCAGAGGCTCCGTGGTCTGCATCTCAGATACACACAGGCAACCGCCTAGCGACACTTCCTGGTGGAAGCCATAGGCCTCAAACACCATAGCTCCTGCGGAACTTCTCTCCTCCAGCCACGCTCCAACCTCCTGCTCTCCCTGTGCTCTCCGAGAAATGGCCCCCGAGTCCGCTCCGTGGCCCCGGACAGACATCAGGCGACCCATCTCCCTTATACTGCAAGTGTTTCTTAAACACCATGAGCTTGAATAAGATGGTGACGAGGAGGCACCCGGAGCCCACTGTCCCTCAAGCCCACTAACACTTACCTATTCTGTCACCTCTGCAGCTGTCTAGTCCGTCTCCTAGTTCCCATCCACACCGGTTCACTTGTGTTTCTCTCTTGCCACTAGGATGCCTACGATGGCCTCAACTCGACCACCATGCTCCGCTCTCTCCAGGTCACCAGCCAGACTGCCTATCCAACTGTGTCACTTCTGTCTAGCACATGTCAATTCCCCAAAATGTTCACAAATTTAGCAGTTACCTTTCTTCCCATGAAATTTTGAAATCTTCTGTCTTTAACGTGAAAAATAATATGCTTAAACAAAGTCGGGAAGAAGCCTCATTTCCCACTGTGCCTTGAAGTAGCACTACCAGAGTACCTTCCTTGAATAATGAAATTAATGTGAAAGATTCTAGTGCAAACATCTATCATATGGTTGCATAGCGCTGCTTTCCCGAACTTTTACATAAACCAAAAACATCCTTGCATATAAAACTAAGGAAATGTATGGGTTTACAAAAACATTACCTTCTAGAAAAAGCCTTGCTCGAGTGGTCTTTGGGGGTACGGTGGACCTGCTCTATTACTAGAGGCCTGAAATAATGCCTGACATGTGGTACTCATTAAATATTTATCAAGTGAATTAAACGTCCCTTAATCATGCTTAACCATATCTTCTGCTATTCTCCATAGGACTCACAGTAAAAAATACCCTTGAGTTCAACCACACACAGTATTCAATGAAGAACAAACCAAAAGTCAAGTAATTTTCATCATTTCTTTTTAAAACCCTTTGTAACACGGGAAGACTAACGTGCATGCAAAAGAGAGAAAAGCACAGTGACGCTGGACAGTCCAGCCAAAGCTCTCCATGGCCTTATTCTTCCGAACACACAAGCTCAGCACATGACTCAACTGTCGGTAAGGTATCAGTAGTTGCGAAGTCAAGGAAAATGATTGACAGGTCAAGTTATGCACCGCCCCGCCCCACCCCACCCCCAGTCCCTGACCATTTAAGGCAGATGAAAACACAACTGAAACAGAAAGTCAGAGTTCTTCTACCCGAGCTTTAACTGGAAATTAGATTTTCTTTCTAACTTAGCCAAAATACTTACCCAGTTTTTCTCCCCCAGAGTCTTCAATGTTGTTTTTCCTTCTCCTTATCTTCAAAAGGCCCATCTGCAGTGTTTCATCTTAGCAAGCCTAAAACACAAAACAAAAAACAGCATTTCAACCCATTATACAGATATTCTGGCTTTACCAGCAGCTTCACCTGTTTCAGATTAGATGATTTGATTACACCTGCAGGTAAGTCTTTAATGTTGGTTCAATACTCCATTTCCTTCTTTAAAGTTTCCAAACAAGAAATACTCCTAAATCTAGAATGAGACCCCAATTTCCAAACCATGGCCTTCCAAACATTTTCAAAACTACGGTACTTGTGGAAAGAGCATGTGTGCCTTGGTAGCCAGAGGGTTCTAGAGGTGATAATCTACCTGTAAAACCTTCCCAAAGTGTGGCCTTAAAAAAGTTCTCTCAAACTGCTGAGTCTCTGCCCATGAACAGCTCCTCAGTTCCTTCCTATTCCTGGCACCTGGCACACTTTTTGTCAAATGAAAATCACTCTGCAAATTTTTAAGATGCTTAGGAGATGGCAAAACATACTGATTCAGGGGTTGCTGCAACTTGGAGCCAGGTCACCTGGTTTAAATCATAGCTCTGACTTCAGATGAGCTGTTTTTCAGGGCTGCGAGCTTTAGTTCTCTCCTATACAATAGGAGGAGAACAACAGACCTCCATGACAGGCTTGTTACGACAATTAAATGAGGTAAGCTGTGCACCTAATGTACCACTCAGCAGTTCTGTAAGATAAATATTCTGGTAAATTCATCTGTTTTTATACTTCACGTGCCTAGTTAACTTAGAATAAATCAGCTTCGTTGACATGCACAGAAGGGAAGCAGCAACATGAAACCAGTTGAAACTTACACGCTTGGACAGTTCAGACACCATGATTTCCTTACAGAGGAAATTTACAAGCTCGCCTTCCCTTTAACAAGCGTCTCTAACTTTCTGCTGCTGAAACTGAGGCCAATGCGGTGGGTGTGCAGGGAGGTGGAGGGTGGAAGGCGACTCTAAAGAGGAAAATTCAACTTCCTTTCATCTCCCTTTGACCAAAATAATGTTTCCGCTGAAATGCGTCCTTTACCATAGAGCAGACTCAGCCAATTCCAACAGTTCAGCATTTCAACCAATTATACAGATATTCTGGCTTTACCAGCAGCTCCACCGTTTCAGATTAGATGATTTGATTACACCTGCAGGTAAGTCTTTAATGTTGGTTCAACACTACATTTCCTTCTTTAAAGTCTCCAAACAAGAAATACTCCTAAACCCGGCCAGCACCAATTTAAAACACAAGACACTCGTCGCCAGGGGAGGAAAGAGAGTTCTGAAGACACACCGTCCCGGGTTACGCGCTACGCAGTCTCCCGCAACCTGGCGCCCGCGCGGCTGAAGACGGCGCTCGCAGGTGCACGGTCCTTTCAGTCGAGGCCACCCACCCGGCAGCGGGCGCCGCCCACCCGCCTCAGCGCCGTCCGCAGGGGCCGCGCCGGCGTCCGAGCCCGCGCCGGCGTCCGAGCCCCCGCCAGCCGACTGTCAGAGCCCGTCAGGCCTTCCAGCTGACCTTCGACACCAGCTCTGCAGGTCCCAATGCTGCAGGTGAGCAGAGCAAAGGACTAGGAGAGGAGCCGACTCCGCAGCACGCAGCTGCGACGAAGCCAAACCTCCCGACTCCGACCCAGCTTAAGTCCAGAGAAGATGGACAAGGTCCCGCCCCACCCTCCGAACCCAGCCGAACCCGGTCCAGCCCCCTCACCTGGGCGAGCGCTGGGGCGGCCAGGAACCACCCAGCCTCTCATCGGGGGACGCCCAGGGCCCTGGGCAGCAGCAGCAGCAGCGCCGACGGTACGCGGCCCGCGCCCACACCCTCAAGCCCTGCCAGCCGGGCCCGCCGCCGGAGATCCAGCCCCGCCGCCCGAGATCCAGCCCCGCCGCCGAGGTCTGGCCCCGGCCCAGGCCACTTGACAGGGGTAGGCGGAGGAGGCAGGGGGCGGGGAGGAGAGTCGAGCTGGGCAGGGCTGCACTGCGGCTGCGTGAACTGGTAACGTCCTACGTCACGGCGCCGGCGGCGCCTCGAGGCTCGCCCGCCCAGCCTAGCTCAAAAATCGGCGGGGCCCCGCCCATGCCCCACCCCTCGCCGGGCTAGGGGCGGAGCCTAGGCACAATTTGTAATAGGAAAAGCAGGGGACAAGCTTAACTCTGCCTAAGCCTTCTGAGTGCTACGGGCAGATGAGAAATATGCACGTAAGACAAGGAGACCTGCAATTAGGAACAGCGGTAAGTATGGGTCAGGCACTGTTCTAAGCATTTGCTCCTCCCAAAACCCTGTGAAGGAAACACTCATCTCCATTTATGTGTTTCACAAGTGAGAAGTAAGTTACCACTTGGAGAGCTAGGGTTGGGACGCAAGCAGTGTGGCTCCGAAGCTCACGCCCTTAAATATTCCTGTCTCCTACTTGCTGAGTTCTGGGTCGCAATCTACTCTGCCTTCCTTCCTGAGCTGAAGTCTCCCATCTCACAGTTCTACAGGAGAGTTCCACGCGAACCCCGGAGGAACAGACATAAAACCAAATGTAAAATAAAGCCAGAAAAGATTAAACACGTAAGGCACCATATTAGCCTTTATTGCACATACGGAAATGGAGGCCCAGGCAGAAGTGGTTTACGAAAGCGCTGCATGGAAAATGAGAAGCGCCCATCTGTCCTAGTGACTTCCACTTGCCACCAGGATGCTCCTACCCTCCTTATCTGAATGAACTCTATTTAGAGTTTATTTCTGCACTTCTACGAAGAAATTAATTTCAACAGCCTTTTCAAAGCTTGGGAGAATCCTCGTCATTCTTAACCTTGGCTCCCTAGTAAGGCTCCAGGACCCCTGCAAGGGTTCAGGTTTACACTACAGTGAAACTGCAAATTCTGCCCAAGAGGGAGGTTCTCCCAGGACAAGTTCTCTGCACTGGAAATTACGTAGATGTGGTTCTGTTTCCTCCAATCAAAACCTATTAAACTAAATTGCCTGGAGCTAGGGGAAAGGGTTAATTAGGAGAGGAGAGAGGCTGAAATTTACTGTGGGTCACACCTAACCACTGAGTGGACTGTTGGGAGAGTTTCTAACTCTACTTCCTTTCTGTTCCCATGAGCAGAACCACCTTGCTACTGCACATAGGCACCAAGACATTATCAAAGTGAATTGTTCATTTTAAAATTCTTTCTGTTCTAAAGGTGTTTGATACTGTGAAGATCATTAAGCTCTCTGATAGACTATTGGCCTCAGTAATTATCCTGGCAAGGCTCACTCCTTCCTCTTGTCCCCACCTACTTCCGTTTTTCACCAGCTGCTCAGAAAATAAGGCCACAGAAGCCACTGTCTCCATCCAGAGGCCTCAAAAAGAATTGCGCTAATGATAGAAGCTCTCTAATGGTTTTTTATGGGGGTTTTTTTTACTTTGCAATAATTATAGATTCACAGGAAACTACCAAAAAAAAGTACAGATTGGCCTTATGTACCCTTCACCCTATTTCTCCCAATGCTTACATCTTACATACTTTCCGTATTTTGCCAAGATAATGTGCACCCATGTTTTTGGCCCAAACTTTCAGGGAAAAAAAAACTTCCATTTTAATTTTTTAATTCAATGTTTTATTTATTTAGATACTTTGGTTTTTGTATTATAAAGGAATTTTAGCATTTATTTTTGAACATATTATTGTACAAGAAATTTTATGTAACAAATAATTACAAAACACAAGAACAGATACAAGGTATTTCAGGTACTACCCACGTATGACATGCATCCTTATTTTTTCCCTCAAAAAATTGTGGAAAAAAGTGCACATTACTCATGACAAAATAGTACCAGGAATCTGACAACTGTATAATGTGTGTACAAAGCTTTACGTCATTTTATTAAATGTAAGCTCAGGCTACCACCAATGCAGACAAGACTCAGGACTATTTATCCCCAGTTCTAGAAAGGCTTGGGGGAAGCAGACACCCTAGTATCTTGCTGATGGGCATGTGAACTAATTAGCCTCAGTGGAGAACAATTCCTTTTTAAAATGTTAAGTGCACATTCTTTTGACCCAGCATTTTCACTTCTAAAATGAATCATCCAGGTACCTTCTCAACAACCAATGTACAAATTACCCATTGCTACCTTGTGTATAAAAGCCAAAGATTGTTAACCTAAAAATGTTCAATTCTAAAGGACTAGTTTAAAAATTATGGAACATTGTAGGGCAGTGAAAAAACGTGATAGCTATCCATGCCCTGATATGAGATGAACTACAATGGAGCAGAAATACACATGTAAGTGTGAAAAATAGTAAGTAGGCCAAAACCAACAAATTGACTTGAAAAACATACTGGTCAAAGACTCATTTGGACAAAAGTTAGTTTCTAGTCAATAGCACATATTGTAAAAAAACATGCACACATATACCCTTTAAGCAAGTTTTAACTGGAAAAACGCTGGAGGACTGGCATCATTATTAGGATGTGGAACAAACCGGGCGTCCTGGCCCAGGATACGTTTGGAGAAAGTTCTCTTCCACTGTATGCCCTTTTTATAACAGTTGAGTTTTGTGATGTGTTCCTGTTACCTATTCAGAAGTACAATAAAGTATATTAATGAACTATAACTATCTTTTTCTTTGGCTCTCCCATCAATTTACACTTTCTCCCTCCAAACACAAGATGAGCTGACACTTGTGTTGGTTTGCTAAGGCGACTACGACAAAATACCAGAGTGGAACAGAGTGGACAACTTCACCAACAGATATTCCCTAACCGTTCTGGAGACTGGAAGTCCACAGCTTCCGTTTCATGTGAGACGTCTGTTCTTGGTCTGCAGAGGCCGCCTTCTAACTGTGTCCTCACAGGGCCCTTTCTGTGTGCAGGCATGCCCTTGGGGTCTCTCCCTGTGTCCTAACCGCCTCTTCTTATGAGAACACCAGTCAGACTGGATCCAGGACCACACTAACAGCTTTGTTGTACCTTCATTTCCTCTCTAAAGGCCCAGTCTCCAAGTACAGGCCCATTCTGAGGTGAGGGAGTTAAGGCTTCAACATGTAATTTTGAGGGAAGACAACTGAGCCCACAACACCTGACAAATACAATCTTTTCCTAAAACTAGTCTCATTTTCTCTTGTCTATAATTCTTTAAAATAGACACCCCACATACCATTTTAAAACTCTTGTTACCTTTATTTTGTACTGTGTTATCACTTGATCTTGTGTGTGTTCCAGAAAGGGCTGAAGGGTGGTATTTTTTTTTTTTTTTCCTTAGACTATCCATTTGGCAGGGACTCAGCAAATCAGGGCGTAAAGCACTTGGGTGTTTCTGAGGCATTGTACATATTGGCAGGATTTCACTCTTGGATTTTAGGCCTCAAATGTAACATACAGTGGCTTTTTCTAAGCTAAAATAAATACCTTGATTACCAGCACATAGTTTAAATCATTCACCTATGACCATGAGTCCCAGTGCCCCGCGTGCTTTAATACATGGACAAATGGCCTGGAGATCTTTTTAAAATACGGTCTCTGATTCAAGGTCTGGGGTGGGGTCTGAGGTTCTGCATTTTGAAACGCCCCAGGTGGTGCCGCCGCTGTTCCACGCCCGGCCTGACTGTCAAGGGTACAGTCTGTGATAAGGAGTTTGGAATTTGTGTTAAATTCCACGGGAAGCCATTGAAGGACTTTAAAAAGAGACATAATCCAATTGGTTTTGTACTGCCCTTCGATCTCCACGAGGCCCACTGTGCCCTGGCTTCAGGCTGTTCTTTCAAGGTCTGAGTCGCTTTGCAGTGCTGAGGTTGCCCGTGCATCCTCTTCGGGGCCTGACTCCAGGTGGCGAACTAGGCCGTGTCCGCTACAAATGATGGATCCGGAAGGGAAAAGACAGCCCACAGAATGGGAAAACTTTTGTAATCATGTATTTGATAAGAAATGTGCATCAAGAATATGTAAACAACTATTAGGACTCAACAAGAAAAATACAAGGGAAAATATCAGTATGATTTATGGGCAGGAAAGTGCAGGTTACCGGGAAGACAGACATTCTAGAAACAGCTTTCGAGAGTGCTCGCCTAGGCAGGAAACCTATAGCGTTGGTTCTATTTTTGATGACTATGTCAACTAAAATGATAAACCCTAACTTTGAAGGTTTCTATCATTTCTCCTTAGCCGAATCAACATCGTGAGTGACAGCAAAAGTGCCCAGCCGTCTTCACTTAAATGACACAGGAAAAAATGTATTTCAGTTGGCACACATATACCCAATTTTATTTTTTGGAAATTAATTTTTTTTGTTTTCCCAACTAGAAAAGTTAGACATCCTGCCATTGAATTACCATTCTGAAGTTACTAAAACTTCTCAGCAATTGATACAATTCTCAAGAGCAATGTTTGTGGAACTACTAAGCAATGTCAAAGTCACAAATCAGAGTGTCAGCACTTTCATTAAGAAAAAAATGTTTCCTTGTTACCATGCATCAAGGATGTAATCCTCTAATGTATACTTTTATTGAACGCTAATCCTATCTTCTCCTCCATAAACTCCCACTGCAATAACACATAACTGAATTATCACCCATCCAGCCAGCTCTCACAAGCCACTTTTGTCCTAAACTGTGATGATAATTCTTCCAAAAAACAGCAAATTATAATTCATCTACGTTTATATAAACTAATTGTCTCCCTAGCAGCCGACACAAATGTTAGCAAATATTGAAATCAGGTTGTGCACTTTTGGGTCCAAAAATACCTTGAAAGTCCTCTCTTCGGAGCTAAGAAATGAGTCAAACTTGAGAAGATGTGAAAGAAACAAAAACTTTCAAGGTATGTAAATAGGAAGGTCATGGAAGAATTCACATCATTTTAGTTTCTTTAAAAGGACATGTTTGAATCC